AGTGCAACTGCAGTCAACAAGATCCAGTCAAGCACAAAAAAAACTCTAGGTTCGAACACCGGCCTACTGATAAAACTTCTACACAGCGGGCAATCTCCAAGAATGGCGGGAATGGGCGGGTGCTCTTCCTCCAAGCACGAAAAATCGACCACTTGCACTATCTGCTGCCCTCCATGGCAAATTATGATGCACTTCTGTCGCTCCCAATGTCTCAACTGCAGATCGCTCCGCGTCAAACTGCAGGAACTGCGATTTAGAAAGTTGCCGTGCTGCTGTTTTGGCCTGGGCAAACATCTGTGGGCGACGGTTGCTCCTGACCGGTCACTGAGGCTCCGTAGTTGCTAAACGGCTACCACCGGCAAAGTCTGTGCGCTTCACTTCTTTGCCTTACCGCTTTGGCTTGTTTGTGACCGAGTGCTGCAGCCGTAGTCGACGAGGTCCAGTCACGCCAAAAAAGTTCGAATACTGGTTCCAACCTGGATAACACTAGTGTTCGAACTCCGGATTAGTTCGAACTTGGAGTTTTGAACACCTGTGCTTCAACTCGGAATTTAAACACAGGTGAATCTTCCTTTTTCTTTTTCTTTTCTTCACAAAAAAGCCCCATAAAGCGATTTCGTGGTGTTTGTACAAGCTTTTTTAGACCAGTGTTCGAACACCAGTGTTTGAAATCGAGTTCGAACACTGGTGTTCGAATCTAGGGTTCGAACACTGGGAACTTGGAGTTCAAACACTGGTGAATATTCCTTCTTTTTTTCTTTTCTTTGCAAAAAAACCTTCATAAAGCGATTCGTGTTTTTGTGTTTGTAAAAGCGTTTTATACCAGTATTCGAACACCAGCGTTCGAACTCGAGGTTCGAACAGGTGTTCGAATCTGCGCGTCACAAGTGAAGAAACAGTCTTTGTTGGACAAACCAAATGCAAAAGCACTGAGAAATGTCTACAATCGTTTCTTCGTCCTGTCAACATTTGCGCAACTTGTAGCAAAAGTCCTAGAATGTACAATGATCACAAGAACCTCTGCGACCCATGCCAAAACAAATCCTGCTGCACATCGGTTTGGTGCGCTTTCTTAAGCGGGAGATTGAGATCCACCTGCAGCCATGCAATCCTTTCTGCCAGCCAAATGGCTTAAAGAGAATCTGTGCTTGGGTTCGAACATTAACACTGGTGTTCCTTTTTTTTTTCTTCGCGAAAAAAAACACCCATAAAGCGATTTCTTGTAGCTTTTCTTCTGTGTTTGTAAAAGCGTTTTAACTAGTGTTTGAACACGTGTTCGAACTCGAGATTCCAACATTGATGTTCGAATCTGGGGTCTGAACACTGTGTTCGAACTCGAGATTCGAACACTAGTGTTCGAATCTGCGATTCGAACACCAGTGTTTGGTTCGAACACCAGTGTTCGCAGAGTTCAATCACTGGTATCGAACGGAGTTCAAACACTGGTGAATGTTCCTTGTCTCTTTTTCTTTTCTTTGCAAAAAGCTTCCATAATGCGATTTCGTGTGGCTTCTCTTCTCTTGTTTTCGAAAAAACGTTTTATAGACCAGTGCTCGAACCCGGAAACTGAACACCACTGTTGAACTCGGATCACTGGCTCCATTGGCTTTGCTTCGCTGGCATTGGGATGTCCGAACCCGGAGTTCAACCCTTGGCCCAGCTTCCCAAAGAGGGTGTCGCAAGGGCAAGACGGAGAGGCGCTTGGTGTAGAGAAATGCCCGAGCACCCATACAGAAGCGGAGAGCGTGCCGCAGTGGCAAGTGCATGAGCACGTTAATTCGAGCCCAGCTTCCCAACAATGTGGGCCTTGCAATTGCAGATACACTGATTTTCGCACTATGACAACAGGCGAGGCAGCACTGGACAGGCCATGCTGGACAATCAGCAGCGTGCAGGGCGCCACGCGTTCCAAGCTCAGCTTCCCACACGTGGGTCTCGCAAGGGCAGAGAAAAAACAGGCAGCGACCACACCAAGCACCACATTACAAAGAGACAATTTCGACCCAGAGCAGCTCACTGAATACGCCCATCCCCAGCTTCCCACCATGGTGGGCCTCAAGGGGGCCAATCGGAGCAAGAGGAATCCCGGCAAGGTTGGACGAAAACCGGCACCGGATTACAGGCGTGTAATGGAAGCTCATCCAAGGGCTCCATGGAAAAGTAAAGCAGTCTCGCCAACGTGCCCAGATGCAGTATCGGCTTTGTGGCACAGGGAAGGCATCGAGCGATAAGGAGACGACCATTCGGAAGCTCAAGGACTCGACTGAACAAGTCAAGGCCCCCGCCAGATTTTGAGGCACACCAGGCGGTGGTAATTAGGGGAGCGTTCCCGATTCCTCTTCTAAGAGTCAGCAAGAGGGTGCTTGGAAAGGGCCAGACTGCCTCTGCCCAGTCCTTGAAAGAAAAGGTTTTAAGGATCATATTGAGAACGCTCCACCGTGCACGAAGTCTTCTCACATCATCTCGCTCTGCACCCTTCATTCTTGTGACATCCAAGCAAATAGAAACGTTCCAATTCTTTTGTCAGCCGCATCGGTTCTCGGAGCACAGGTTAGTCATGGCAACTTAGTACGACTGGGAAGCGGGGCATCTGAGCGGTGGTAGTTGCTAGGTTTTGGGCATGTCTCGCCGAACGACGTCTGCCGGCTAACTCTGCTAGTCGCGGCCTGTCTCACCTTGTTATGCATCGTCTTTTCTTTGTACAGTTGATTTTGTTCTTGGCATCATTTCTTACTGGGACCGAGTGCAGCAACCTGCTGTCTTTGAGGCCCGCCCACGCCAAAAAAAGAAACGTTCCAAATTCCAAAAAGTGATCCATACTCCCTGTTAGCCAGACTGCAAACGTTGCCTGAATGTCGCACCTGCCTGAATGTCGCACCACTGTCTCTTCAACGGCCCTCTGTAGCAGGCTGTCAGAAGCCAACAACCTTGCGAATGCTTGCATCTGGCAGAACCAGCTCATGCTGTATGTGTGACGTACCACCCAAACGAACCCAGATTCAAACCCAGGTTTTCAACTCGGCTTTTGTTTTGGGTGTTAACACGCAGATTTGGAACCCAAGTTCAAAAAAACTCAGGTCATAACTCAGGTTTGAAGCTAGGAAACAAACCTATTACGTGGGTTTGGAATCCAGGTTGATTTAGGTAAAAACCCAGATTGAAACCCAGGTTCAAACCCAGTCAAACCCAGGAGCTTCAAAACAGACCAGAATTGGTTTGAAGAGAGCTTCAAGAAGGCCTAAGAAAGAGGAGACACCCACACGAAAGCTAACAAACAGAAGCAGAAACATAAAAATTCAGAGACACAAGACCTCCAACTTCCAGCTTTTTGCAAATTGCAACTTTCCGCGCCTTTGAAGCCACCCAAAACCGCAAATCCAAACCGCTACAAAGCAAAAAATTCGCAAAAAGAACAGACGCTTTCTTTCACACACAAGTAGATGGTCCGATTGCATTTGATTCATGCTGAACGAGTTTAACAGCTAAGTCTATGTGTCGCAGCTCTTTTTTTCACTTGTACAGGTGTTAGTTTTCTTTATTAGTGATGTTTTCTTGCTGGACCGAGCAGCAGCCATTGTCACCGAGGCCCAAGAGTAGAAATAAACTTATCAAACGCGGCATTAGGTCGAGTAAAGGCATGCAGCGTGCAGTTGGTGCCGCTGACATGCATCATACATTCCAATTTGCCAAGTGGAAAGCTGTGTTGCGTTGTGAACAATTGTCTGCGCATAAGAATCTGAATTGAGTCACAGATAAAAACAGACAACGCATTTCTATCGTTTTACATGTCACGCACGCTGCCAGATTCCGATTGCCTGCTTGTTGCAAAGACATATTTTCGGTTTTTACATGTCACTACTTTTTCACAAAAGTCCGCATGCCTTACGTCTTCAAGGTTTGTTTGCCAGAGACTTTTCGCGATTAGTTCAACAAGAATGCCCACAGCCTTCAATCACACTCTCACAAGAAAACCCGCTTGGAGGGCTGCAGGGCTGTCGAGACCTTGCGAGAAACATACAAGATTTTTTTCGCGCTTTTGATCTTTGTGCACTTTCGTTCTTCGCCAAGTTCGACATTAGTTGGAAACCAAGTTCTGTTCTGTGTGATTTGATCGTAAGCGTTGAGAAAACGATGGCTACAAAACCTGGAGAGGAATGTGTTGGTTTGGATTTTACGTGGACAACCGCTTCCTGGTGTTTTCTCAAGGTGTTTCTTGCAAAGTCGTGAAGTCTAGTCTAGTCGCTCCGGTAGTTCGATTTTTTGTGTTGATTCCGTAATATACTTGGTTGGGATGCATGGTGGATATCAGTTAGAACAGTGGAGTTTCGCATTCCGAATGAAAGCTAGCAGTATCGACTGGTCAACAGTGCAGGATCTCGAAGGTTGAATGTGGCAGGTTTTCGATCGAACGGCAAGCTTTTCCAAAGCGTGTGGTTAGAAGACAGGAGAAGGAGCTAATGCACGATTCCCTGATGAGAGCTTGCGAAGTGTTGGTTGATGTTGCTGAGTTCACCCATTCACACCGCACGTGGTCGTGTTGTGTATCGCCGAATACGTTAAAAAAGCGTTTCTCCACACGGAACGATGGGACAGGTGCCAATGAGGGCACCCATCCTGACCTGTGACATAGGGGTGGGACGCAATTCCCAGGTACTTGCTTATGTTTCCTCCATGAGCCGTCGATTGAGAGACGCCAGTGATTCCATGAACCATCGATTGAGAGGTTGTGACGTCATTTTTGCGATTTCCATGTAATCTTGACTCCTGTGTGTGTGTGTGCGCTTGTGTATTTCTGCAGCTTTTCGTGTTCCGTCTTGAGGCAAACGCAGAACAGCCGGGTGAAGATGTTTAGCCGCATGCAGATGCATATTGAATGACTGCCTTCAGACCTTGCGCCTGTTGTACATCTGCTCGTTGCTCTTCGACGGTGTGCATGCGCCCATTGCGCTCATGTGTGTTTAGGAACCTTTGAGCTAAGCTGTACATACGCTGTTGACATCATGGCAATGCTTGTCACCTCCGTCCCTGCATTTGCAGCGTCTCAACCCACTGAGCAGCTTCGCAGCAATCGAGTCCAGGCGTTGCGTTTTTGCTTGTTTCCGAAATTGTTGGACAATAGAGGCGACGTGTGTTTGACGAGATGCATGCATTTCAGGTTCGCCGCATGGTCTTTGGGTTTAGCCGAGGCAATTCGACATCGCTGCGCAGGATGCTGCCGACGACAAGTTTCGTGAGCTTTGGCTAATCATGCGAAGAAGTATCCAAAAGTATTATCATCTCAACGTTGCCATTGGATAGAAGGCGTAGCTTTGCGCTGTTCACCTACGTCGAATCTTGATCTGCTCCCTAGTAGCAGTGCTACTCCCACGACAACGGTTGGTCCGTGGTCTGGTGTGATGCTAGTAAAGACATTCCCTTTCGTGTGCAGGCTTGGTCGAACCGTGCTTCCCAATGCCATTTGCCTCGAAAGCCCTACAAACTCAAGCCCCGATACACCAAAAACCCTGGAATCCGACAGCCTTTAAATCGTTTAAAATTCGGAAGTACATGTGTGGTGCACAAGGACCTCTTCGACGAGCAAAAGGCCATGGTCAAAACTGTGCGGAACACGGATTGGCCAGGACCTCAGGGAGCAGATGTCTCGCGTCACAGCCCCGAGTCCTCAAAGATCCAAAGCTTTGCGCGAAGTCCAGAACCTCCAAGCAACCTTACGTCCCAAATCCCCATACCCGACAGCATGTCCAGCCGTCACACTCTGAACCTAGGAACGCAAGACCCTCAAAACGACCCGACCCCCCAAAAACCCAAAACCCGAACTAAAAAGCAGAGCGCCAACAGACCCAATCCCCGCACATCCCTGCAACCCTAAACTCAGACCCCCTGTTCAACTCTTCAAAAGACAAACCCAACCAGGGTTTTTTTTGGGGTGGCGGTTCCGAGGCTGGAGCTGATCTCGAACCTCCGTGGGGGCAACTTCCGGACCTCGGCCTCCCTGCCGCCGCCCGGAGGTCACCGGGTCACGCCCCCCATGACACGGGTTTGGGCTCGGTTTGGGTTTAGGGTCTTAGGGTTTGGGGTTTAGGCTCCAAGGGTTGGATCAAGGGAGGTGGGGTAATCTCCCCAAATATGAGTCCTTATATCAGGGATTATAATCCTACCTACCTTTGTCCCACCTGTTGAGGGGGGTTGTAGGGTTGGGGCTTTGAGGTTTCGTCAACGCCTTTCAGGGTTCAGGATTTTTTCTCAAGGGAACCGGAAGGATCTATTTCTGGAAGGATCGGGGCATTTCGAGCTGGTAATTCCCAAGCCCCCATAAACAGTAGGTTTAAGTTTTGAGGTCGATGTTTTCAGCAATGTTGGACATGCAGGGTGGTTATGTTCGGCGAGTCGGCTTGGACTGGAGTGCGTTAATGCAGCGGTTCTCGTCGTTCCGGGTGCGTGAGGGATAGGGCTGCGGAATGCTGCGGATACTGGACATGGATTCTTTGCAGGTGTCGGCATGCGGTTGTTTGGAGAAAAATGCAACCCGTCTGCATGCACTTAGTACGGGGGCCACTCGAATACTTCGCCAGTCTTGAGCCACGGCACGGGCTGGTGTAGGTTTCAGGGTCAACCCTTACTGACCCTTTGCAAATGTTCACTGGTGGAGTCTTTCAGGCGCGAGTCGCTACTTTGCTGCTCCCGACAGCTTCAAACCCCAAGGCCCAAATGTTGCAAAGTTCTCAATCCGAGTGTGCAGTAAAGGAAAGCCTCGTGCTTACAGATCCTGCGCGAGTCTTCCTGACCCAAAGGCTGATGTCGCGTCGTTGAGCGGTGTTCAACACAGCCGGCATTCATCGGATAGCAGTGCTATGATTTCAGCAGTTCAAGAGTCGCTGGTAGCATGTCTTGGAAGGTTCTGGATCTGTGAAGCAACGCAAGCCTTATAGTATTGCAGGAGCCCTTGGAGGAACCTTCGAAACCCGAACCCCCCGCCGTGGGAGCTCAGGCACCAGCTGTGCGGGCCTCGTCTGGGACCGCTCGAAGTTGGACCTTTCCGATGCGTGCTTTGTCGGCTTCAGGAACGATGTGTAGGACTTTTGGGTCTAGGGTGTTCAGGGCGTGCGATTTTAGATTGCTGAGGACTTCAGGGGACAATTAGGACTGTTGGGTTTAGGGGCAAGACTGTTGATCTACGTTTGCATGCGTGTTAGGGTTCAGGCATTTGGGTTGGGCATTTGGGTTCGGGACTTTCGGGTTTGGGGTGAGCCGGGTGTCCTTTCAGAAGCATCGTCGGAATGCGCGTGCCGGCGGATGTCTCTCGGGGTTGGTGTCGTGGCCCTGAGCAATAGTCTCGTGTTGCAAGAGCTTTCGTGAGCCGAAGAGTCTATGGACCTCGTTGACGGACCCTGAATTCTAAACCCTCGCCAGGTTTATTTGGCCCAGTGGCTACATGGCGAAGACAGAGTTCAACATCAACCACAAGGCACCTCGGGGGTCCGGCGGAGGTCCGGGTGCGGGGGTCCGGGTCCTCACGTGTTCGGGGGAGTCTGCGACAGGGCGAGCTTCTCAACGGGCGGTCCTCTGCATTGGTCACGATCGAGCGCCTGATCGAAGCTCGGCGATCTGAGCCAAGAGACTCAGCACCTGTGACCTCCACACCCTCAAGCAACCCTCTTCCCTGTGCGCTGAGTTTTGGTATAAGGAATGCAACTCTCGCCGCCTGACAACGAATGCAGACACCGGCGAGCTGCAGGAGGTGAGATGTCGGCAGTGCTCTATTGTGTTCAGTGCGGCAGCTGAGTTTCATGCTCCTGAGCCTACTCCTCCTGTGCAGATTCCAATCGGCTCGCAGTTGGCTTTCAACGAGATCAACTGGCCGGCAGCTCACAATACTACTAATACTGCTAATACTACTAATTCTATTAATACTATTAATACTACTAATACTACTAATACTATTAATACTACTACTGTCCTTACGGGCCCCAAACGTCTGAAAGAAGTAGCCTCCTGAGGCCCTGCACTGGCACAGAGGGCTTGGCGGCAGTCTTCGTCCGCTCCGTGGACGTCGACCATGTGCTGCATGCCTTGGGTGGCTGGGGCTTGATTTCAGACTACGACTCAGCGACCGCCCCTTCGAAGTCCTCCTGAAAGTCTCAGAAAGCCTGTGTGGGGTGCCAGGCCCTCTGCCGAGAGATCTGAGCCTTAGGCGTGGTGGCTCTACTCGACCATGCGCTCGGCTGCCAGTTGCCGCTGGTGCTGATGGACCGCTTTGGTCGCAGGGATCGGCACAGCCAACGATCGCTACAACCCTTGAGCCGGATCCCCTAACCCCAGATGCCCGCAACGCAAGGAGAATCAGAAGTTGAATCCATATCCCAGACACCCGGAATCGAAAGGCCCAAGTCCCGAACTTCCTTAACCGCCAGGACTCCAACAACGCCGTTCGCACGCTGGACCAGGCGCTGCAGCGTGCCTTTCTCCTGGAGGTGGCCAGCCTCTGCCACCCAGATCCAACCCCCTGAGAGTCGACAGAACCTGCCCTTGGGGAACTACATTCAGCATCTCGCATCTGGCTGCAGCGAAGTGGGAGTTGTTGTAATTCCGCAGGGGGGAGTTCCAGCTCTACGCAGCCCAGACCTACATCAAAGCAACAGCGAAGCCCAAGACCCTTAGGAATATATCTTGGAGTTGAGTAGGTAGGCATTCATGATTCAGTCCATGTCTTCTTGTTTCAGCTGTTCGACTCTCTGGGAGTTCTAAATGCCGGGGGAGTTTGACGGAGGTGGCCTTGGAAAAGGCCCGCGCAAATGCAAAGATCCGACCGTGAACACCAGATCTAATCCCCACACCTTACATCAAAGGGGAAAAGGAGGGACCCTTAATGGGGACACCTACCCTATAATGGGCTATATAATGGGTATATAATGGCTATACTAAGGGTACATACCTAGGGGTCCTTTTTAAGGGTCCCTCCTTTTACCCCTGGATTACAGTACAGCCCCAACGTCCTATCCCCTGGCTGCCACAAGAATCAAGAACGGGCCTTGGACCCAAAACCCTAAACCCTAAACCCCAAAACCCTAAACCCTAAACCCTAAACCCTAAACCCCAAAACCCTAAACCCTAAACCCCTTGGACCTTCTTGCAAACCTCGGATGCTTTCCGAGGTCCCGAAGCCCGGCATTCCGGGCACTTTGCCGATGGCTCCCGGGCCGAAACACAGTTTTTTTTGGGGTTTAGGGAAGGTTTAGGGTTTAGGGTTTAGGGGGGTTGAAAGGGCTTAGGGTTTAGGGTTTAGGGGGGTTGAAAGGGCTTAGGGTTTAGGTGTCAGGCGTAGTGGTTTACTGAATAAGGGTTAAGCGACTCTGCAAGACAATGTTACGGGGCTCTAGGTTTTCTATTTGGGTGCTTTTCAATTTGAGCACTTGTTTAGAGTTTTGTCAGGGTGCTCCAAAGATTTAGTCAGCCTAGACTTGAACGAACCTACAAAAGGTGCCGCAAGAGTTGAATGATTTAGGGCCTGCGTAGCTAGACTAGGGTCGTTCAGGCTTCAAGTTCTGATTTTTTAGGAGAACCATCTCGTCAACGGTATCACTACTTATTCAGGCTCTTGTATTGGCTTTTTTCGAAGAGCGTTCAGGGTTCAGAGCTTGGGGTTTAGCTCTTTAGGGCTTTAGGGGGTTGCAAGGCTTAGGCTTCGGTGTCCAATAGAAGATTCGTTGAATAGATTTGCTGTTGTTTATCTTGATTTATGGAAGCTTCCTTCAATGATATATGGTTTGCTTATCCTGCTCCAAGGAACGCTCCTTGAATTATGCGTGGTTTCCTAACATAATTTAAATGGGGGATATGCTTCACATACCTGTAGGTTCATGGTTAGGTATAAGCAGAGTTATAAGTCCCTAGTATGGGTTACAAGTTACAGTTACCTTACTTATTACCCCACTTGCGACTACACATAGACCTCCAAGTATATAAGGAGCATAAAGGTGTAAAGTCGGGTCCCTCTTGGGGGGAAAGAGATCTCCCAGGCTCTGGTCCCGCGCTTCCCCATTGCCGTGGACCACCTGAGAGAGCTTTCGGATGCCAAGAAGCTGGAGCTTCACGCCATGCCCCTTGGGCTTATGAGCTAGGGCTAAGTTTGACATAAAAGAGGGGTTTTGCAGTTGTTTTTACTTTGGTCTTTTTTGGGATGGAATGAGGGTTGTTGAGGTGTATGACTGGCTTGGCAGCATTGGTGAAAACCCGGGTCCCAAAGGGCGGGTTGCAGAACACCTGTACTTTGCGAGATCCCTGATGCTCCCCAGCACGCAAGACTCTTAGACCCGAAACCCTACGCCGAAAGCTTCGGCTATTCTGGTAAGTTTGGTAAATCCATACCCTAAACCTTCAGCCGGACTAAACTTAAACGTAACCCTAAACCTGCGCCGAAACGTAAGCCCTAAACCCACAGGTATGGCATCACTGCAAGCTGCCTCCGTGAGATTTTCCTGGAACACACCTCGGACCCAGCCGCCTTGCAGACATTGGATGGGTTCCCAAAATTCGGGGGCTCCCCTTTAGGCTCCTTGTCATGGAGGTGTGTCATGTTTCCTTTTTAGGGTATCATGAAAGAGCATCTGATTCAAATTAATTGCCCATCAGTGGTCAGGAGTTTCGGCTTCGGATCCTGGCGGCGGACTCAACCCTAAATCTCAAGCCCCCACAAAGCTCTGAATCTCAAGTCCTAGCCCCAAGACGCCCTCGACCCGAAATCGCAGATGTAAACCCTGCAAAACTCTGTGCCGTGAGGAGCCCTGGACAATGTTTACATCTCGACCCGATCTTGCAGTTAACCCAATCTTTCAAAGTCCTTGCTAGACACCAGCTGTAGAGGGAGCCCTTGCCACTGGGGCCAGAAGATTTACAACGGCTTACTGTTTGCGGTTCAGTTCGCCCGAACTTACAGTTCAGTAGGTAGAGTACTGAAGGAGATTACCGGGTAGCTTTGACAAGCGTGTCTTCATACACACACAGCAGGTAGCTGCAGAACATGAGCAGACGGATGTCCGAAAAAAAGAAGACACCGACTGCTTCTGAGAACGCTGCGAACCTCACCTTCGTCTACGGCTGTGTTCGTTGAACCGTACAGCGATCGTACTTTGATCCACGGCAGAAGAGGATGACACCAAATCCTGAAGTCTGTTCAAAGAGACCTTTCCTAGAAGAGTGGGACCAGAAAGTCGGAAGCTTTGGACCCAATCACAGATACGCTCTCATATCACACCGCCTGCCGCAGCCTCCTTTTTCAGAGACGGCAGCACTGCGTGCATGCACGCACTCGTGGACCTTGCAAAAAAGACCCGAAGCCCGAAGCCCCAAACCTCATAGGTCCAAACCCTCTGTCCGACAGCCAAGCCTTGGGGAAGCCAAGGCTCGCTTTCACGAGCTGCTCTCCTACGGCCTCCGGGACCGGGTTTCGGGTGACCTGCGATGTGTCGGTGGCGGCTTTGGAGTTTGGGGGCGTGGGGCTGTAGGGCTTCGGAATCGGAAGTCCAGGGGGTTCAAAGGGTTGCCTTGAGGAGCGGGGTAAAGACTTCTCGAGCCGCAGCTTCTCAGGTTCTTCCCCGAACCGGCTCCCACCTGCAGGAGTGCGTGGCTCGAAGAAACGTGCCTTCAGCACGCCCGAAGCTCAGTGAGAGACCTCTTCCAGGCTAGGGCAGAGAGTTGTTGGCTCCGGGAGCGTTGCGACAGCGAGAGCCGCACACATGTCGCTTGCGTGAGAGCCGAGCGGCCGAGGCGAGATCGTTCGAACAACTTCGCCCATGATGGCGGCTTCGCATGTGTTGTTCGCCAGCTCTTCCGTTATCCTTGAAAGTTTGCCGTGTTAGCAAGGAAAGCTCCTGCAAGCCTTCTGCCAGTGCTGCAGAGGCCTGAAGTTTGGTCCAGCTCCTTCCCTTCCCTCATCTGAGGTGGGCTTCAGCTTGAGCCAGGAGGTGGCACAACATGAACGTGGCTTTATCGACGAGGCTTTGGTATGTGCTTCCATATGTCTCGCAACACACCCGATGCTTGTCCTAGGTGGAGGCCGCCCTTGCATGTCTAGTGGGAGTTTACTTGGATGTGGTTACGACAGTGCTTTGCGATTCGCGGTTCGAGCACGGCGCTTGTCTTACGCTCTCACAGTGCATGCTCGTTCCGTTGCAGCCGGAACGCGTGGGACTCTGGTGATAATTTAATTTCGCTGTCACATCACCTGATGTATCCGAAGCCCCGAAAATGGTTCTCGTCAACCCTCTATCGCCGAGTCCTACACCCCCAACCCCCATTGCCTGAAAGAACATCTGTTGCGTGAAGGTGCTGTCTCTCTGCGAGTTCCTGCCTGAGGGCAGCGAGGACTTGCTGGTGGTCCTCGGGGCCAAGGTGGGGGGGCTATTGTGCTGCGAGGCTGTGAGAATCGAGGTCCAGGCCTCTGAATGGGATCTTCTTGTGGCTTGGTTTCGGGGTACTTGCAGCTCCATGGGCAGTTATAAGTGGGGTTATAAGTATAGGGGAGCTGTAATTAGAACCCATATTATAAGTGGGGTTATAAGTAGGGGAGCTGTAATTAGAACCCATATTAGGGGACTTATAACCCTACTTATAACTACCCATGAACCTCCAAGTACCGTGTCCGTGGGGCTCCCGTCTCGCCGGTGATAAGCCTTACCTCTGGTTAGTAGGAAATGTGGAAGAGTGGTAGTAATAGGAGTAATAGTTGTACCCCATTCCTCCATTCCCTACTAACCAAAGATAAAGATCCCTTCTTTAAAGGAGCCCTAAACCCCTGTAGATCCCTATGAAAGGAACACTAACCAAAGGTAAGAAGCTCCGCCTTACGCACGCAGGTGATGTTGGCCGAGTTTCGATCTGGGCGCACACAGCGCCGCTCCTTGTCGTAGCTGTTGCGGCGCTGCTTCCGCAGTTGAGATGAAGTTGAAGCCAGAGAGCCCAAGATGTTTAGTCACCGCAGGCACCTCGTGCCATGCTAAGAGAGCGTAAAGCACGTAAGGTTTATCTTATTTCTGAATCAGGAGGTATTTTGCTCTCTTGGAGTTGAAGAAACAAGTTCTGCACCATCCCAGCTCCCACGGCTTCTCTCGACGATGCCGGCCCGCAACCAAGACTTGCCTCGCTTGTCAATGTTTCCGATGCCTCGTTCGTTTGTGTTGCAATGTGCCGACACTGGGCGTCCTCTAACCGGATTATCGGATAAAGTCACGTCGTAACTATCATGGTAAAATATCGACTAGTCAGACTAGTCTGGTAGTGCAGTGACCTTCATGGTATTGCAGTAGCTATTGTAGTATTAATAGTAGTAACTGTAGTCTACCTGGATACTAAGTCTCTGCGAGAGTTACAGTGACGTTACGGGCAAGGAATCGACGTCGCCATCCGGGATGTCGGCCCCCTTTCTGCATTGTTTGCCTTCTTTCTTTTCCCGTCCGATTGCTTCGAAGAGCAAATTGAAGTCTTCCGAGAAGGGGAGAAACTCTTCGACAAAGCTTTGTGAGACTTTCGAAACCTTGAGCCCTCAAGCCAAAGACCCTAGACTCTAAAAACTAAACCCTAAGCCAAAAACCCTAGGCTCTAGACCCTCCCTCCAGGTGCCTGGTTGCAGCGAGTATCCTCTCAGTGCACCGTCTGCGATGTCTTCAGCTGGGTGCCTTGGCCACGAGCCTTTGGCTGGGGGCTTTTCTTCGAAAAGTTGAACTAAGCTTAGTTTCTAGGTGCCTCAGCCTGATCGTAAAATTTTCAATTTGTGAGACTGGGCGAAGTCTTGTTCAGGGCGCCGTGGTTTGCTTCAGTCTCTGAAAGCACTGCCATTGAAGGATAGGAGGTGCATCGAACCTACATCACCAAGCTGTTTAAAGTGCACGCCAAACTCTAAACCCACAATGTTAAACTTCCCTCCCTTCTCAGCCCAGGTGGAAACTTGGAAGAAGGAGCGTGGCTCGCGCAGCCCGTGCCTGCTTCTGTTCTTTTGGGGGGAGCAGGCTCAAATAAGGGTGCGTACAGCCACCCACAGCCCCGAGCGCGGCACTGCAAGAACTTGCGAGTGAGGCTCTAAAACCTCTGCTAGACTCGGAAAAGCTGATGATCTATGGTCCTCGTCGATCAGTCGGCATGTTGCGCTTCAAAGAGCGGGAAGGGGAGACTTTTCACCATGTTCGTGAACGCATGTGGGATGTCATCAAGAAGATCGCAGCTGCCAAGCACATGCTCCCCAGCACCAAGGAGACTGGCGAAGAACAAAAACCTATGTGGGCGAGTTTCGTGAAGACCAAAGCCGCGAGAGCGAAATCAAGTTTGGTGTCAATGGTCAGGAGGGTGACTTGCGCTCTTGCTCTCGATGCGAAAACTCCTGAGGGTGGGGTGAAGCACTTGCTCAACACACAGTTCACGGCGTATGACTGCGACTGGTCGTTAGGAACCATCTGGTGCGGGGAACATAAACTCGCCAGCGCAACCCACAAGGCGCCGCAGCTGGGCGAGCACGTGCTCATGAGCGGAGGCTGGGTGTCTCTCGATGCCGTGTCCACCGTGGCAGGATGCACCATCGACGAGGCGAAGGCCGCCCTTGAACGTGAACTGTGACGGGATGAAGTGGATGGTTTCACACAGAATTCAATCCTTGATAATGGGACGACTTTCTCGAGCTCCAAGAGATGGGAAAGGGTTCCTCGCTCTTCTTCTCAGTGTGAAAGACATCGATGGGGAAGAGTTGGTTGCTGGAATCTCGGAGGGCAAAAAGTTGGTCTTCTGGATGTCGCAGCCGCTGACAGTGAACTTTTATTTGTACAAGAAGTTGCTCGTGACAAACCAGGTTGGAATCAAGAAGATTCTGAACACTTCCACTGGGTCACACATCAAGCCGCTGAGCAGTGGAGGGGTGTCGCTGTGGGTTTTGCCCTTGATAAGTTTGATTGCGTCATCAAAAAGATTGCCACCAGGAGAGGAATCTGGGTTCTTGCCAGGATCAAGAACTTAGGCCGAGTTGTGTGTGGTTCCTTGCATGCGCACACAGGGGTGACGAACGCCATCTACCAAGCCGCAATCCATGAGTTCTTTGGTGCTCTCCCTCGTGCGTGGCGTCAATATCCTCTCCTTTGTGGTGTCGATGCCAATGAGACTCCTAGGTGGATCACTGACGATGGTGGGGTTGTTGTGCCTGGAGAATGTTCTTCGAATCTCAATGTGCTCCTCCACGAGGCTCTTCAACTCGGATGCAAACCTTGTGCACCTAAATGGACCCAACGCTTTGCGCCTACTCACTTCCCTCGTGACTCTGAACGCACTGGCAGGCAAATTGATCTCATTCTTTGTCGACAAGTTGGATTGACCGACCTTGTGATTGATGCTGAGCGTAGGCATTGCATTGGCTCTGATCATGCCTTCCTCTTTGCCGAAGTGTGGCTTCGCAACAAAGCTGTCTCCAATCGTTGGGGCAACGACTCGAGGGCGAGATGGGTAGTCGGCGATCTTCCTGAAGACTACATCATTGACGACTCGGATCTCACCCGCCTTGCTCTTGCACACAGCAGGCCTCGCAAGTCGAACTGCTACGTTGATAATGATGAGATCAAGCAGGCAATTGTCACTGCCAGGTCCACTAACAACACAGCTGACTGGAAACGAGTGCATAGGCTGAGAACGACGGCAAGAAAAGAGTGGAAACGGCTTCGTCTACAGCGTGTTCTCGCTGGTGATTGGGGTGACTTCCGACAACTCCAGGCTGACAAGAAACGAAGACGAGGATGGTGGGGTGACATGCTTGAACACAAAACCTCAACTGCTCTTTCTGCTGAAGTACAGACACATCTTCGAAGCAAGATGGTTGATCCAGCACGTGAAGATTGGGATGAGGAGCTCTCTGCACTTATTAGGACTGTGCCGAATGAGGCGACTTTTGTGCCGTTTGAGATCATCGATGTCAGATCTGAACTACAAGGGATGAGGTGCAAGAGTGCTGTTGGTCCTGACCTTGTTGGGGTGCATCTCCTTCGGACCATCGCTAGCCATGATCATCTCGGTCCTCAACTTCTGGATCTGATTAATCATATCGTTCGCACACATGAGATCCCCCTTGTCTGGGAGAAAAGCTTTCTTGCTTTATTAGCAAAAGTTGATGTCCCAACGAAGCCGGGAGATTTACGCCCGATCGCTGTTAGCTCTGCCTTCAACAAGCTCGTGAACCGTCTTGTCTGCTCACGAGCATTGCCTCTTCTCCGACGTGGATCGCGCATCTCCGCTTGTGGGCGTGGTAGACAAGCAGCTGACTTGATCGGGGTGACCTCTAGAGTTCGAGATGTTGTCAAGGAATGGAAGCTCCCTGCTGTGCTTTGCAAACTTGACGTTGCAGGAGCATTTGATCGAATTGATCGCAGGCGAGTCGCAGCTCTTCTTTCTGATCGTCTTGGTGGTCAGGCTGTTCCTTGTGAACTCAGGTATCTTCTGTCCCAACTTCGGTGTCATACCTTGGAGGGGCGTGTGCCTGGGGGTGATGTCATCACGATTCGCCCTAACAATGGGATAAAACAAGGTGCGCCGGAGAGCGCGGAGGTCTTCGGGCTAGTTATAGATGCGCTCCTGTCCGAAGTCGTCAACAGCCATCGTTGGAAAGCATTAGGGGCGAGTCAACCCGGACTTGACATTGAGGTGATGTTCTATCAGGATGACATCTTTGTCCTTGACCATGATCTTGGTACATTGGGGAGACGTGTTAGGATCATTCATCGCTGTCTCCAACGTGCTGGTCTGAAGCTCGCCACGAACAAAACCAAGATCATTGCGAGTCCAGCGTATAAAGGCAGTCGACATATCAGAATTGGAGATGATGAGTTTGTCATTGCTGGGGCGTCGGAGTCCATCAAGGTCTTGGGCTTGGACTTCTCCTTCTTCGCCTCCCCTTCGCAGCAGGCCCAAGAACTACTCAGTCGAACTCGTGCAGCGGCGGCCTCACACCGAGACATCCTGACTGCCAAAGGTCCATGGAGTAAAAAACTCTATATGATGAAGGTTCTTGTCGACAGTCAGTTCACTTGGACGGGCGGGACGATCCACTGGTCGCAAGAAGATCTTCGGGGAGCGAATCTCCTACAACTGCATACGTTAAGGTCCGCCTTTGGCCTTAAGCGACTTGCAGGTGAATCTTGGGTCGACTGGAACAGTCGAAGCATTCGATTCTGTAGAGTTTGGCTTCATAATCAAGGGAATCTCCGGTGGTCACAGAAGATTTTGGGACTTCAACATAGTCTCCATGGTCACTGGATCAGACACAAAGAAAGCCTCTCGAATGGGATCCTCGCTGACTCACTGCCTCTTCGCGCACTTAAGTGGAGATCCACATCCTGGTGGCGAGTGCAACAAAGTCTCTCTGCAAGTGTTGGTCTCCGTCACCCTGGTAGATTTTATCCTTCCTGCCCCGAACGTCAGTTTAGTGATTGCCTTGGAAGTGAGTGGAGCAACATTGCTCTAAATCGTCATCATTGGTCTGCTGCCCGAGAACAATACATTGCCTTTTGGGATATTCGCTGGAGTTCCGGTCGGCAGTTGGCACTTCGATATTAGTCTGTTTTGTTGTCCCTTGGGGTGAAGTCACTGGTCTACCTGTTGGCTGAGTTTGGGGACCTTTACTTGCTGGTGAATGAGTGCTTTCTCCTGTTTTTCTCACGAGATACGGTTGCAGCCTTGGTCCTGGTTGAAGTGATTGAGATTTCTGCAGCTCGAGTTTGTATTTTTCTGGAAGTGATTGCGAATGCTGAATCTTGCAGTTCATGTACGACAGTCGCATAAACACACATGTCTTCACTGAAGTGAATGCCGGTGTCGAATGGTGCCAGTACTACAATGCCCGTGTGATCATTCTGGGTTCAAGGTGCTTTGGAAACCCTGCCTCCTTTGCCCTCCTCTTCGTGATGGCTTTCCTCGGATGGCTGCTCTTCGTCTCCTTGGGCGGCCTCTGTGGTGCTGGCCCTAAGGCTGCTGGTGATGGTCCGGTCGATGACGGTTGGGAAGAACAATGGCAGTCCAGTGAGGAACAGTGGCCTGCGTGGTGCCTATTCGATGCTGGTGACTCTGCCCCTTCCTCCTCCTGGCAATCCTCCTGTGCACCCTCGTCGTCATCTGTGCACTGCCCTCTCACCCACGCGCAGAGGGTCGCCTACATGAGTGCTGCCTGGGATGAGGAGATTTCTCTTGGAATACAACTGGAGGAGAATAGCCAGGATGTGGGTGAACAACCACTGGGAGAAGTTCCTGACCAAGCAGTGGCTCCTCATCCAGCTCCTCACGAGATTCCCCTACCTTTTGCAGGCTCAGAAGCTTCGAGCCCTCAAGAGGACTGGCTGTTGAAGGTTTTGGATACACGAGCTCTTCGTCGTGCTGATGGACGTGGACGGGTTCTTGGTTGTGTGCCTGCAGACACTGGGGCGACTTCCTCCTCTTCTTCGTCTTCTACAACTGCGCCGACTTCGTCTTCATCCTTACCTTTGAGGGGTGACTTACAGTTCGGTGAGGGTGACCCTTTGGATCCTACAAGGCCTTCTTCCTCTTCGGTCTCCTCTTCGGCCTCCTCTTCATCTGCCTGCCCACCTTCGCTTCTCAAGATGGCGCCCAAGTATGGAGCCGCTGACTCGTCACAGACGGATGACGCGGGAGTGGTGACTCGATGGGGAACGAAAGGTCCTGGTCGTGATCGTTGGCATAATCCTGACGGGTCCCTTGTCCATCGCACTCGGCAGCCCCCTGACGACCTAAACGTCGCAGCTGCTAGCCACGCTCAGCCAATGACACCTGCGCTCCCTGCCGTGCCAGAGAACGATGAAACTAACGGAGATGAGGCGCCTTTTACAGTTACTGGCTCCACTTCTTATGATGGTGAACCCGTCCTCCATGCGGTGACCTTCTATGGCAGGGAGTTTCTGGTGAAGTGCAATGGTGATGAAGAAGCAGGGGAGTCCACTACAGCAGGAGAAGACAGCGAAGACTTGGGTGAAACAAATAGCAGTGAAGCAATGTCCAGTACAGTGGGTTTTTGGCAACATGGCAGCTGGCACGCCCGAAGCAGAACGCCGGCTGAGCAACGCGCCCATGTTGGAGGTGCAGGACCCCGCCGAACCCAACGCAGGCGTGAACGTGTTGAACGCTATCTTCGTGGGGAGTGGAGACCCAGCTGGTTGGAGGACTACATTGTGCAAAAGCAACAGAGAGACAAGGACGTGCAGAACCCCTCTTCTGTCTCGGAGGGCACTGCTAGCGTCTCTTCGTGTCCACCTGGAACCTCTGCTGCATGTGAACCTTCCTCCGCTGATTCCGCTCCCTTGGCTGAGACACAAGAAGCAGGCAGCTGGACTTGGCACGACCACTACTCCTGGGCATCTTCCTGGTCCGATCCAACCTGGTCCTCCTCTTGGAACTCCTCTTCTTCCTCGTCTTGGTGGACCTCATGGCAACATCAATGGGGGTGGAACGAGGAGCAGCAGCAGGAGAATGAGAATGATACTGCCGACCAGCACGTCGAGGAGTGGCCTTGGCCTGGTGACACTACAACCTCCACCACGTCCTCGTCGAGCTCCTTGGCTATCTCCTACCCGCCGAACTACGGCCTGTTTCCTGCAGTCCGAGACCTCGAACCAGATGAGCTGGCAGGGGATGAAGTTTTTATGATGCAGTTAACCAACTCGGAACGTGCCCTTCTTCAGGAACGGGGTGTTCCCAACTCGGTGGTGGGTCGTATTGAGACGATGCTGAACACCATGGATCGGCAACAACAAGAAGGCAGAGGAGCTGAAGGGCGATGGGCTCTTGGATGCTTCCTGAATAGGGCCACAGAAGGACTTGAAGCAATGGAACAGGCCATGAGCATCCTTCAACGTCGACTCCTTCCTCGCGGATATCTACCCCTTCGTCGAGTACCTCGCCAGGAAATGATGCGCTGGTCGTTGTTCCAATGGGCTCGCAACCAACGTGTTATACTCGAAGAGACTTTGGGGCGACATCTCGATGTTGGTCTCCTTCCAGCAGACAGCGACATGGAACCGGGGGAAGGACACAGGGAAGGGGAAGAACCGAGCCCAGCGAGTGTGGTGGCAACTGAAGCTGCTCCTTCTTCACCTCGCGAAGCAGTCAGCATTACCCCTACAACTTCGGCTCGGGAAGGCTTCGGTCGTGTTACCCAGTCTTCCTCCGATGAAAGGACGAGTGACTTCGCTCTCAATTCTGATGGGGAGATGGTATCCGTGCCCTCTGCTGCTGGATCGCATTCTGAACCCCGTGGTCCACCTCCTCCTCAACCAGTTCAGTATGAAGGGTCGATCGCCTCAGCTCTAGAAGGAAATCTTCATGGTGTATGGTGGGAACCTGGTCAAGCTGCTCATGGTGATGCTGGAGATGAAGAAATCATGGCTACTGAAACAGAGGGGGATGCAGACCACCGTGGTCCATCATGCAGCTCCTCTTCTTCCTCTGCCAGTGGCTCAGTACGTGGAGATCGCGTGGTCCCTGATGCATCTGCTGAGCCTGAGCCTTCCACTACGGGGGTGCACACTGAACCTGTGCCCTCTACTACTGGACTGGCACTCTCGAGTACCACGACGTTGTCCACGAGCTTCATGGTGTCTACGACGAGTACAAGCTTGACGACCACGACTTCCTGTTCGAGCTCTTCGTGTTTGGCGTCCTCCTCGCTCTCCGCCCTGCCTGGACCTGTGCCTTGAGTACGAGTGTCGATGGCCACCGAGACGACCCCGCAAAGATCTACATGTGTGTTCTGCTCCTGCTGTTCTGAGCTGGTGGGTTTGCTCTAAGAGTGCATATCCTAAAAAGGATGGACCATCGTGCGAGCGAAAGGCCACTGCACTTTAAAAAAAAAAAAAAACCTTAAACCCTTAAGCCCCTAGACCCCCTAAACCCCTAAACCCCTAAACCCTCAGCCCCTAAACCTTAAACCCTTAGACCCCCTAGACCCCCAAACCCCCTAAACCCCTAAACCCCTAAACCCTCAGCCCCTAAACCTTAAACCCTTAGACCCCCTAGACCCCTTAAACCCCCTAAACCCCTAAACCCCTAAACCCTCAGCCCCTAAACCTTAAACCCTTAAGCCCCTAGACCCCCTAAACCCCTAAACCCCTAAACCCTCAGCCCCTAAACCTTAAACCCTTAGACCCCCTAGACCCCCAAACCCCCTAAACCCCTAAACCCCTAAACCCCTAAACCCTCAGCCCCTAAACCTTAAACCCTTAGACCCCCTAGACCCTTAAACCCCCTAAAACCCCTAAACCCCTAAACCCTCAGCCCCTAAACCTTAAACCCTTAAGCCCCTAGACCCCCTAAACCCCTAAACCCCTAAACCCTCAGCCCCTAAACCTTAAAACCCCCTTAGCACCTCCAGACCCCCTAGAACCCCCTTAAACCCCTAACCCTAGCCACCCCCTAAACCCCTTAAACCAGCCCCTAAACCTTAAACCAGACCCCCTAGACCCCCAAACCCCCTAAACCCCTAAACCCCTAAACCCTAAACCCTCAGCCCCTAAACCTTAAACCCTTAGACCCCCTAGACCCCTTAAACCCCCTAAACCCCTAAACCCCTAAACCCTCAGCCCCTAAACCTTAAACCCTTAAGCCCCTAGACCCCCTAAACCCCTAAACCCCTAAACCCTCAGCCCCTAAACCTTAAACCCTTAGACCCCCTAGACCCCCAAACCCCCTAAACCCCTAAACCCCTAAACCCCTCCCTCAGCCCCTAAACCTTAAACCCTTAGACCCCCTAGACCCCTTAAACCCCCTAAACCCCTAAACCCCTAAACCCTCAGCCCCTAAACCTTAAACCCTTAAGCCCCTAGACCCCCTAAACCCCTAAACCCCTAAACCCTCAGCCCCTAAACCTTAAACCCTTAGACCCCCTAGACCCCCAAACCCCCTAAACCCCTAAACCCCTAAACCCTCAGCCCCTAAACCTTAAACCCTTAGGCCCCCTAGACCCCTTAAACCCCCTAAACCCCTAAACCCCTAAACCCTCAGCCCCTAAACCTTAAACCCTTAAGCCCCTAGACCCCCAAACCCCTAAACCCCTAAACCCTCAGCCCCTAAACCTTAAACCCTTAGACCCCTAGACCCCCAAACCCCCTAAACCCCTAAACCCCTAAACCCTCAGCCCCTAAACCTTAAACCCTTAGACCCCCTAAGCCCCCTAGACCCCCAAACCCCTAAACCAATGAACCCTAACTGGGCCGCCTTGGGGGTCAGCCATCTCCAGAGGACAGTGTCATCCTGCAAGAAAAGAACCCTTAGGGTTTAGGGTTTAGGGTTTAGGGTTTAGGGTTTAGGGTTTAGGGTCCTCATGTACCTGGAGGAATAGCTCCTTAACCTCTGAGGAACTTCAGACATTTTGTGGAGCATTCCTTGTGTATCATCTTAGAACGCCCTTAGAGTTTCAGGATGTCTTCCTTGACTAAGTGGTCTTGGGCCCCTAAACCCTAAACCCTAAGTCTTGGGCCCCAAAACCCTTCTCTGCGATGCCAGGCATGTCGTCCTTCATTAGTGGCAAGGCGGTGGCGAACCGGAGCGACTTCCTGAGGCATTTGAAGAAGCTCAGGCGCAGGGTTTCGGCCTTTAGGGGCTTGGGGTTTTAGGGTTTGGGGTTTAGGTTTAGCGATGTTGAGAATTGGAGATATTTTAAGGATTGAGCTAATTAATTGGCCCATTGGCCCTAAAGCTTTAGCCTGGGATGAACCCGGCCCTTGCAGTCAGAAGCTTCTTGTTTGGGTGGAAGCCTTGGTGAAGGCAATGTCTCAAACCTTAGATCCCCAAGACCTAACCCTTAAACTTTTTTTGGGTTCTTACAGTTTAGTAGGAATCGGAAAGTTTGACCCTGTATTTCTGCGGCTTATTGGGGTAGTAAGAAAAAGCAAATCGAGCCGAACACCCTCAAAGCCTCAATCCCCAACTTCCCCGCCACCCTTAAACCCTAAATCCTGACTATCTCTGCCAGGGATGCAGAGGACGGCGAGGCTTATGTGAGGGAGCTCTGTGAGGTGGTGCAATCCTCAGTCAGGTTTTAAGGGGTTTGGGGAGTATGGTTAGGGTTTAGGGTTTCGGGGTGATGAGTTTAGGGTTTAGGAGTTTACGGGTTCAGGGTTAGGGTGGGTTTTGGGTTTACAATTTGGGGGTCGACGGTGGAGGTTTCGGGGTTTCGGGTTTGTTTCAGGGCTTCAAGGTTTTCAGCGGGTTCGGGAAGCTTTCTAGCAAGATTCTATAAGGGTTCGAAACGGATCCCAGCATTCTATCCATCAGTGAGCAGAATCTGTGCTTGGTGTTGTTTTGCTTGACTTTGATTGCTATGCTCTCTTTCATGCTTTGCCCGGATCTTCTTCCTAAGCCGTAGTGTGTAGAGCACCGGAGGCCTTGTCAGACGGCACGGCGAATCGGCATATTGCATATTGTGTTTTATGAGAGGACGTTGCGCAGGATTGATTTTTCGATGAGCCTCCGACTCCGACGGGTGTCACTTGAGGTGCACGCCTTGCGCAGCCCGTGCCTTCGATTCCGAATCTTGCGCGATGTCGTGGGCTCCCTGGCAGCAAGCTTTCAACTTGAAAGTGCTCTTTGCCCATCGGTGTCGTAGCTGTTCCACATGATCGCGTTTGCATCCGATTCAGCTTGTGTCCAGGATGAGGTAGTTCGAATTCCCGGCTCTACATCCTTTCTCCAGCTTGCTCATGAACCCAGGAGATGCGGTTTGCAATTCGTGCTGGTGTGGATTTCAATCCTGGCATATTGGAATCTTCTGGAAGTATGTCTGCCGGTAGGAACCGGCGAAAATCAAATCTGCTTGGGCTCAATGTGTGCGAAAGCAGCATTGGACGAATAGCGTTAGCAAAAGCGTAATTGCACAAACACATCCGACTGCCATCGCCATAATGATGAGGATGAGATGACTGTTGCAAGTTGTTGGTGTACACCTCGTAGATGGCAGACACGTCTTTGTTCGCAGATTGCCTCTTTGCTCTTGCTTGCTATGCACATTCCTCGCCCCTCGCCCGGAATGCGGTTGTAAGGGCTGGACGACCGCTTCTCGCGCAATGTGATCCACGCAATCGTTTGCTTTGCATTCGACGCTTGGCTGATGACTTGGACGGCACTTGCAAGGCTTGTCATGGTTTCCAGGCGGATGTCCACAGTCTTCAGCCAGACATGTCTGCAAGGAGTACCACCTCATCTCGAGTCGCTGTTCAAGACTTCCCGTACATGCACTAAGCCGTAGACCTCAACCCTCAACAGACGTATATATATATATATATATATATATATATATGGTGAAAGCTCAGAGGATATCTTCGTTCCCCGGGCACGCTCCGCCTTCGAAGTGGACGAGGCGACGCGGCTCGAGGCGCCGACGCTGGAGCTGGTGATGGTCTTTCGTATTACTCGTATTTGTAGATCAGTATTCTTATATGTAGTGATGGCAGAAGTAGTAGTGATAGCAGTAGCAGTCGTAGTAGTAGTAGTAGTAGTAGTAGTAGTAGTAGTAGTAGTAGTAGTAGTAGTAGTAGTAGTAGTAGTAGTAGTAGTAGTAGTAGTAGTAGTAGTAGTAGTAGTATAGTAGTAGTATAGTAGTAGTAGTAGTAGTAGTAGTAGTAGTAGTAGTAGTAGTAGTAGTAGCAGCAGCAGCAGCAGCAGCAGAAGTAGCAGTAGCAGTAGTCGTAGTCCTCGTAGCGGTAGCAGTAGCAGTAGCGGTAGCGGTAGCCGTAGCGGTAGCGGTAGTAGTAGCAGGAGCTAACTGGTTAACGTCGCTTCCGGAACCTTCCTATGCTATGATGGAAATGCTGTGGTTTGCTTGAGACCTCCACAGACACGAATCTAGGAAACCACCCATAACACGAGAAGAACCTGAATGTCATCGCCACAGCGCAGGTGGAGGAGTCCGAGAGGATTTTCCGCCGGCCTTCCCGTGCTACTTGATAAAAATTGGTGCGGCAAGTCTTTGGTGGAGCTTGCAGGCGGTTTAGGGTTAGGGTTCATAATATACCAGAATATACTATAGTATACTATAGTATACTATAATATACTAAAATATACTGTGATATACCATAATATACTATAATATACTGTAATATACTATGATATTTGTGGGAAGCACGACAGTAGATAGAGAGGCACACTTCGTAGCAGCGGGTTTGCGGGGCAGCAGGCCCAACTCGTTGTCAGATCTAATGACTCGATCAAAGCTGAGAGGAGTTCTGAGTGCCGACTGTTGCTACTGTGGCCTTGAAGGGTTTGAGGGTTAGTTTTCTCTTTTGCAACTGGTTCGCATGATGTTCTCCATATGTAAATACTAAGCGACTCGTGTGGATGCAATCACACTAACTTTCGGGTGTCGATGTATGTACGTATAACTGTCTGTCTTTCTGTATGTATGTCTGTCTGCATATGTCTATGTCCGCGCGTGTGTGTGCATATGTATGTACGGATCAAAATCTGCTCGATGTATTTACTGACAAAATTAACCGATGACAACACTGTCGTCAATGACAGCGGGTGATGATGACGGTGCTGGTGATAATGGCAACGATGGTGATCGCAGTTCACCATGTAAGACGATGATGCAGGTGGTGAGAACGGGTTCAGCACCCGTGCATGCATACAGGCATACCGACGCAAACTCTCATCCCTAAACCCTAAGCCTTGGTTCTGCCTCAGTACAATTCACCCTTAACCCCAAACCCTAAACCCTAAACCCTAAACCGAGCCCCAGCCTAAACCCCCCCCCCCCCCCCCTATGCAAGGAGATCCTGGGGGTGGAGACCCCAGAGCTCTTCTCTGCAGACCCCTTGGGACTGCAGCCACGGCTCTCGCGAGCTCAGTGCGGACACCCGGTGGGGGGGGCGCGGAGTGGGTGGGAGTTTAGGGTTTGGTTTAGGGTTCAGGGTGCACGAGCCGAGTAGCTTCGCCACGGCAAGTACTAACGCTATGGGAGTGGGTGGGAGTTTAGGGTTTGGTTTAGGGTTCAGGGTGCACGAGTAGCTTCGCCACGGCAAGTACTAACACTATGTAAGCAGCTAAGGAACGAAGGGGTGGAAGCTTTTTGGAGGGTCCGGGAAGTTTGGGTGGCCTAGCTGCAGAGACAGAGATTATCGTGGGTCACTTGTGTGTTGCCTTGCGTGCTAGAGCTCAGGTCCCCTAGGGTTCAGGGTTCAGGGCTTAGGGTTTAGGGTATTGTTTCAGATTGCTTTTGGAGGTCGGGCTTTGCGTGGTTGGAGGCTGAGGTTCTTAAGGACTCGTGATCAAAGGATTGTGAGGTAAGGGCCGGTCGCAGGTGCGGGCGCAAAACTTGAAGGTCGGCCTTTGTGTCTACACCGCCAATATGGGAGTTTCCGAAACTGGGGGACACTAATATAGTCTACCCTAAACAGTAGGACCCTTATACTAAGGACCCCAAACCACAAAGGTACTCCCAAGTACTTCGGACACTCCCAAGTGCTCTTCGGCCTTCCAGGCGCCCTCTCAGTGGAATCAAGCCTCGGAGGCCATCTTTGAAACCGGCGCGATGTCCTAAATACCGTTACTACAGGAGCCCTAATAATTGCCTATACTATTTTGGGTGTTCCTTATTATAATTATAGTAGAACGGGACCCAAAACCCTTTTCTAATTATCAAGGCCCTTACAGTAGTCGACCTCGCCTGAGGTATCGCCAGAACCGCAGCCGCAAGAACTGAGGCTGAGGTCCCAGAGTCAGTCTGCGGACTTTCTCAGGGTTTAGGGTTTAGGGTTTAGGGTTTAGGGGTTTAGGGTTTAGGGTGCTTTGAATTCAACCTTGCGATTCGGCAGGACAAGCTCGCACGCAAGTCTGATGCAAGGAAGTTGACTTCCCCCAAGCACCAACACCCATCAATCAGGCAATGTACCACTTTGACGATCTTTCAATAATGCATTCGATAAGCCTGTAAAGCACTCATGAAAGCCTCGTCAGCTTATACCAAAGCTTTTCAAGGGCTACTCACTGTTTGAGGTTTGATATATGAGCGCAAATAATTGGAGATCTTCTACGCTTATAGTCCCTGTATATCCGTCTGCTATAGTTTTTTAACCCCTCAAAGCCCCAGTCTACAGAGGCGGCCCTGCACCCCAAACCCCTAAACCCCTAAACCCCTAAACCCCTAAATCCCTAAACCCTTAAACCCCTAAACCCTAAACCCCAAACCCTAAACCCCAAATAAACCCTAAACCCTAAACCCCTAAAGCCCTAAACCCCTAAACCCCTAAACCCTTAAATCCCTAAACCCCTAAACCCTAAACCCTAAACCCCTAAACCCCTAAAGCCCTAAACCCCTAAACCCTAAACCCCTAAACCCTAAACCCTAAACCCTAAACCCCTAAACCCCTAAACCCCTAAACCCTAAACCCCTAAAGCCCTAAACCTTTAAAGGCTATCAGGCTCTTTGGGCTACCCGAAGCCAGGATCGCTGAAGACGGGGGCGCTGCCGCTTTGAGAGCGCAGCGACTTCCGGCTACGCACAGAAGGCCGGGGGGAAGCACCGTTCCGAGGTTTTAGGGTTTAGGGCTTAGGGTTTCGAGGTTGAGTTTCCAGAGTTCATGGGTTCGGGGCTGTAGGGTTTTGGGTCTTTGGTTATTGCGTTTTTTCTTGTTATTGTACCCTTTGTCCCATCGTGCGAGCAAGCTTGCGCAGGTCGACGTCGCTTACTGCTTTTCAAAGACCGTGAAGGTCGTGGTACGCCCTCGGCAACAACTGGGTTCTGGAACATGAAAGGGTTATTGTTGAGGTATGACGGTATGTATGTACACTGAAACAGGACACTCCATGACTGCTTCGCGTGGATGTTTTGAACGTTGCGTCCTTGGCGGTTTCTGGACCCATGTAAAGTCGTGCATGGCGATTCTTAATTCGCGGGCCACTGCTCTTTTGCCGCAGATTGCTGCCCCCAACGGCGGTTTTCAGGCGCAGTGTCCTGCAAGCCTTCTTGGCATCGGCTGTGCTGCACAGACCCCATCTTAGCCACAGGTCTGCTGTACATACCCGGATGGGGCGTTGCCTATGCCAGTCCTCTTCCGTGTGTCCAGGTACGAGTTTTGAAGCGTTGCCTCCGAGTCCTAGACCGTTTTAGGCCGCACAAGGGCCAGAAGAGAGGAGCCTGATTAAGCAGGCTGACCTCAGAGACTTCCATGGTAACATTAGAACCTAGATCCCGAACTTCCGCTAGTTAAGCTGAACACTACACCCCTAGCGAGCACAAGCTACGGGCCAGAGGGATGCCGTGCAGAGTTCGCAGTTAGCTTATCAGTAACCCTCATTCGGGGTTTGGTATGTTATCGTAAGTACAATCTCAATGCGAGGACAAACAGGATATTAACGATGCCAGTTTCATCGTGGGTCTGTCTGCTGTTCACAGTGGTATTTATGAACATGGTGCATCTGTTTCGCGTCTGTGGTACAGAGTGCAGCCACCACATGGAAATGCCCTGCATTGCCCACAATTCCTGAAGCTTTAGGCCCCCTGGACCCTGAAGCCCCAAGCCCATAAAGCCCCCCGTACGCCCTTAGACCTCAGCACTTAGTAAAGCCCCAAACCCTGGTCTTCTGTTTGAATGTCTGCCTGCATCTTCCGCTCTTGTGGGGCCACCCGGCAAGTTCAGAACTATAAGTCGGATGCAAAACATGTCGGATGTCGACAGCAGGACAGTGTAAGGCCAGATTAACGAGGGATCCGGCGTTTGGGACTATGATGGGTCTATGGATGTCTAGGAGTCTAGGGTTAGCAACAGGTGCGGTTTAGAGGAAGCCAGAGGCTGCTGTATATCTTGAAACACAAAGCGCAGGATGGTGTAGTCCAGGCCCAGTCTGGGCTTAGGGTTCCTTTAAAAGGGAACTATAAGGGTTCCTATAATGGGATCTATAAGGGTTTAGGGTCTACTTGGAGGCATGTGATGTTTGGGGAGGCCCCAAGCAATGTAACTTGGAACATCCGAGCCCTGGGTCCTCAAGCTCCTGCAGTTTGATCTGTCTTCGTTTGGCCATGGGATGCATCCGCGATGGCATCATTGCCACATCGATTTCGCTTCCAGATGCCTTATGGCTTGTTTCTTGTTTCTTCTTGTTTCAAGAATTTGGTTCGCGGAGCCTGCACGCTATGCAGAACTGACGAGCTACTGGTAGGCGGCAATAGAGGGACGACCAGTATGCCACAAGGCTGATTGCTGTTTGCTTCACTCTCATGACTCGAAGACGCATGCATCCCCTCAGCATGCTTTGAGATTGTAGATATCTGGCCCCACTATTCAACAAGCCCTAGTTTGTGCTCAGCAGGGCAAGATAGATCTGCAATCATCTAGATCTCAAAAACCCTGTTGTCCTGCGCCGATCAGACTACAAGCGATGCTGGTGCAATCGGATTGATGCTCACGACTGTGCAGAGTGCAAGCTTGGTTCTACGAACCTGTCCAGGTGTGAAGTGCGGGCAAGTGACATTTCGGGGTTTTGGAAGCCTTGGGGTAGGTTTAGGGATCGCACGGCTTAAGCTTAGGTTGGGGTGTCTTATGTTGCTGAAACCCCCACTTGGGAGAGCAGATCCGATTGAGGTTCATACTTCAATCGATCCGAAAAAGCCGACCACTGCCAGAGTAACAGAGCTCTGAGGCAACATGGAGGCACCAGAAAGCAAACTGATCAACAGACAAGCTGCTTGGTGCATCATCTTGCGCGTTGCCAGCAGAAAGTCCCCAAGTATGCCACTAGAATTTGGGAACGGCGCGTGCTGTTTGATGCAATTGTACGGCTCTCTTCCATTATCCGGAGTGGCAATGCAGGCGCAGTCTTGAGGGACAGAGCTCTTGAGGCATAGCGTGCATCCAGAATCTAGTTCTGTTCTCAATCGTACTGAGTCAGGACTTTGTACTCAAGTGAGCTACAGATCTGTGTGAGTGAAGCCCTCAGCTGACTATATTCTGCAGTGCTGTGCGACTTACTCGCGATTTGAAAAACCCTTTCAAGCGCTGCCACCCGGGCAGGTTTTGTGATCTGGAGCCCTGCTAGATGTGCTGCAGTACCACCTCAAGCAGAAGCTTATTACTTGTGATGTCATGGCCTTCCTTAGTGCTAACCAGACATATTCCGCAGACCTTGAATCATGAGGTGTCCTTGTTCTAGACTTTATCTGCTGTACCATCGCCGGCAGAGCATGCTGACTAGCTGCTGGTCAAGCACCGGCGTGGGGTGCAAATCAGCGTTGGAAGTTTCTCACAGGAGGGTTCCAGGTTGCATCAAGCTGAGGAAGCCTGAACGCATTTCGCAACAGTTGTTTCCGCGCCATCGTGCTGCTGCTGCTGCCCCCGCCCAATGATGCGATGACTACTTCAGTCGTAGGAGAACAGATATGCACTACCAGTGCACGTGCGCTTCTCGCGAACAGCGGTTGAGGCTAAGCATGTGCAGTGGTGGTATGCAGGGATCTGCGGCAGCAACGCTTGTTTGGAGGTGCGCTGTTCCAACGCCCACCGCTCCCATGATACGAATCAATGCAGGCACTGATACGATGGGCTCCCACGTTCGGCAACGGCTGGGGATCCCTTTGTTCCCAGTTCTTTCGAGACCAATGCCTGCAATTGCTTTGACTCATCCGAGTAATCGGTTCCAGTTGCGTCGTCCGAGCCACTGAGTCTTCAGGCCTTAAAACACGGCGGAAGTTATGGACATAGCAGAGGCAGGTTTGAAGACTCAGGGTGTGATGGTTGAGGCTCTGGGGCGAGTCGGGATGAGTTTCCAGAGAGAAGATAGCCACCGCACGGCCAATTGGTGTCCCTGCTCTGGATGCTGTGCAGCTTTCCCTGGCGGGCTGAGGGCCTCCGGGTGTCAAAGGAAGTAGAGACTGTGTTTCGTGGGATACATGCAGTCCTGAGACTTTAGGCCCTACCCCCCGCATCGGGGGTAGTCTTCGCACGAGCCTTCCTACGCTCAGCGTCCAGTGACGGGGATATTGATGTGCCGCCGGTGGCAAGCGGACGAGAGCGGAAAATGTTATGTTTGAGATGCATATTGTAGTTGTTCGTGTTGTTGTTCTTGTTGTTGTATTTGTTAATATTTCTTATTCTCATGATTGGTATCGTTGTTGGTTTTGAAGTGCTATTAGGCTTTTTGTCTTCTTCTTCTTCTAATGTTAATTGAAATTATGATTACTGTTAGTAACAGTAGCAGGATTAGTATTAGTCTTAGTCTTAGTATGTGTAAGTCTGAGTCGTAGAGTTAATTCGTTTTGGTATCAGAAGTATTCGTACTGGCACTAGTGTTAGTATTAGTACTCGTATCAGTATAAGTATCACAATTAGTATCAGTAGTACTGGTACTGTTATTGTCATTATCACTGTTATTGTTATGGTTATTGCGCTTGTTATTGTTGTTGTTGTTGTCGTTGTTGGTGGTATTGTTGTTAATTATTGTCTTGTATTTGTACTTTCATTGTTCGTGTCATTTGTGATCAGTACGATTATTCCTGCTATCTTTATGATGACTATCATGGCCTTGATCAGACCATGATTATGAGGACAATTCCAACTAATTTTCAAGTTGCCATTAATATTGTTAGTACGAATAATTGAATAACCTTTGTCTTTGTTTACTCGTTTGTATACTTTTGACGTACTTTGTTCGTTTGTTTGTTTAATTATTAGTTTCCGATTTTTATTGTTATTGCTGTTATCATTACCATGATTATAATTGTTACCCTTGCTGATTTCGGGCACAAGTGGCTGCAATAGGTAGCTTGGCATCTTTGGCAAAGCTCCTGGACTTCTAGACTTCTAGAAGGATCGAAACGGTTTCGAAGTCAATCCGCTTGTGGAGCCCTGACAGAAAGGACGCTCATCAAACCCTAAGCTCCAAACCCCGAACCGCAGAGGTCCCCACAGGAGCCCTACATAAGCCTAAACCCTAAACCCTAAACCCTAAACCCCAAAGCGGGTGCCTGCGCTGCCGTTTTCTTCAGTGGCTCGATTCGTGACGGAGGCGCTGCACGGGTGCACCGGTTGCTGCTCCTCGGCTTCGATAGCCCGAGGTACACGGTTTAGGGTTTAGGGTTTAGGGTTTAGGGCGTGTAGCCCAAGGTCACCATGGTAGGGATTCAGGTATGCAGATCCGATGCGAGCTCCTTTATAGTTGTGGCAGCTTGGGTTAAGTTTCAGGCTGGCCGGGAATAAGGTTCGTCAGTCTCTTGGTAGCATCCCCAACCCTAAACCCCAAACCCTAAACGGAGCAGAAATAGGCCTTCAAAGCAAAACGCTAAAATCCCAAAGCCCTAAAACCCTAGGTTCCGAGCCCAAGACCCTAAACTCTAAAACCCTAACATCCTAAAGCCCTAAACCCCTAAGTTCTGAACCCTTAGACCCTAAACTCCAAAAGCCCGGGTTGAAGCTTCTTCTCGAGAGGTTTAAAGCGGCCTTTGGCGCTGAATATTGCAGACTCAGTACCTTTGACTAGGGTGTGGGTTTTGGGGGTTATAGGGTTTAGGGTTCAGGTTGCTTTGACTAGAGATTTGGGGTATAGTCAACCATGCCTACAGTAAGGAACCCTGAAGGAAAGGTGTTACTGATTGGTTGTTCAGACTTCTATAGTGCTATAGTACCCGCAAGCGAAGTCCCGGGAGCAAAAGCAAAGCCCCGATGCCCAAAACCTGCAGACCAGACAGCCGCAAGCTAAGAAGGCCCGACCTACAATCTAGAGCTTGAAACCCTGTAAGAATGTGCCCCCACAAGCCTTTTTCGCCATAAGCTCTCCACCCTCTTAGATTAAGAAGCCGAGACCCTTATCTCAACGCCCTTGAGTGCCGGCCTAAGGAGATCATACCGTCAGAACCTGACCAGGGTGGGCCCGGCCTGCTTCTCGTCGCTTCGGTTCTGGTTTTGGCTTCGGAGATGCGGAGTTTGAGGCAGAACACTGGGATACACGGTTCAGGCACCTGGGAAAACGCCCAGAACTCATGAAGCCACACTCCATGACCCAGGGGGTATTTACCGGCCTCTATCTTACCTTTGGTTAGTAGGGAATGGAAGAATGGTAGTAATAGTGGTTGTAATTGTGTCCCATTCCTCCATTCCCTACTAAGCAAAGGCAAGCTATCCGGTCTGCAGCCGCCCTTCCTGACACGACCGCCAGGTAATTCCTGCGCAGGGAGCAGCTTCCCCGAAACAAGTCCAGAGAAGGCGGGCTCGGGACCCTTAGCACAGGCTTCAAAGTACTGTAGGGGCCGACATAACTACCTATACTATTTTGGGGGGTTCCTTATTATATTTATAGCCTTCTGGGTCCCAACAACCCTAGTCTAATGATTAAGGCCCCGATATTAAGCAACTAGACCGGAGATTATGTGCGGGATCCTTGTGCGGAGCGTCACAGCGTGTTTGGGCTCTCGGGGCGTCGCGACTGCATTTCAGGGATCTTATTGTGACACTGTTCTGCCAAGACAGTCAGGAATTCAAGAAGCCTCGACGTACATGACCTTCATGGATCACATGACTGTCTTTCCAATTCTCGCGGCTACTTGCGAGACTCTACGCAATGGCACTGCTTGGAGAAACCTTCGTTGCTGCAGCCTCGGCTTCCATTCATCAGGTCAGCGTGAGATTCTACATCGAGCCCTTAAATGCCCACCACCAACCGTAAACCTTAAGCCCTGCACCTAGATCTTCAGTTTCGGAGGAGGAGGGCACCATCAGAGAGCTTGCTCGAACCCGTCGGACCTCGCTTCGGGGTGCATATGTTGAAGGAGCCTAGTCGTTTGCGTATATCCTAAACCCTAAACCCTAAAACCCTAAACCCTAAAACCCTAAACTCCGATCTGGAGTTCCGGATTATCATCTTTGCATCATTAGCTGTCATGCTCGATCTGTTCTTCGCAGTCGCCCTTTCAAGTTCATCCTTCTCTTCCTCCGCAGCCTCGTTATCCTACCTCACAAGCTATGCCCGAAAACCCCCACACATCAACCCTGAACCCCGCAACCCTACAGCCTCAGTCACTAGCCAAACCCCAAACCCCAGGACAAAAAAACCCAAACCCCAAAACAGAAGACATCAAAACCCGAAACCTCAAAGCCCAACTACCCCCCCCCCCCTTAGAGCCCCAGATCCCCCCAAGAACCCGAAAGCTCCTAAACCCTAAACCCTAAACCCTATTCCTTCGCTAACCCGAGGCCCCTCCCGGTCCTGGTCTCACTCCTCAGCCTCCTCGCGCCTCGCGCACCGCGGCCGGTGGACGTGTGGGAGGCTTGATCTGGTCATAGGAGCCTCAATTAGAATAGGGTTTTTCCCTTTTAAAAAAGGGATCCTTCAAGGGTTACTATAAGGGATACTGTAAGGGTAGTCTGATATAGGGGCCTCAATAATTAGACTAGTGTTTTGGGGCCCATTTTACTATAGTTATAATAAGGGGTTCAGAGTTTCATAGGAGGCCAAAAGGGGTTTTAGCTTATGGGGGTTTAGTAGGGATTAGGATTCCCATAATAGGGTTCATACTTTGGAATCCCTACCCCAAAAATCTTAAAACCCCCCTTTGGGCCTCCCATCATATGGGTCTTGCGGCTTCCGTCGTTCTGCTGCTTTTGGTTTACGGGGGGCGTGTGGGCCAGGGGCTTCGGGGATGTTAGGATTTGGGTTTCCAGAGTTTGGGGCTTTGCTGATTTGGGTTTTGGTCTTTGCGGAAGTTTCAGGGGGTGGTTTGGGGTTTAGGGTATAAGTATAAGCCTTAAATCCCATTCCCCCAGGATCGTTCGGCTTGTGGCAGCCACTCCGGCGGAACCGAAGATGGAAGCGACCGGCGAAGTCAACAGTCCCCGTCGTCGTAATCTCATGTAGAGGTCTTCATAATTAGAAGAGGGTTAGGGGGTACATTCTAGTATAACTATAATAAGGAGCCCCCACAACAGTATAGGTAATTGTTAAGGCCCCTATAGTCGTAATGATCATCGGAATCGTCTCAGCCGTTGCGATCGATATAAAGCCTTAGGAGTAAAAGGAGGAGAAGACCGACCGCGAGAGCTAAACCCTCAAAGGAACAAGTTGAAGAACCCTTTCAACCAGAAGGGAGGTCGTAAGGAAAAGATCTCATTCCGAAAGCTCCCCTAACCCCTCCATCATCTGACTGGTTTTCTTTGTAGGAAATGGGGGAATAGATCCCTATAGTAGCCCCTATATAATCCTAAATATTAGTCCCAATAACCCATTCCGGTCATGTGCAGATACCGCGCCGGGTGGGATCGCTGCGTTGGTGGCAGCAGGAGCTGCGGCTGCCAGCCGTCGACAAGAGAGGCCAGCCACAGATAAGGGGGGAGCTGGGGACAGAACAACCCTACTTGTATTAATGATAATAATAATATCATTATTATCATTATTATTATTGATAATCTTATTATTGTTTCTATTCATCGTATTATTGTTAGTAATCTTATTATTATTGGTGCTATTTAGTACCAAGTTAGTATCGGAACCGGTCGTAGTCCAGTTCCACCCTAAACCCATAAGCTAAACCCTACGTAACCTCTCCTAAGCGTCCGGCCGGCTTCAGAAGCTCCGGATGTGCGGATCCGTCTGAAGCCTGTCGGAAGCTCCGGCTACTTGGAGGTCCATGGGTAGCTAAAGTGGGGTTATAAGTACAGGGGAACTATACTTATAACCCATATTAGGGGACTTCTAACTCTACTTATAACTACGCATGAACCTCCAAGTAGCCCTGCAGGACCCTCTGCCGGCAGATGCCGCGCAGCCGCAGTGGCCGCAGCCGACCCACGTCGGACCCGCAGAGAAAGTCCTGGATCGTCCGAGTGTCGGGATTTCATGGCGAGCAGTCGGTTCATGACCCTTCTGGATTTCCAGCACTTTGGGAAGAGTGCTCTGGTTTTTGGGAAGAGTGATACCGGAGCTTTGACTCTCCCTAACCCGTGAACCCCAAGCCAGAACCGGAGGACCCGTACAACCCGGAGTTCAAGGATGCTTTCCAGCCCGGGTCTCAGAATTTGTCTGGATTGAGACAACGAGTTTAGGTTTTCTAGGGTGTAGAATGGTTTTTTGAGGGGTTTACAGAGCTCAGAGGGCTCAAAGGGCTGAGAGGCTATAGGGGCTCATAGGCTGCGTGGGGCATGTAGGGTTTGGGATGGGAGGATTATGGTTTGAGGGCGCCTAGAGTTTCCGACATGCAGGGTGGTGACCAAACCTTATAAACCCTAAAGCCCGAAACAGTTAATCATCTCTTTCCTCAGGTTCAAGGAGGCATATCCGAGCTCCGAGAAGATCTACAAGGAGGCGTGGGCTGCACGCGCGTGCCTAGGGTTGTTGCGAGGAGCTTCGGTGTACATGTTTTGACAGCGTAGGTTTCATCGACCGAAGCTTTCTGTTTACTGATGGCGTGAAGTCGTAACCTTGTGGAGGTCGTCTATGAGGCCACCGGCGAGAAACTCAAGATCCCATTCCGCCGCATCCACCTGACGGACGAGGATGCACAAAGCATGTGCAGGGATCTGCTTTCCAGTGAGTGTTGCGACTTTGGCAGCATATCTAGACAGGAAGCATCCGGCATCCTACATTCCTACATTATCGAAGAGGCCTAGTTTTTGTTGAAAACCGAAACCCAAAACAACCCCGCAAGAAACAGTATCAAAACAAAGCCCTTGGTATGTCAGAGCCTAGACAACTCCCACCGTGGTCATGTACAGCCCTTAAGCAGAGCCCTAAAGGACCCCGGCTGCGATCACTTGGATGTCTACGACACCAGCGGTCCTTCAGGCTCCGAGCTGAGAGCTGGGTTTGGGGTTTCGGGCTCAAGGTTTGGGTGTAGGGTTTAGTAGGTTTTGGGTTCAGCGTTTAGGGTTAGGGGTTTCGGGTTCAGGGAGTTCTGGGGGTTGTGGTAGGAGTAGAATCCGAGAGGCAACGCTCCTTTGAGCAGACCTGGCTGGCTCTTAACCACTAGGCCCTAGGCAGGCTGATAATCGGCTTAGCCACGAGGCCGGCAACGGCCAGCAAGCAAGGACTCCGAAGCCCTCTGAAGCTTCTGACCGCGAGGTGCGGATCCCAGGAAAGGCTTGGCCAAGCTCCGGAAGAAGTGGATCGAAGGCACCATCCTCGCATTCCAACCTTGGGAAACTATAGGCGGTATAGGCATGGGCGACGGGTCTGATCTTCGAAGTTCCCCCGTAGCCTGGTGTTTAAGTTTCTTCGGAGTGTTAGTCTTCTATGGCTCGCCAATGGATCCGTCGTAACAAACGGACACGTTGAACCAGTGCGACGCTCCAAAAGGGACAGGGCTCTAGTCTGTGCGGTGCTTAGGGATGGAATACCCCCTCGCACACCCCGGCACCCCGCAACGAGGCACATGCCAGTTCATCTGCAGGGCTATAGTGGTCGGAACATTTGCTAAGGGCATCCTCTGATAGACCCTTGAACACTTGAAGCATGATGCACCCGTAAACCATATTCCGGCTATCAAGGCCCCTATGTTAGCTAGTTCGATCTCCTTGGAATATGCTTGGGGAAGGTCGCGAGGTGGCTGCCTGTGCCCCAGGATTGCAGAGTCGGGAGTGTTCAGGCAGTTACGCATCATGTGGTTTTTGCCAATAGACTCCCCACAAGACGACCCGGCGAGCTATGCGAGCTGTCAGCTTCTTCCTAAGGAGGATGGGACATGCACGCAGATGTACTACGCCAAGCAGGGGGTGATCACTCAGGAGGGCGGCAGGGAGTGGCATGCTGAGACGAAGACACCTTTTCAGAAGGAGTGCAAAGCCAGACGCACCCACTCATGGAACCTATCCCTGCCCTCTGAAACACTAACTCGCAACCCAAAACTTCAGCATGAGGCTCTGTCTTCCTAGTTTGATAGGATCTTTTGCTCGGAGCCTCCTCCGTGGGAGACCTTTCGTCAGGAGATGGCCTTCATCGCGGCGCCTTCTGCTTAGTCGGCAGGACTTCAGGGCTTCGTCCTTGTTGAGTTCATTGTTTAGAGTTTATGGCTTTCGTGTTCCTTTGGAGCGTCCTCCTTGTGATTTGGTCTTGAGATGCATTGGCCTTTAGTGCATGGCTTTCGGCATGAGAGTTCCTCGTGGTCTCGTTATGTCTCTTGTTTGCGTCTCTGTCCTCTGGTCCTATCTCGCTCATTCTCCGTCCTCTATCATCTGTTCGCCGTGTGTCTTTTCAACTTGTTTTTTCTTTCACTCTCTCTCTCTCTCTCTCGGTCTGCGTCCTCTCTCCCCTCCATTAAGTCCAGGGCCAACAGCCGTTTCAGAGACCGACAAGGCCTGACTCAATACCACTGGACTACACAGCCTTCTACGACGGCTAGAGCTCAGCGATATAGTGGGCTCTCGATATGAGGGTCTGGACGGGAAGAGTGCGTACTGTTTTCGGGATACGAAAAGACACAGCAACGTGGAGGACCACTACAATATCCCGCAGTTTCGACACGAGTTTCAATCACGGTATATCCCTGATCCTAAACCCCAGGCCTTACATCCTAAGCCGTGCAAGCTCAGATTCCCCCAAAGCCCAACGAGGCGCGAGGGCATGGATCCGGAGTTCGTCCGCTCGGAGGTAGCGCGTGGACGGGCCGGGGGCCCCGAGCTGACGTCTTTTTGTTTGTTTACCAGGAATATGGGGGCCTTTCATGTTTAGAATAAGATTTCTATATGAACCTTTTGTAAGATTTGCTGGGGTTTTGCAGAGTCTCGGCAAGAAACCTTCGCCCCGAAAGCCCTAACAACAAATCGCAAAGCCCAAAAGCCTAAACCCGTCCTCAAGCCCAAACGCCTACGACCCTAAAGCCCAAATCCACAAACCCTACACCTGAGGCCATCATCCCAGCAAATCGCAACCACCCGGAGTCCGTGGCCAAGCGGGCACAGGGGTGCTTCATTGGACTTAGTAAGTCTTATGTTCCAAGCGGGGTCATACATACCCAATTTGCTGAATTATGTAAGCTTACTTGCAACTGTCATAACCTAGTTTAGTGTCCCACGCCCTGAGAAGCCCCTAAGATCGCGACCTTTTACCCATTCTGTTCTAGCAGCGAATGGTGGAATGTGGATCCAGGTTTTGTGTGAAGTGCTTAGCTGCAAGCCGGAGTCAAAGTGGTCACAGACTCCTCGGTCACTCACTGCAACGGCCGAGGCCTTGTGCAAAAGCACTTGGTCAGCGCAATTGTCTACATGCGCAGCAGATCTGCAATGTAGCCCCTCCTTCGCCTCCTCCTCCTCCTCCTCCTCCTCGTCCTCCTCCTCCTCCTCCTCCTCCTCCTCCTCCTCCGTTGTTTTGAAATTTCTTAAATTGCACAAAAGCCCTCATAGCAGAAACACCCCAAAGTTTCTCTGCATAGTCTATAATAGTGTATGTACTCGAGTGTAAAATATTGCATGTTAAATCTTATCCACCCGCCGGAGCTCTGTGAAGAGGTCGGAGCCTATGATCATCGGGCGGCACTTCAAGGCGCGGCCCACATGCACCAATGAGAGGCTGCAGTCTGCTTGATCAAAGGGATTTGGGGTTTAGAGGTGTAGAGCTACCGGCTATGATCTAGACCCTCGACGTCACTATTACTGTAGTTTCTTGGTTCCCAGATCTGCGACCGTTTTTCGTGACACCGAAATCCCGACGTCTTTGCGCCCAGGTGAAGATCAATTCGAACATCGGTAACTCTGCCGTTGCCAGGGCCCTCGGTTCTTGGGTCACAGAAATCCCCGGTGGTTCATGTCGGGTTCGGGGACTTAGGCTTTGCACGCAAAGTTCACGGCCACTGCAGGGGGGTTCCTATAGGGTTCTGGCTTTATGAGTTTAGGGTTGAGGGCTCAGCTCGTGGCCATGAATAGGTTCCTTGTTCTGGATTCTGGATGATGCAGGATCACTAAAACCCTAAATCCCACACCACCCTATCTATCATACAATCATACACAGCTCCTCTGAGGCGTCGAACATCGAGGAGGAGGTCGAGAAGCTGCAGTGGAGCTCCCTTTGGGGTCCCGAGCTTAGGGCGTGTTCTTTTCGGGTTCAAGGATTCGGGGTTTAGCGGTCGGGGTTAGGGATTCAGGCTCGGGGTTCAGGCCTTTAGGGCTTGGGCGACACGGCTTTTCGTGTTTGAGGCTTGGGGTGTTCAGGGTTAGGTACATAGAGCCGGTCCCGGGCTCGCCATCCTAGGCGGCTCCTTTATCTCCATTATGGTATCGTATACCCCAAACCAAGGCGCCGATACCCTGATGGACCTGAGCACGGGGAAGCACATCCACGAGACGAGGGAGTGGATCGTCCGAAACAGCGCCGGCGCCTCGGAGTCGATGCCGAGACCTGGGAGTCGATGTTTGCGAGTCTCTCCGAATCGTTGAGGGGTCGGGGTCGAGAGTGATACGTAGGAGTTTCCGAAAATTAGAGGTACCTTATTTTGGGCCCTTATAATCCGGATCCTACTATTTAGGGTACCATGTTAGGATCCCCCATTTTCGGGAACTCCCAAATGACCCAGGAGGCTTTGTACAGCATCAGCGTCCGTATGACGACAGCAAGAAAGTGCTTTTTTCCCACGAGACGGCCCTCAACCGAGTTTGCTCGCTGAGGCCATGCCCGTGGGAACGGTGCCCATCTACCAAGCGCTTGAGAAGGCCCTGCCCTCTGGGGTCACCAGACAGACATGCTTGCACTGTCTGCTACCTGTTATGTGAGATCATCAGCATCTCAATCGCAGAGCATGTCCTCCCTGTTCTGATCCTTGGTTTTTTTGGCACCTTTGCAACCACGCAGCAGACTTAAAGCTCACATCCTTTGTCTTCTAAGCTGGTAGTTTTCTCTACCCACCAGTCGTAAGTTCCCATCAGCTTACCCGGAACTCGCCCAAGGCTCCTAACTTAACTCCCTGCAACCGCCAGCCTCCAATTTTTTCGGGCCCTGCATCCACACTCTGCCGCAATATTGACGTACAGAGCATCGCTCAACGTGAAGAGAACCCCTAATGTGGAAGGAACGACTTTGCTATAGAAGCTCGTCAACCCTAAACCCGAAACCCAGCGTGGCGGTGAGGTCGACGGCATCGCAGAGGACCTGACTTGGGAAAAGTTCCGGGAGACGTTGATCGAGCAGGCCCTTGCGAGAATCAAGCGCTCACATGTGAGGTATGGGAGGGGCATTGGATGGGAGAAAAGACAGAGCCAGCCAAAGATGCAGTTGGAGATTTCAGTATTGCTTGAAGAGCTGAAGGGCCCTAGGTGTCCTTACAGTCCTGGGACAGAAAGTCCAGAGTTTCTTCGGGAGTGGGCATGTATTGCCATTAGTACTTCTGTAGTTCTTGTAATATCAGCATTACTATTATTAGCCTTATTGTTGTTATTGTTGTTGTTACTATTGTTGCTAGTACTCATCAAGACTATTGTTGCCATCATTAATGTTATGACCCTCATGAGTATTCGCATTATTTGTATATTGCTATCATGTTATTGATACTGCTTTTTTCCTTTAGCTATGACTACTATTTGTTCTATCGTTGTCATTGCTACTGGTAGCGCGCGTGAGTTCCCTTCCTCTACCCAGGAGCCCAGTGCACGTTGCCCCACTACGGAAGGTAAAAGGCCCAAAACCCCTGAACCCTACACCCTAAACCCCTGAACCCTAAACCCTAAACCCCTAAACCTTAAACCCTAAACCCCTAAACCCTGACTCGCAGCAGCAACCCTGTCTGCCCCTCTAAGCCTCAATTCCTCGGTCGAGCTCTCTGGGAACCAGGCCGAGCAGGGGGTCGATTATTGGCCCGAGTCCCAGATTCTGGCATTTTGTCGGTGGTAACAAGGGGCTTTGGAAAGGTGCGGGTCTCTCATAAAATGGAGCTCGTTACAAAGCAGTCTTTGAAATTTGAAGTAGTGATTCAATGGCGCTGTTATTCAGGGTTCTACATTGGCGTCCTGTATTTCCTGAAACCTTTGACGCGAAGGCGTCGGAGTGGCGAGGCATTTCAGAGCTGTTCAGGGCCTGCGGGGGAGGCCCTAGGCCCGAAACTTTCGAGTCAGATTCGGGAGGGGGCCCATGTGCCCTAATCAGGAGAAGGAATGCCGGAACCACCAGGGATAGACATCTTGAAGAGCTTCAGGGCGGGTTCACGAAGTTTACCGCTTTCGGCTTGATAAATTCAGGTTTACTGTTTAGTGTCAGTGGCAGTGGCACATTTGGCTGCAGAGTGGGTGCTGCATCCCAGGCCGTAGCCGACGTTGCCACAGCTGATCTTCCAGCAGTACTATAGAGTATGGAGGTCTGAGTATTTAGTTACATTATCCCTTCATAGTTCCTGTGCAAAACATGCAATATGTCAGAATCCTTCAGGCCCTTACATTGGACATACTCTCCGGTGCAGGCTCTTATATAAACCCTTACAGAAGCCATCGCAAACCACCGAGGCAGCCCACGTCGAAACGTATAAAATCACCCAAAACATGTCTGCAAAGCCTGCGTAAGTCCCAAGGACCATCCACGCTGGGGTACTGCTGCGATTCGTGCCTCTGACGGCGAAGCGCCTCACGGGCATCGTGCCGCCCCTGGGTCCTTCAGTCCTGGTCGTAAGGATTCTGCTATAACATCGACGCCCGAAGAATTTGCAATAGTCTTCCTTAGGGTTCCTGAGTACAATACTGTTGCAGTCTTGGGTTTTATCGGTTTCTTTTGATCGAGTTTTTGTGGGCTTTGTTGGGTCTTCATAAGGTTTATATCAGGGCTCCAGAAGGGTCTTGGGGCCAGGCCCCTTGTTGACAGAGTTTAAGCATGCTTAAGGTGAGAAGCAGTGAGTACCTAACAAGCGGAGGTTGATAACGATCTGGTGGCGAGTATCTCGTAGTTGGCAGTTAGAGGCAGATTGTAACAGTTTCGAGTAGTTAGTAGACACTAGTCGCTAGCAGTTGGTCACGTCACTCGTGGCTACTAGCCAATGGGCAGTAGTTAGCGGTAAGTAGTATGCAGTAAGCACCAGGCAATATTGAATGTGTAATCGGTAGTAGTTGCAGTAGTAATCATTGTGTAGTGCGTCTGGTTCGGACAAAACCCTTATAAACCCGCCTGCCCACCTAAACCCCCGACCATTCCACCGACCTGAACACGGACACCCCAGGCTGAGCCAAGATTACAGCTCAGGGTCCAGGACTCTAGTATGTGGAAACCGATCAGACCGTTCTCCTCATCACGACGACACGATCAAAGATGGTACTTGCTGCGCAGTACTTGCTACATACTGCTTGCACTACTCACCGCAGTACACGAACTATCATCCCCTAGCTGCACGCGACAAGCTGCTCGCGACTTTTCTGCCACGACGACCATGCATCAACAACACCGCTACCCCTCAAGCATGTTGTGCTTTGGTTCTCTAGTTTCTGAGTGCGTCAATGAGTTTATGGTTACGAGTGACTCCGATGCCGCAATGCCCATGTGATAGCCCTAAACTGCCCTAGACCCCCTGAGCCCTCAAATCCTGAAACCCTCATGAAGTGGGGCAGTCTTCAGGTCAGCCGTGGGGGCTCAATCCATGCGAAGCTTTGCATCTCCAAGCATGAGGCCCCAGGGTTCAGGGTTTTGGGGGTTTTGTCCAGCTTAAGAATTCCTGCGATTCGGCTTCCTGGTCTATATATGGAGGCCTCCGGAAAGGCTTTCGGTATGCGGGATACTGCCAAGTCCGTTCTATCAGAGGTTTTGTTGTGCTTTCTCATTTTCGTTCTCATCATTCTTATCACTGTAAGCACTATATATATATATATATATTATAATACTTTCAGTATTGTGGTTATTGAAATCAAAGTGGGAGGTCTGGACGCCGAGGCGTGTTGGATAATTGCTGGGGCAGGCGTGGGTTTCCAGCTTCTTTTTAGCAAGAAGCATGCAAAGCAACCTCGTTCAGCACGCGGCGCGACGGATGTTTGTTAGGATGCATTGTAGGGAGTTGTCTCATATTGGTTTCAACGGGTGAAGGGATGGCTGACGAGGAAAACTTTGCCTACGAGCACTGGGATGACATTCTGGACATCTGCAAGAAATACGACGTGCTCGACACTCGGTGCTGTGTCTTTTGCCGTCTTGATCCGATTCCGTGGCCAGAGAAACCCTGAACCCCACGTTTTTGGCCCTGAACCCCATGCTTTTGCCATGGCATAGAGTGCCTGCGTAGATTCAAAATAGCCCAGTCGGGTTGGTGGCCGGCAACAAACACTGCAAGGGCAGTCTCTGTCCGGCTTGTGCAGCCATGCCAGCAGAATCCAGCAGAGTTGGCCGCTCTTGCAACCAGGGGCAGCATACATGTGACTATTTGCCGTTGTTGGCAGAAGCGGCTTGCAAGAAAAGCAGTGTCCGCGTCGGGAACACCGCTTCCCCTCAAGCACGGGCTGCCACGGTTCCGTGCGCCCACATCTTCTATCTTGCACCCAGGTCGCTGAGCATCGGTGATGGCCTTCGTCCCGGTTGCATCAAGGACCCTGAGACGATTCCGGGAAGGCTGGAGTTCTCACAAGGCCTCACGAGCAGCCATTAATCATAGATCGGATTTCGCATGACTGGGCCACCCGTCCGACACTATCAGCCTGACCTCATTGTCGTGGCCATGGTCATGGGTTTAGGGTTTAGGATTTAGGGTTCAATGCTTGCAACAGCAAGACCACCTGCAAGAGCAACCCGACGATGCAGACAGAGCGGCAGCAAAGAACATGCACAGCAACACCAAGCAGCAAGATCCAACAAGGCAAAAGCAAAGCCATATTTCCAGATAAGCACCAACAATGGCAGATATCGCCGAAGGCACCAGCGATATCTAGGGCTAGCCATATTGACAAGAAAAAGGCTTACGTCAAATACCACGCGCGAGCACTCTGCAACGGCAGTCACAAAGCCAGTGAGCAGGATGCCAACGACGAGGCCCAGTTCGGCGAACTGAAGGCCCCGGCCGAAACAAGTTCTTTCGCTAAGAGGGTTTCGATGCTCGGTTTTGGGTTTCTGCCTTTGAGGGGATTGCATCATGCAGCAATATTTCGCTGACGGTATGGTGCCCATCCCTGCAACTGCACAATCCGAAATGTCTGAACTGAACAAACCTCTGCTGAAAGCTTCGGATGAAACCTAGCACCTCGATTGGTTTCCAGATTGCATGCAACTTTCCGCGTTTCTAGTTACAGCCCAGGGCCTTAAGGGGACTGAGGTTTCGGGTTAGGACTTAGGGTTGAGGGTTTTGCTAGGTTACTAGGTCTAGACTTCAAGGTTTTTCAGAGTCTAGGGCCCAGGTTTAGGGTTTCGGGTTGAGGGTTTCGAGTTGGGTGCTAATGAGGATTTTGCGTCCGTTCGAATGTCCACAGTCGGCACCCAGCCTCAGTTTCTTTCCACAACTGGCCTCTTGTTCCCACTGCCTCTTGGGCACCCGCTCTTTGTAAGCCCCAAACCACAAACCACTGTAATTTCTTGAAAATATTAAAACCGTGATCGTTACACTCTCCAGGTGCAGGGCGAGCTGACCCAACGGGCGTGGGCCAAAGGCGTGCAGGCCCACTCTGTTGGGTTTACAAGGGGCTTTCTTAGAATTCGGGGTCCTTCAAATTGAGGATCCTACTGTTACTTTTCGGGTTCAGGGGTTCGTTTTTTGGGGCGTGTCCTGAACGCAAGGATCCTACTAATTTCGATCTCCGTCAGGGAACACTGGTTTCTGAAGCTACCAGAATCTCATGTTGGGGAAATGAATCTGGGACATCGGGTTTCATGGAATTGTCGTGTTGGGGCGTTAGTGTTTAGGAGCTCGTTCAGAAAGTCACGGTAATTCAGCAAATCCTTAGATTCTTAGATGAAGCTGTTCGGGCTTCGGACTTGGTTTCGCAGGGGTTCAAAGAGGGCGGAAAGACGGGCTCTTTGGCTCCAGGGAAAAGGGTTTAGGGTTTCACGGGTATCATTCCTAGGAGCCTACACCCTACAGTAAACTTAAACCCTAACTCCGCCCCCCCCGCCCCAAACAAAGCAAGAGGTGATGAACGAAGGGCCAGGCCATGTGCCTCTGCACAAGTGCCTTCGGCCGCAAAGACCCTGGCTGGTGGCTAGCTAGGGCATGGGCTACTCAAGCGTTTTATTGTTTTTCGGGTTTGGGATCTTGGTGGGTTTAGGGTTTTGGGCTTGATGATCGTGCTGCTTCGACTGCTGCTACTACTGCCTCTACTGCCAGTACTAGTACCAGCACGTACTACTCGACTCCTGCCCCTACCCTACTCCTATTCCCACTTTTACTCCTACCACGCTCCTCCTTTGCTGCTGCTGCTGCTGCAAGCTATCCATGGTGCCGGCAACTACGCCGGCAACAACACATACTAGTACTTGCACAGTGGCAACCCGACAAATAGTAGCTTGACAAAACGTCGTCATAAAGTTACGGTTTTCTAGCCAAGAGTGAGGTTGACTTAGAACAAGTTTGGAAGGAGTTGCGAGACCAAAGCCCAATCCTGGCGACACCAAGTACTGCTGGCCATTCTGTACTACTTTAAGATTTTTAGGAATAGGTAGTGTCATTATTATCATCAGCGCTAGCATTGTAAAGTTCCTCGTCAGAGCCTGCTTTGCCAGGCAGAGAACAAGGAAGCCAACACAAGTGCATGTAAAGAGTAAAGACAGTCAAAGACAGAACAACAACGCCTGGATTGGTTGATGTTGGTTTCGGGCACCAGCTGACCATGCTTTGTTCCTCTTTCGCAACAAGCCTTTTGTTGAGGTGGTCGAAGCCTGCACCCATGTAGAGTGCGTGGACAATGTGCTCTTTGCACCAAGACTGTTTGTGCATGCATTTCAAAGCCCGACGGCAACCGCCACAACAAAAGCAGCGATGTTGTATCAACAGTTGGCCGAAAAAGCAAGCTTGGTGCGTCGTCATATTATAAGCATCACCACTCACAATAATCCACAGAGTATACTCGGGAGGCCTAGTATGCCCGATGGCCTAGAGATTGACTCCCCAGGATTCCGGAGAACATGCGGAAGCAGCTGGAGTGGTGCCACGAGGCCGAATACCCAAACCAATACAGAGCTCGCCAAACTAAATTCCGGAAATTCAAAGCCTTACAGCCTTAGCCCTCATAGGGGTTCCGAGGCACTTGATGAGATGGGGCGAATCCGGGATTGCAAGCTTCACCGGGAGTTTCAGAAAATCAGGGAACCCGAATAAAACCCGCCAAGTTGTGTAGGATCTCTCAAATTTGTCCCCTCAGCGGAGGAGGATCCCCTAATCTTTATAACGCCCCACCTGAAGCTCATGGGGTGCTTTCAGGCGCCGTTCTACACGCTGGGACCCCTGACTACAGACATCGCTCCGGGCTACGACCACATCACCTCCGCTATCGGTGCGGCCAACATTGGTGCCATGGGGCAACCTGCCTGCTATAGGGGGCTCAATAATCACCTATACTATGTTGGGGGTTCCTTATTATAAGTATAATCATATGCCCCAAAACCCTATTCTAATTATTGAGGCCCCTGTATTAGTGGGCTCCTGCATGTTGGGTCGTTGGCCTCGGGTGCTGTCATGGTCTGTGCTTGCAGCGTAAGCTTGGTTGCGAGATGTTCCCAGGTTCTTGGTAGGATTTGCAGTGTTGGGTTTCGTCTCCACGGACATGTACGAGAAGGGTTTCGCAACCCTACACCCTAAGCCCCGCAAGCCCCAAAAGTCTATGACAACACCCTGACATGGCTGCTAAGTCATAGGGACCCTTCGGGGGGTAGGGGAGGGGGGGTAAAGGCCTAGTAAAGGAAGTATAGTCCCCTACCCCCCCTGCCCCGTCCCCCTAAGATTCCCTATGACTAAGGACGGCAATGCTGTGCTACGTCACTCCGAAGGAACACCTGGGTCTGCCAGACCGTGAGGATGTGAAGGCTGGACCTTTGAAGGAGCCCTATTCTAATCATTCAGGCCCCTAGATTATAGAGCTCTTTTTTGCTCCCTTATAGTAGCCCTTATAAGTCTGCGGGCTTCAGCTTCGAGAAGAGGTTGAAGAGGATTCTACAAAGGCTGTAGCAGGGTTTGAAGGGTTTAAGATGGTTTCTTCAACTCAGGGTTTCCTGTCCAGAGGTTGTTGTGGTAAAGATCCGGTTCTTCAGGAGCTAGACTGGGTAGTTAGTTCTCTAGAATAGGGTCCTTTTGGTGTCCCCCATATTATGCGGCACCCTTGCAATAAGGAGCGCAAAAGGGACCCTACTTCAGAGAACTCCCGAGATGAGATTTCGTGAGCCAGGGAGGGTCTCGAGCTTAGAGGGCTCTGCGCACTCCCAGATCCGATCATCAACACCGTGGCCTCGACATCCGTTTCTCAAGCTCAATAAGTACATCTGTGTATATACTATAGATGCAGCATGTATGTATGTATAGATTCGATGTGCATGTACGTACGTACGTAGGTATGTATGTATGTATGTGTGTATAGCTGTATATATACACACGTGTATACGGGTATACATGTATATACAGATGCATACGCATCATTACGACGTAGAGCTACATGCTTCGCACGCAGGCCGGCATCATCGCCTACCGCATCGCGGCCCATGCTGCCGACCTCGTCTTGCCCCCGGAAGCTGCCTTTCTCTCGGGGCTGGGAATAGGGTTTAGGGGTTGGGGTTTGGGGTTTAGGGCTTGTAACCAGCGCCTGCCTAGCAGCGAATCCCCGGAGTAATTTAGGGGTCGGAATATTCAACAACATTTTCCCGTTATGCTCCCTCTAAAAGTACATTCGAACGTACCCCACAACCCTTTCGAAATTCTTAAGGCCCCGGCAGTCTGAAGTTCATAGCTTCGCTTCTGACCTTCTCAAACAGTGCGTCTTCCGTTGTCGAGCGCTTAGGCCCTGCAGGGTTTTAGATCGAGTCATAGTTAGTCGTCCTGTAATGGTGACTAGTTTAAGTTCGTTTCTCCCAAAACCTACAACTATGAAAGGACGGAAATCGTATAACCAGTCCACAAACAAGGCCGCAAACAAGCCAACCCAAAAACTGAAACAAAGCATACGCCAAAAAGGGCACCTCGAAATCCAACCCCCCGTAAAACCCGGAACCAAACTTTTCGAACTAAGGCACCGTAAACCTGAACTTGGAGACCCTGAACTCCGACACCCTAAGCTTCGAAACTTCTACATTTCTAAACCCTAAACCTTAAACTTCTTTACACTAACACCTAAGCTTAGAAACCCTAAACCTTAGTTTTCTTTACCCTAAGCCCGAAACTTCGAAACTGCTAAACCCTGAGGCTTACCTTAAACCCTAAACCCTAAACCTTAAAATCTCAAAACCCAAAACCCTAAGCCCTAAACCCTGAACCCTAAAAACCCAAAACCCAAAACCCTAAGCACACAAAAGTACCTTAAACCCTAAACCCTGTAGATCCCTTTAAGGAACCCTCCCCATTAGAGGTCCCTCCTTTTCCCTTTTGATTTGAAGCCTTCCAGGCCAAGGGCCATCCCAAGGCCCAGGAGTGGGACGACGCGCTCTCCAAGGCCCGCTTTGAGCCTTTTGGCTTCAAGAAACGTTTAGGGTTTAGGATTTAGGGTTGAGGGATTAGGTTTTAGGGTTTAGATTTTTGTATTCGGGCCTAGGGCATGTTTCTGTTTCGACGTGCTTGTAGCAAGTTTTTGGAAGGGTGCCTTCAGGGTTTGGGAGCGTTTTAGATCTTGTGGATCTTGACAATGCTTCGGATTTTATTCTGGTGCTTATTTGGTTTTATCGCGGGTTTCAGAGGGTTAGCGGCGTTTGGCGGGTGGGTGGTTATAAGAATGCCGAGTTTCGTTCTTGTTCAACACTCAATCTCTGGAGTTGCTTGGCTCTTATCATGTAGTCTTACTCGACAAGCTTTACTAGTGTGTGTTCCTTAAGGTATAGGACGCAGGTAGCGTCCAGGGAGTTAAGGGTTGAGGGTCACGTTTGTGAGTCGCATGGATGCAGAGTGCAGGGTTGCTAGAAGGTCATTCGGGTTGTTGAGCAGTGGGTTTTGCAAGTTGTCATTGCTAGGGTTTCGATAAAGTTATCTCAGGTTCCGCTGGAACGACCAGTTCAATCTCGCCCTGGATTCTTGGCAGCATCAAAGCTTGAGATGAAAGATGCACACGGGAAGTTTGGAACATGCGCCCAAAGTCCCGCGCTGTGCCGTAAGCTCCGACAGTTCCGTAGGAGTTGCAAGCAGGTAAGTCTGCCCCTTCCTTGCTTTGGTAGCCACAGCGCCCCTCTTAGCCATAGCTTTCCGAGGATCCCATCACCGCACGGAGCATGCATGACGAGACCATCGACTCGGAGCAGGGTCGCCCGACCCTTTTGGATTAACCTTTGTTTGGGAAGTAGGATTCATGAGGGGTTGCTTCAGTGAGTGTGTGAGTGTATGAATCGCATTATGGTGGGTGTCCCCGTGAGGGTATGGGTAAGAAGATTTCATACTGCTGAGTCATGAAGCATCAATGAATCTATTCCACGTACACAAGCGCCCAGGAACTAGCGCTTCTGGCTGGGGCTGGAAGTATCAGGGACTTCCCGGGCACTAAGAACCCGGGCGCGATGATCACCCCTTTCTTCCCCTCTCGGCTGCGCTAGTGTGACACTGCCTTCTCAGAATCGTCCGCAGTGTTTCGCTGTCTGCTTAGAATTAGGATTTCCAGCCCATGTTCCAACGCATGCTGGAAGACAGACTCGTTAAGATTTTCTAACTTGCTGAGCACCACCCATATGAAGGAAGGGTAGGGGGCGGTAGCGCAGGAAGCATGACAAGCACCATGTTGGTATGGCGGTCACTCCTGTGCATTGTCGGTTTTTGAGGGCATAATTAGAATCACTTGTGGTTGGAACGACCGCTCCGGTTGAGACTTGATGGCAATACGAATTTCTGCCGGTCCGCGTCGCTGCATTTTTCGATGTTGCATGTTCGCTCTCTCCCCGCCCCCCCTGCCTCTCTCTCTCTCTCTCTCTGAGCATGTGCTGCCTCTAAGATGATCAGTCTTCTACTTAGAAGCTAGAATGCTATAGGTCGTGTCCTTTACTAGCAACATGACGTATGTCAAAAGGCTGCCCGCCGCGTCTTACTAGTACTCCCTCGCCTGAACTCTGTGGTGGAGGGTGCCCATGACGTTTTCGGCTAAAGCTTACGGATCCCCCATGAAAAGTCGCAAGGTGCTGGTGGTAGGGCACTTGTCATGTCCAGGTCTACGCTGAATGACTGATTGGCTGACTCACTTACCTAACTCGCTCGCTCTCACTTCATGTACAAGTTCACGGACAGTACCATCATAATCCTCACATTCTAGTGGTGCTGAAGCTGGTTTAGGATTCTTTCCCAACCCTACGCCCCTCGTACAACCCTGATCGACCGTTTCTTGTGTCAGCCCAAGACGCATCCGTCGCGCCTCCTCCTCACCATAATACCATAATACTATAATACCATGATACTATAATACTATAATACTATGATACTATAGTACTATAATACTACAATATTATAATACTGTAATACGATAATACTACAGTATCATAATACTGTAATACTATAATACTAGAGTACTATAATACTATAGTATTTTTTTGCTATATTTCTATAATACTATAATATTATAATACTAGAAGCCAGGCAAGTCGGCACACTTCTGCTCCATGTGTGGCCCGAAGCCATGGCCCGAGCCAGGGAAGGAAGATTGGGTCTTGTAGGGTTTAGGGCCGTTTAGGGGGTGTGTAGGGCTTAGGGTTTGTAGGGTTTAGAGCCGTTTTGGGGGGTTTAAGGGTTTGGGGTGTGTAGGGCTTATGGTTTGTAGGGTTTAGGGCCGTTTTGGGGGGTTTAAGGGTTTAGGGTGTGTAGGGTTTAGGGCCGTTTAGGGGGGTTTAAGGATTAGAGGTTTAGTATTTAGGGTTTAGGTTTGAGGTTTCGGGTTAGGGTTTGTGGCTCATGAGTTTTAGGTTGCCTTGTTTCAGGATTGTATAGGGTCTCACGAGGCTCTCTCAGAGATTTGTAGAGTTGTAGGGTTCTTAACGGCGTTACAGCGTTTCATATGACATCTGATGGTTTAAACCCTAAACCCTAAACCCTAAACCCTAAACCCAAAACCATCCTCCTCAACGAAGAGGCTCCACCTGGAAGATACAGGTCTGATGAGGGGAGCCCGATTCGGGTCAAGTCTTAGTCAGGTTTCCTTCTTCTTGGTGATAATACCATGATACTATAATACTATGATACTATAGTACTATAATACTACAATATTATAGCTGCCAGATTTTCTCGGAGCTTCGGTTCTTGTGAGCACAGGTTTTGGCTTCACCTTCCCTCGCCAACTGTTCTCAGCCCACGCCAGGTTTTGCTCCATGAAGATCACCGACGATGTGCGCAAGTATGCAGAAGAGCGTGGTTACGGTGATGTTGATGGCGAGACTGTCCTGAAGGCCAGGGTATTGCCTGTGTGGGCTGGCGATGCTTTCTGCAAAGTTGAGGCTTAGAAGCGTTTCAGTTCCCGCCCGCAGCTGGCATCTTTGGAAGATGTCAGGAGGATCCTGAATGCTAAGTCCCAAGTCCTGCAGCTGCAAGCCCAAAAATCCATCACTCTAGAAACCCGAGGGCCTAAAGCCGGACGTCTCACGTAATAATGATTCCCGACGTTGGTCCCTTATAGTACATGCTCTAGTTAAACGATGATATAACCCCAAAACCCTATGCCATCCATTCGACCCTAGAGTAGCCTTGAACTCTTGGCTCCAAGCGAGTTTGCGAAGAGTCTTCGATGGGGTTTTGGAGGGGGAGTATAGGGCATTCAAGGGTTTTATGGGGCTGTCACAAGGGTTGTCTAGGGCTTGCAGGGTGTTATGTTGGGTGTATGATCAGAGCTGCTGCCAGAATCTTCAGCGTGAGACTCCAAACTCGAAACTCCCTTATTCAAGGAGGGTGCCTTCGAAAGTAACAGATAGCATGCATCCTGGTGAATGAGCCGTTGTTTGAGGGATGTTGGGGTGCCTGGACAGGAGGGCATGAAAGAGATGAGCAAGAAGTTCGCAGAAGTGGGAAGTGAGGCCCTCTTGTTGCTTGCAGCCGAGGGGAGTTGGACACTTCTTCGTCAGTCCTTGAAGAGACCATGAAATGCTAAACCCTCATCCTGCGCCTTGCAACCCAAGCCCCGAAGCTCCTCTTTTGAATCCTCAAACCCGATCCCTGAAAGCTGAAACTCTGAACCCTCCACACGGAAGCTCTAAACCCGAAGCCCGACATCCAGAAACCCTAACCTCCGTAATTGAAGCTCGTTCATTGCTTCTGAGAGTTGCAGGGCTGTGGATCTTCCAATGTAATACAACCCCCTAAAATATTAGAGCAACGTTTTTCAGTCTTCTGGGGGTGTCACAGAGTTTATGGGGGTCACATAGGGGCCTTAATGAGCAGAACAGCCCCTTGGCTAACGTTTTCAAAGCTCAAGAAAGCCAGAGGTCTACATGCCCATAGAGTCGCTCAAGGCTCGCTGACTGCTTGCCGGCGCAAGCAGCCATTTTGAATCCTTCGTCCTCTCCGTCCTATCCCAAGGGGAAGCCCTTGTAGCAGAGACGAAGTTTGTGGAATTCGATGCCATTGCTTTTCTCAAACAAGGTGTCGCCTTGCGTGGTTCAGGATTGCTCCTGGGGCCCACGTGGGCGGTTCACTTTTTGACCCTTCGGGCGTTTCATGACAAGTTGCTCTCCTCGCGCTTTCAGCGTGAGGCCCACAATCTTTAATCTTTCAAAGCATAGGACGGAAGGAGGAAGACAGGCTTAGGAAAGGTCACAATCCCAGTTCCCGTGACCTATGAAGGAGCCGCGATGCCGCGAGAAAGGGCTGAGCTGTGGCAGTGCGCAGAACCTGAGACGCCGCCCCCCCCAACCCGGGAACGAATAGCTGGTTTGGCTGACTGCTTTGGGTTTGCCCCAATATCGTGCTTGAGAGTTGAGACCTGCTTCGATGTTGAGAACTCCGTGTTTGACCCCAAATCCTGGTTCATGATGCTGAAAGCAGGTGATTTAGCTCGTGCCCCACGGTGCTCCTGGTTGCCATGCCACCCTGAGTTTACGGCTTTCTCCTGCTGCCACAAGAACATGCCCGAGCCTGAAATTCTGCCTGAACCGGTATGCCCTTGAACGGCTCAAGCCGTGTAGCGCTGGTGTTGTGTGCTCCCCCAGCATTCTGCCCGGGCCTCATCCTCGTTTGCAACTTCAGTTTTGCTTTGCTGCTTCAATTCCGATGCAACCTGAAACCCCTACTAGGCCCTACACCTCTACACGCCAAGAAATCCCGGAACCTCTAAACCCCTAACCCTAAGGCTTACACCCTAAACCCACAAGCGGGAGCCATGCTCCAACTCGCAGAGACCCATTCTAGCCTCATACTATAGAGGCCTAAAAAGGGGTCTATAAGGGTTACCATAAGGGATCTACAAGGGTACCCTAGTATAGAAGCCTAAATAAATACCAATACTATTCTTGGGGTTCCTTATTATAATTATAGTATAATGGACCCCAAAACCCTATTCGAATCATTAAGGCCCCTGTATTAGTAACTTAGTAGCACTTGCAACAGTTGACAGTAGTTGCGGTAATTGCAAGAATACCGATCGCCAGCATAGGTAACAGCGGAGGTAATGAGACCTAGAGAGTTCGCTCTCGCAGAGCAACGATTGCAGACTTTATGCCTTCGAAGTCTGCTGGAAGCCCTCAAAGGCTTAAGCCCCTACACCCTGAACTCTACAGATTCACAATTTCTGGAGATTCGGTCTTGGTCAACCCGAAAGAATCGTCACCTCAGCGCATGACGGTCCCGAGGTCCCGAAGCAATCCTGAATCCTAAACTCCCAAGAACCGACATCCTCGAACCAAATCCCACATCACACATTCTCGAAACTGCACAAGTCTTAAGCAAAAACCTCGCCAAGGCCGTGGAGCCGTGGACGGAGCTTCTTTTGACAAGGTTAGGGTTCAGGGGAGAGGGTTTTTGGACAGGGCTGCCAAGTTCAAAAGGGGCCCGGGCAGAAGGTTTGGAGGGGCTTGGGGTTTCGTGCTTTCGGGGGTTAGTGGTTTGGGGTCTGGAGTTTCAGAAGTTTAAGGTGTGGGGTGTAGTGATTTCAGGCTTAGCTTTTAGGGTTCGGAGTTGACGGTTTCGGGGCTGCAGGGTTTATTTAGTGTTTGGGGTTCAGGGTTCAGGTTCTATAGGGACTGAAGCCGTTGCTTCGTTGCTGATTGCTCCGTAGCACACTTCATGCGACGAGATGCGGATGTGGCCGAAGCCCTAAAAGCCCCAACACCTTAAATGCCTAACAGCCTCAGCCCTGAGCCTTAACGCCCTATGAAACCCTAAACTGGAGAATTCATGTAATCTGACCCTGAGCTCCGACACTCTGACAGCCCTTACCACTACCAACCCTGCACACCCACTACAGAGGTTTCAACCTGTAGCAATATCCCCTCAGTAGTCTCCATACGAGTATACTTATTAGGACAGCATACCCGCCAAACCCTATGCTACTTGCTCTAAACAGACCTTGTAAAGTTTCATTCTAGTCATTAAGGCCCTTATACTAGGACCACCGGTCTTTGAATCCAGGCCATGTCGCACGTTGCTCGCGAAATGCTGAAGCGAGAGCTATGCCAGCTCATGAAGGACAGCTTCGAAGCTTTGAGGGTTGAGGGTCTTGGGCTTAAGTTTAGGGGTTTACGGTTGTGGAGCCGTTTGATGCACGAAGCCCTCGCCTTGATTATTAGGCCTAGGCACCAAACGAAACCCAGAATCCTCGGCGCCGAGCCTCCCAACTGCCCCAGCGCGCTCCAAGCCCTCTGTACCTGAAGTTTTGCATGCCGAGTGGATGTTAGAGTGACGACCTTGCACAACTGCAGGACGAGACAAGTGGATTCTCGGTGGGGCTCGAGGATGATTCGGACCGCTCCGAGCATGTCCCAGTGTTTCTGGGGTTAGGGCGTCGGGGATCGGGTTGGGGACACTTGCAGGTCTGCGTGAAGTGTCCTTGCAAGGCGTATCTTGGTGCGATGTGCATCGTGCATCACGCCTTTTTCAGAGGTTGCTTAACTGAGTTGCACACGCACGTCCATTGGCGTACATACACGCATAGCTACATGGCACCAAAAGACGCACAGAGCTTGTACGCACATCCATCCATGTGTGCATCCTTTTCCCTTCTGAGTCACATTTAGAGCCGAGGGACCTGCTTGTTTTGGAACACGCCGACCACAAAACAGGAACTCTTTACTGTCCAGCTGATCTTGCAATGAGAGAAGCTTTCTGTCATGCAGATTGCCTGCAGCCTACTATATAAGCACACCGTCGTAGTAACTTGTATAGCAGAACCCCCTTGTGCAATTACCCTTCTAGTAGCCCATTGTAGTAGAACACCTTCTATCATAGCCCTTATAGTAACACCCTTACAGTACAACCCTTTATGTGTAATTAGTTTGCCCTTTTTGAAACCCATGATGATATTAGAACCTGTTATATCATATCCCTTATAGTAACAACCTTATGGCAGATGGCAGGACTTTTTCAGGTGGCAGGTAGTCTTCGAGGGGCCGCAGGACAGCTTGTGCGCCATCTGATCCCGAGCAGGCGTTGGGTGAGTTACAGCTTAGGGCTTAGGGGTAAGCTACGCCTGGAACGATTCGTGAGCCTAATGCTATTGTAATACCTACATCGCAAGCCAAGTCGAAGTATCAAGGCCCTTCTCGGCAAAGGCCTAGACTTTGGGTGGGTCGCAGGCAACTCGCAGCACATCCCAGGAAGAGTTGCTTTTTGGCCAGCGGAACACGTCGACCCACTGGAGCCAATATAACTACACCCTAAGAATCCGTGAGATCTTGAACCCTGAACAGTAACTGCCGATTTACTTTGCTCATAGTTTCTTTCATGTTATCAGCTCCTGAGAGATGGAAGCATGATGCTTGCAAAGACTCTTTGTGCCAGAAGGCTTATGTATACCATCACCCCTCCAATGTACGGCGTACCTGACCATGAGAACCCAACTCCAAGACCTACAGCAAGGAACCCTGCCGCAAGAGTTTCTGCACTTGGAAAAGACCTCGCCAAATACAGATAACGACACATAAGCCCCAAACCGGAACCCCTCAAAACCTGAACCTAGCCCTGAACAGAAAACTGTTTAAGCCTTGTAGCAGGTACGAGGGTGGGATTTTCAGCGCCATCCTCGTCTTCCCCCCGGACTTTCCGAACAATCCGCCTGAGATGAAGCAGGGACCTTAGCAGCAACGGTTGATGAGCACAATCCGGCGGTATTCAGAATTATCCGCGGTGTGTTTTGTGGGGATTTGCTGGGTGCTGTCAATAGATCTGTTGGGATAAGCTTGTCCCGGAAGTCGACATGATGTCTGGGCTTCGAGGGCAGTAGGTGCTGTCGGAAGGAATTGCTGTCCAAGAAGGACAGTTGACAAACCTCTTCGGAGTCTTGGTGTTCCTCTGGTCCATCCGTAGGTTTGTGCAAATTGGGACGCAAGCATCTTCTCCGTTTGTATGCTTTCATGCAATCGACGTTGCCAGGGAGCACTTGGCACACAATTGCAAATCGAAGTTTGTGCCGTCAAGTCCGCTTAACTTAGGGGATGAAGCCGCGTGGGCTCTCAGCACAGATCTTCTTTCAAGGCAACGTCCGCATATTGATGCACTGCGGATGCAACATGTTATGTGAGACCTAAGCTTCCTTTACGTCTGCGTGCAGGGCTGTGCCACTATTGGCTTGTTTCGGTTTCAAACCTACTGGGTACACCCGACAGCAAGTGAGCGCGGGCAAGGAGAGCCGGGAATGGGAAGCCATGCCCATCACCTGCCGAATCTGCGGTGCCACCAACAAACACTGGACTGCGCAGTGTCCTGACCGGCCAGATGCTCATCCCTCCGACAGCAGCCAGCCAGAGCAGCAGCAGAAAGGGCTTCCGAAGGGAAGTGGAAACAATGGTCGTTCTGGTGGCCGTGGAAAAGGAGGAAAAGGAGTTGATGATAGAGACGGAGACCGTCATCAGCATGGATTCACTCAAATCGCGCACCAGGCGGTTGATCGAAACCGCCTGCCATGGAAGAAGCTGAAAAGAGGTGTTTCATGAGGATAAGGCCATCAGCTGTTGACTGGAACCTGTGGGGCATTCTTTATGCTGGTAGGGAGCGCATTGGGATCGGGGCAAAGTTGCTTTCAGAATTTCGGGGCCTAAGGGTAGCATCCGAGTGGGAGAAGCTGTCAAGGCAGCGAGACCTGTCCAGGACAGATCTCGAGCATGGCCTGAAACAGCTTTCTGCTCGGCACAGACTGCGAAAGGGGAAATGGCTCTTTTACCTGCCGCCGCCCGACACGGACCGGGTCTGGCCAGAGCTTGTGTGGGCACTGAGCAGCGGGGGCCTGGGAGAAGCCCAGGCTGTGACAGTCGAACCCACTGGTGATGAGGGAGAGCACCTCTGCTGCGTTTGCATGGACAACTGCTTCGATCCGAGCGAGGCAGAAAGTGTCCGAAGCAGTTTGCAGGCCTTGCTAGGCGGCCTGCTCACAAACGTGGTTCTGCACTTGAAGCCAGATATATATGCTCACTGCCAGATCCACCGCGGGAACCCTTGGAATCTCCCGCCGACCTTGGCCACTTGCAAGATGCAAGGCTTTAAGGACAAGACTTGCCAGGCTCTTCCACATCCTTGCCGGCATGACCGAGAGCAGCTCACGCCTCTCCTGCAGGCTGTGGAGGAGACCATGGAAACGGCTCCTCTGCTCCTTGAGAAGGCTCAGGCCCGAGACATGCTGGAGTCGCTGTACGCTGTCGCTTTGCATCCCAGTGCCGGTGATTTCCCCATAGTCAAGATGTGTGCCATGGTAAAGGAGGCCGGGCACATTCACGGCCTCTTGAAGCTTGTTGGGTATGTGATCCGGGGCCTGGTGGGCCTGAATGGCTGTCATGGGATTTGGGGATATGAAAGTCGTGTGTTTGCCTACTCGGAGTTCAAGCGTATGCACCTGGCCAATGCCCATCTTCTCGGCAGCCTCTGCATGCATGGCATCATCCCAGCCGAAACTGTATATGCAGGGCTGCGAAGATTGGATACTGAAAGTCTCAGGCTCCCTTTCCGCTCGACTTGGGCATTCGTGTTGCAGATCTTGCGGAACACGTCGAGGCAGCTCTCTGAGGCACAGCCAATGTTGAGCCGGAGGCTTGAAACAATCGTGAACTCTCACCCTACAGTCAGCTCACAAGACCAGCTCAGAGTTCTCACCTTCAACGTGTGGTTTGACAAAACTGAACGAGAACTTCGGACTGCCGCATTGCTGTGCGCTTTGCAGCAGCTGGGGCCGGCCATTTGCTGCTTCCAGGAGGTGACCTCCAAGGTGGCCATAGACATCCAACGTGCGCTTCCCACTTGGACATCTTCGGATCCTGGAGATGGGTCCTCAATTGATGTTGGCGGCAGCGGCTACGGTGTAATGATGCTCGGCTAATGTCGCGAAGCGGTCTGTGTGCGTAGAGCACACATGTATCCTACAACTTCAGGGTAATCCGGTTCGCTGTTTATGGCGACTGAACCAAGGATCCTCGCTCCACCAGAGCTGCGTGTTCGTTTTTCCCAACACGGCTTGCCGACACACATGGGACGTGTGCTTGTTGTGGCAGAGCTTGAGGGACTTGCTGTTGGCACCGTGCACTTGGAGTCGTTGAACAACCAGAAGCTGCGGGAATGCCAGCTTGTTGCCTGTGCTGAGGTGAGGCTTCTGTAGACCTACAGCCTTGAGTCCTTTGTGTGCAACATGACTTCAGTAGTCTCTGTCTCCCGTAGGCCCATAGACCCTGTGTCTCTGTTGGCTGTCGAGGTGATGCAGCAGTGGCCAGATGTGCTCTTGGTGGGTGACTTCAACCTTTTTGATAAACGCGCTGCTCAACGCTGCTTGCAACATCAACTGCCAGACTTCATGGACGTCTGGCTGGCATTGCGGAAGGAGCCTGGCAACACCTTTCGCTCCCATGGCAGAAACAAGAACAAGAGCAGGATAGACCGAGTCATGGCAAAGCTGTCTACATGGCAGGCGGTGGATGTGGAGCTGATGTTTCAACAGCCCATGCACCCTGGACCATATCTGCAGGACGTCCTTCCCTCGATGTGCAGCAACTGCGTGAACCTGAACCCAGATGTGGACACCCGTGCTGCCTTTGTGAGCGACCACCTGGGCTTGCTGACGACTATCGAGCAGATCAAACCCACATCCCAGAGCCATTCCCAAGTGCAGGAGGTGCCAAGGTCTCAGGGTGTGTGATGTGCCGGATGGCTCTGGGTAACGTAGTTGGCTCCCAGACGCACCTTGACTTTATAGCGGCCTCCGCATGCTCACGGACAGTCCTTGGCCTGCCCCTGCTTTTCTCCGCATACCCGCTGAGCGGGGTGTCGGGTGTAGGATTTAGGGTTTTCCATGTATAGCCTTTCTGCCTCTTTCGGTAGATGTTTCGTGCCAGACCAAAAGGTATCTGGGGAAGAGGCAACGCAGATTCTGCGGAATCATCCAAAGACTCGCCCACCCGAGAAGCCCCAAGATCCTCCGACCCGTCCAGACCGGGAATCCTAAGCTGCATGTTTTGGCAATCGCAAGAGTACAGGGAACTCCAGAAAGTTGGAATATGGTTTCATGGTAGGATACCCTATAATTTACCATAGAAGGGTTAGGATAATCATATTCCAACTTTCTGGCTTTTACCTTAAGAGAAAGAGCAGGAAGGCAGCAGAGTGACGATGATGACGACAAAAGTCCAGTAATTCGAATCCCGAATTTTTCCAAAACACTCGAGCAGAAGCCGAGACACGTCTCAGGTTTGAGACAGAGATGTGGCATCCGAACATCTTTGCAGACGGGCGAGTGTGCATCTCCATTCTCCATCCTCCGGGCACCGACCGATTCAACGACCAGGACCGGAGTTTTCGGATTGCGGCTGCAGGATAAGCCTTTGGTTCATAGGAGCCCTGAGCGGCGCCCTTAGGGGAAGCCTTTGAGGAGCCCTGGAAGGCAGCCTTATGGACCCTGAACCCCGAAGCCCCAAAACCCGAAACCGGCCCTCGAGAACTCCTAGTCCTAAACCCCAAACCCTAAACCAACCCCAAGCCCCAAACCCCAAACCCCAAACCAACCCAAAGCCCTAAACCCTAAACCCTAAACCCCAAGCCGCCCGTTCTGCAGATGCCCGCAGCGCGAGGAGACGGCGGACGAGAGGTGGCGGCCGATCCTCGGCGTGCACAGCATCCTGATCAGCGCCGGGAGCCCCGAAGTTTCCTTAGTTTCGGGGGGCCTTGGGGCGTCTTTCGGGGTAATGGCTTTTTAGGGTTTTTAGGGTTTAGGATCTTGAGGGTTTCCTTTGGGCTTTTGGGGTTTTGAGGGTCTGGGGTTCAGGGCTTAGGGTTCAGGGTTGATGCATGCAGGGTTCAGGGTTAAGGGTATACCGCTAAATCCTAAACACCTCAACCCTTAAGCCCTTAAACCCCTAATAACTTCCCGCAGGAGTGCATTAATCAGGGGTCAGTCCTCCCACTCGCCAGCGGCCCACTCCGTGGCCCAGCGCTGCAGGCACCACAAGCAGGAAAATTGGAGGAACCGGCGCTGAGAAAGGGGACTTTGTAGTTAGAAGAGGGGTTTTTGGGGGAGACTACAAAGGGGATATTATCAATGACTACTCAGGCCCCTGCATTCGTTTGTAGAGGGAGTAAAGAGCTTCTCCCCTCTACTCTCAGCCCCGAACGCCGAACCCTAAAACTTCACCCGAAGAGGCATTCCCGGCCCTGAGAGAGCCTAGTACGGGGGCCTTAATAATTAATATTACATATACTATCTTGGGGTTCCTTCTTACAATTATAGTACAGTGCGCCCCGAAACCCTCACATAATTATGGCCCCCTATGTTCAGGTCATCTCCATGCTACTGGATCCCAACCTGAACTCCCCGGCCAACATCGACGCGGCCGTGCACCTGAAGAATGACCCCGAGGGCTGGAAGAAAAAGGCACCCCTGATTGTATATAGGGTTTAGGGTTTAGGGTTTAGGGTTTAGAGTTTAGGGTTTAGGGTTTAGGGTTTAGTATCCTGAAGGGAGGGGGGTCCAAGGGGGGTATATAGCCTAGTGATCCCGAATTCTCCCTAGTAGTCCCTAAGGTTCCCTTACAGTCCCCTAAGGATTCCTTATACCCTCCCCCCTTGAACCACCCTCCCTTAAGGATCCTATAACCTGAGGGGCCTCCAGGGGTCCAAGGAGTCTCGAAATGGGAGTTTCCGAAAATTAGGGGGTACCTTTAAAGGGATCCTTTAAGGGTGCTTTAAAGGGATCTATCAGGGTTCCATAAAGGGTTTAGGGTTTAGAGTTTCCGAAAATTGGGGGCATCTTATTTTGGGGTCCTTATGATAAGGATCCTACTCTTCGGGGTGCTATATTAGGGTCCCTATTTCCGGAAACTCCCAAATCCAGCTTTCAGAAGTTCAGGTTAGGTTGAATGGATCCTCATCTCTCGCTTGGTTTCAAGTCCTGTTGTGCCGTGCCTGAGGCTTTGGGGTTCTGGAGTTGAAGGTGCAGTGCCTTAGATCTGCAAGATGCTGGCCGTCGCTTGACAGGTCCGCCAGCTGACTCGAAAGAGTGTGGAGGGCTAGCTGGCACATGCCAGCAACTCTGCAGAATTCGATGCTTGACACTTCCAGGCAAAAAGCGCGACATTTGCCACCAAAGCCCCTGCAGCTGTCCAACGTCCGCTGTGCGTTGAAAGTAATGGGGCGCCCCAAAGCTACGTGTGGCAACTGTTGCCTGCTGTGCCCCCGCTGGCATCGCCACAGGCGCTTGACTATAAGCAGAGCCCTTTGCAGCCCAACCCTAAACCCTAAACCCTGAAACATAGGTTGTGGCCGTAGCCTCAAAGCTTCCACAGACTTGGACTTTTCGGAGCAGTCCATACTGCAACTTCAGTTGTAGCTCGTGAAGCAATCGCCTGTGCTTTTCCGAGACTTTTAACAATTCAAGCGGCACCAGAGTTGACTTGGAAAGCCCGAACTCGAGAGACGAGATGTTCAGCTTAAAGCCCAAAGAATAAGAATCCCCCATGCAGGAATTTTTGTACCCCAATCATAGGATCACTTTGTTTGTGGGGTGTTGGGGGGTCCTAAATTTATCATGCGATCGTTAACGTAGGCTCGGACCATGCAGAGGTTGTGTGCGGTGTAGCACGAGTCAGTGCCCTTAGAATACTCCTTCATGCGCTCAGGTTGCCAGAAATCTTAGGAGAAATCTTATCATCTGCTGACGAAAGTCCGTCAACCCTGGCAGTACGGCGAAGGGCTACAGGGCGGCTGAAAGGGCGCCGATTTCACTTCGATACAAGTCGAGAGGAGTTGCTCCGAGAGGCCTCCCCACCATGCCCGCGTCCGGACTTGGAGACGGAGACAACACATCTGCTCATGGGCTTTCTGTGACACGATCGGTTTGGGTTTAGGGTTTAGAAGCTCATGTGCTGCTGCAGTTCTGCTTTGGTGGTACGGTGTTGTCATATCATCCGTTGCCACGATTTTATGGCTTCCGCGGTGGCTCTGGACTGCTTTGTCCGCTGCCTCAAATGGCTCGAAGGCTTGGACCACACAGCTCTGTCGCAGCCCCGATCTCTCATGTGCCCGAGAAGGCTGTAGGGTTTAGCCTCGAGAGCATCTCATGTCCTGAATCTGAACCCGCAACCGATGAAGTGAATCCCATTGAACCCCTGAGTTGCCAAACTTCGAAACCCCAACACGCGCCCCCCTGCTGGAAACCGAACCCCAAGACGCGCTGCTGCGCTGCGTGGAGACTGCCATGAAAGCTGCCACGCTCCGCAGCAGCTACCTGACACCTGGCAGCTGAAAAGTTTCCAAGGCTTTTCTTTGAATTCTGTAGGGAGTCCTGCTCAGGTTGAAAATAGTTGAGTATCAAACTTGCATAGGCAGGAGAAGCCATGATTTCTCTGAAACCTCTCCCCAGCTTTACTCCGCTCGACAGCCCCAAATCCCAAGCTCGAGATAACTCCGAACCTCGAGCCCTGAACCCTTTTGGAACCCTTCTTGCCTGTAGGAACCCTTAAGCGGGAGGCTTGGCGAAGCCTTCCAGGAACCCCTAAACCCTAAACCCTAAACCCGTAAACCCTAAACCCTAAACCCCTAAACCCTGAAAGGAGCCCTAAACCGAAAGGCTCCTGTGGCTTCTGCTTCACTGCACAGACAGCCGAAGCCCCGGCGGCGGGGCCGAGCCGGTCGGCTAAAAGCGAGAGTGGCGCAGTTTAGGGTCTAGGGATTGGGATTTTTTGGCTTTAGGATTTGCATGCAGCGTTTGGGAATTTACTTTTAGCGTACAGGAAGTCGTCTGCAAGTACGCGGCATAGTTGATGCACATGTCCCGATGTCGTATGTCGTCGATTTCGCATCATCTTCCATCATCACCACCACCAGCAACATCACCATCGCCATCACCATCGCCATCACCGTCACCGTCAGCATCAGCATCATCATCAGCAGCATCAGCATCAGCATCAGCAGCATCAGCATCAGCATCACCATCATAAACATCATACCCACCACCACCACCATCATCATCATCATGACCACCATCATCATCATCGTCGTCGTCTTCATCATCCAAACCAGCGTTTCCGCAGCACCATCATTATCACCGTCATCATCGTCGTCTTGGTGAGTTCTTTCATGAGGCTCGTGTTGGTCCATGGGAAAAGACACAGCAAGAGATGCACGGGCCTTCGATTGCGGTCGCCCTGGGGAGGACCCCCACCTTCAAGATTTTTCGCTCTGAGGTTTACGCTCGCCGGCAAGTCCGTCTACTTCATCGTCATAGATCGCTTTGCTCGCAGTGGAGAGCAGGCGGCAAACTTCACTTTCTGCGACCTGCCTGCCGACTGGGTCAACAACACTGGAGGAGGCTTCTGTGGTGGAACCATCAACGGGATTACAAACCGCCTGGACTACATCCAGGCAGGATCCGTGCGAAAGGTGCTGAGAGTTCAGGGAATGAAGCGACCCTCGTGTAGAAAAGACACAGTAGGATCCTGATTTCAATGACCCCTAAAGCACAAGTTCCACAGCTTCAACAGTAGGATCCGGTTAATGAGGGCCCCGAAACCAAAAGGGCCCCTGGTTTTAAGACGCCCCCTGTTAAGTCAGGGCATGGGCTTTGACTGCCTCTGGATCACGCCGCCCGTGCAATCCCAGGGGCTTCTCAGCCTGTGATTTTCCGAGGTTAGGGTTAAAGTTTAGGATTGAGAGTTTAAGGGTTTGGGTTTAGGGTTTAAGGGTCGGGTTTTTACGTTCCCTTCCCGTGCATAGACAATAGAAGCCGCATGCTCATTTGCTCATTTTGGCAAGTTGAACTCTTGGAGTCTAGAGGGCTTCTTATGTGTTTGTTGTTGCTTAAAGGCTTTGCGAGTGTGAACCACCACCGCCGCCAACCACACCACCAGGCCATGGGCTTGTCACGGCATAGGGTTTAAGATTTTGCTTTTTGTTGTCGAGATGCTCCACAGCTGCTTGTCAGGTTCATGGGCTACGATGCCACGAACCTCTTTCAGATCAACCCGCACTTCGGTACCAAGGACGCTCTGTCAGGTGAGTGGGGTGTTCAAGGCTGCAGGGTCACGATTACATCGCTCCAGGCGCAGAGAAAATCCTGCTGAGCCTCAAATCCTGAGGCCCTAAACGCGTATCTCGGTTGAGATCGCCAGGAGGACTTGGTGCGCCTGTCAGCTGCGCTGCACAGCCGTGGCATGTGTCTGATCGTAGACATTGTGCTCAACCACATGCGGTCCGACTCCGAGACCTGCTGGTTCTGCAAGCATTGGGTTGCTGTTGGTACAGGTAGACGCATGAAAGCAACATCAACGTTGGCAACTGGTCTCTAAGGCCTTTGCTGGTCAACGGCACGGTGAACCTGTCCTCCATTGTGCCTTTCAATGACGATGCCCGGAAAGCAATTTTACCCTAAACCCTAAACTCTAAACCCTAAACCCTAAACCCTAAACCCTAATCCCCAGAGTTTCAGCTTCCAAGGCCAACCTGGAACCCGAGGCCCTCAGCCCCGAACCCTCGGTCCTCGTCCCGAAGGCCTTGGGTTCGGACATTAGTACAGTACCCTTATAGACCCCTTTAAAGGAAACCTTATAGAACCCTGAACCCGAAACTCGGAGCCCTTCGCCTCTCAAGGGGCAGCTTACCTTGGGTTAGTAGGGAATGGAGGAATGGGGGCATAATTATAACTGCTATTACTACCATACTACTACCATATTACTATCATATTACTACCATATAACTACAATTATAGCTGCCATTTTCTACCATTCTTCCATTCCCTACTAAGCAAAGGTAAGGCCGGGGCCGTTCAGCATTCCAGATCAGATCCCAAGGCTTCACCATGGTTTCAGGTAGCATAATGACCGTTTAGGGTTTAGGATGTAGTTTGGGTTTAGGGTTTAGGGTTCAGGGTTTAGGGGGATCTTGCGGTTTTTGGCGTCTCCAGGAGAGCCACTACCACCAGAGAAACCGCTCAACAAGTCAAAGCTTTGCGGACTACGTGGCCGCGTGGCCCCCTCCGGCCTTCAACCCTGGAGAGGACGGGGGCAAGCCTAATTGGGAATACTAGCGACCAGTCTTTACTAGGAAGCATGCAGGTATTGTTTTTATACCCAAAACGTGCCATTGTCCAGTAACCATTAGTACTTTTGAAGGGGGTGTTGCCCTGCCGACCCACGGCTGCTTGCTAGGCGAATCCTTTTATCCCGGCTAAACAGTCTCCTTTTTGGTAGTTCTTTGTGTAGTTTGTGTAGGTCTTTAATGTCTGCTTGTCATCTCCCACACCCACTTCAGAACTCGAAGCCCTCGTTCGAAAGCGTAATGTGCCAGAAAGGACAATTCTCAGCTGCTGGCAGCTTCCCAGCAGCACTCTCCGGCCGCTTGGAGCAAAGGAGACCATTGAGACAACCATAAGTAGATATGTAAGTACATGCTACACCCCACTGGTGCACACGATTCTATGGTTTTGCGCGAGCAGCGCGCCACATCCATGGTTGAAGGTCCTCCCATGGTTGAAGGTGTCTTCCAATCGGCTGTTCAAACTACGTATCACGCATGCGCAGTGTTCTTTTAATACAGGTCTAGGAGGGCTTCGTTGTCGTGTAGAAAGCACTGGAGCCCCTGCGCTCCGAACACCAAAGATCAAGAGCTCCACTATTCCGCTCGTGATATGGAAATCATGCTTCGCCTTCGAGGAGAAAGCCCTCTGATTTCTTCTCGGAGAAAAGAATCTTATTGCTGTATTTTGTTGTGTTTCATCAGCGTTTCTGGAGCCTTTTTAATTCGTGAAGATAGAGATACATGTGCTCGATTACCGAGTATCAGGAACATCGAGGCTTTTCTGCGTGTCTCATTGAAATGTGGCACGTGTGTATGCGTCCGGGTTTATAGGATGACAAGATCATTGGACCAAGGTTTGCAACAGAAGGTTTCGGCCTCAGGGTTAAGAGCAAGCTTCAGGTTTCATGTAGTTGAACCCTACCGGAACGACCCTGCTCAACTCAAGATTCAAAACAGACAGCCAGAGTCCGAAGAGAATCTCCCAACATTGGAAAGGCCTTGTGTGTGTGTGTGTGTGTCAATCGTCACCTCGTTTTTGCTTTGGGTTGTGGGCGAGAACCGTGTCCTCCACTAAGTCACAAAGTAAAACCCAGAGCTAGCGACCTAAACGGCTGTGGGCCTCACCACAGGCTGTGTGTGGGCACACGGTCGCAGATCACACAGTGCCTCAGCCGATGCAATGAGACAGGGTGTAGTTTTCAGCCGTAATCATGTCCAGACGTATCCCGTTTGCAGGGATTCTGGTCGCTTCTTTCTAAACCCCTGAACCCTCGAACTATAAATGCTGAAATCCCCATATAAGCTGCAAAGCCACTTAACCCCAACCCACCCAAAACCCCAACTCGCACACAAAGCATCAGAAGCTCGCATGCGATCGCCGCTGTGCCCCCAAAGCCCGAACCCCTTGAACCCTGAATTCTTAAACTTTTTCATCCCAACCTAAAGCCCACAGAGCCCCAATACTGTACCCAACACGAACCCGAAGAACCGCTCCAAAGTCGAGGCCCGACGGCACTTCAGCTCTAAGCCCTCGCACCCCAAAGCCTCGACAGCCCAAGACGCCAAGGAGTGCAGCTGCTTTCCGGGCAACTCCGGTCCGAACTGCCCGTCCTTCCGTGAGGATCACCTAAGCACAGGCCGCCCCTCCCGGGATGCCAGGGGTTCAGGATGTGGGTTTAGGCTTCAAGGTGTCGGGATAAGGGTCTAGGGTCTAGGGTAAGCGGTTTAGAGTTTAGCGTGTCAGTGCAAATACTGCCATTAAAGCGACGACCGCCCCTGCCACCGCCATTGATACATTTGTTGTTATTCTGATCGCAGTCTGCGCCCGCCCACACATGTGGCCTTCGCTTCCAGTGATTTTGCTCATGCCACAGCAGGCATCCATCCATCCATCCATACTATGCATCCATCCACCCATGTGATCCGTCCGTCCATCCATCCATCCATCCATCCATCCATCCTTTGGTTTCTAAGTTTCGCCTTCTTCAAGCATCCTCGTCCCTGCCATGCTTTGGCTGTGAAGGAAGCATCAACGACCAGACAAACACCATGGGATGAGACTTTTTCTACCAAAGAACAGGCTTGCAAGGCTTGAACACAGTTTGCCCAGTGACCCAGCCCTGCCAGAGGTTGGCTTGGCGTCATGGGAGCATCTTGGCAGCAAGCAGACTTTGAAGCTTAAGCTTAGTTGATGCTTTGAGTTGGCATGTCCGTGCATGCAGGATTGAAACACATGCAGCTTCAGCACAGAGCAAGGACTTGAACCAGAGCCACGAGTACGTTCGCGCGCAGCTTCTCTCCTTTGTGGAGGGCATGGTGGTCAACTACAGTGCGCCGATGAGAATTAGGTTGGTGTCCACGCCCTCAACTGACGCCCCAAAGCCTTTTGAACCCCATTCCGTTAATCCAACACCCCTAAAGAACCCTCATGGAACCCTTGTGGGCATCCTCATCTTAACACCCGTTATATAAGTCTTTAACGGAACCCTTAACACCCCCTAGGCCTGGATGCGCTGCGCCTGGACACGGCCATCTACCTCCAGCGAGACTTCCTTCCCGAGGTCCAGGCCACCGGGGGATTTTCAGGGTTTTGGGTAAAATCTTCAAAAAGAGCCATGGTTTAGGGTTTAGGGTTTAGGGGTTTAGGGTTTAGGGTTTAGGGGTTTAGGGTTTAGGGTTTAGGGTTTTAGGGTTTAGGGCCCAATGAAGATTCTACAAGGGTTGAAGTCACGAAACCAGGACGCGAGCAGAGTCTAGAGGCTGTGGATGAAGCGTCCTGTAGTAATAGTAGTAATAATAGTAATAATAGTAATAATCGTAATAATAGTAATAATAGTAATAATAGTAATAATAGTAATTATTGTAATAATCGTAATAATCGTAATAATAGTAATAATAGCAATAATAGTAATAATAGTAATAATAGTAATAATAGTAATAATAGTAACAATAATAATAGTAATAATAGTAATAATAGTAATAATAGTAATAATAGTAATAATAGTAATAATAGTAATAATAGTAATCATAGTAATAATAGTAATAATAATAATAATAGTAATAATAGTAATAATAGTAATAATAGTAATCATAGTAATAATAGTAATAATAGTAATAATAGTAATAATAGTAATAATAGTAGTAATAGTAATAATAGTAATAATAGTAATAATAGTCCATGCAAAGCAGAGCCGTGCACCAAGGGTTGAGACTGGACATGGGAGTTTCCGATAATGGGGAACCCAATAATAGGGCCCTAAATTGTAGGATCCTTATTATAAGGACCCCAACATAAGCTACCCCTCATATTCGGAAACTCCCACATGGAACAGAGATCATGGCAAGGAGCTCTGTAAAACAGCTGCCTCGCAAGATTGACTGCAGTGATGAGCTCTTTGGAGCGAGGTATCAAGCAGGGCTCGCTTCGATGCTTAGGGCTTCAGACTTTGTGTGCAGCATGTGTGTCGGAGGCGGTGGCTGGCGTGGAGATTCTTGGAGAGGTGGGACGTCCATTGCCCATAAGCCCAGTGGAAGTTGATGTTTGACGTGTCAAGTGCGGAAGAAATCCCACACCCCAAACCCGCAACAAACTCCTAATTCCTAAACCATTATAACTTATGACCTCCTTTCGAGAAGCCCCCAAAGTTTAGGGGCTTCTCCAAAGGAGGTTATAAGGGGCCCTAAAGGAACCACAGCCAGGCAACCGTCAACAACCTGACGTACCAGGCGAGCTTGATGCAAGGCAAGGCTCTGGGAGAGAAGCAGCGGTTTCTGGGTTTGTTTGGGTTTTGGGAGCTGTAGGGGCTGAAGGGTTTAGGGGGTTTAGGGGTATAGAGTTTGGGGGTTTAGGGGTTTAGGGTATAGAGTTTAGGGGTTTATGGGTTTATGGGTTTAGGGTATGGAGTTTATGGGTTTCGGGGATTCAGGGTATAGAGTTTAGAGGTTTAGGGGTTTAGGGGTTTAGGGGTTTAGGGTATAGAGTTTAGCGGTTTGGGGTTTGGGGTTTCGGGGTTCGGGAGTTATAAGTTTTTTTGGGTTCAGGGTCAGCGGTTAGGGTTTAGGCCCTTTTGGCGGCGTAAGGACTCGGCTCTTCAGGGGCTTCGGTTTCAGTCATTAGCCGTCGTGGGGTTTAGAGGGGTCGGGCTATTTCCCACGGGTTTGCCAACACCCTTACCCTTACACAAAAGGATCCTACTTTTTGACGCCAAATTCACTTTTTTGGGATGTCTGGAAGAAGCTCGGGGTCCTAATCATAGTCCAGTGGGAGCCCGGATCTCGCATTGAGAGGGGCATCCTCTCTCCAAAATATGTTCCGCAGGCCTGGCACCTACAAGCAGAGCTCCTCAATTTAAAGGCTAAACCAAGAACTTTGCAAAAGCAAATCGAATCGTCCACATGTTAGGCGATGGAATCCGTGAGAGAGACAAGCCCCAGACCTTAAGACTTAAGCCCTAAACTCCCTTAAGGGGTCTGTAAGAAATCTACCAGGGTTCTAAGCAGGGTTTTTGGGCTTCGACACTTGCAATTAGAACCCCTGTCGATTCCTCATAGACCCCGGAACGAAACCCGCCAAGGAACCCTGAACCCTCAAAACCCTTAAACCCAAAACACCTTCAGCCCGAAACCCCCCCAAAATTAAACCCTACAAAACATTAACCCTAAACACCTGAAGCCCTAAACGGTGAAAAAATTGGAACCCTATAAAACCTTAAACCTAAGCCCAAAAAAGCCTGAACACCCTAGCCCCCAAACACCCTCAGCCCAGGCCCCGGTCGTCCTGGGCTCGCCGGCCTCCTCAACTTCCCGCCCTTCTACAAGGCACCCTCCAAGCCCAGAGCCCCGGGAGGATCCAAAAAGTAGATCCCTTAATGGGGGCTCCCATAAAGTACCCTTAGTAGTATAGGGCCCCAAATTAGGGGATCTACTTTCTAGATCCTGTCTGGGAAATGGGTTTGTCGGGGTTTCAAGATGCGAAACCTCAATCCGAAAAACCCTGGACCCTGTGTATATCCCCTGAACCCATCGACCCCTAAAGCCCTAAACCCTACCCTAAATTAAGGGATGGGACTCAGTTCTTATCCTCTCCTGATCTCAACGACCTTCTGGCTGGGACCATGCGAACCAGGTGGAAAAAGGAGCCCCCCCAAATAAAATGGGAGTTTCCGAAAATAGGGGACCCTAATATAGTACCCTAAATAGTAGGATCCTTGTTATCAGGACCCCAAAATATGGTACCCCTAATTTTCGGAGACTCCCACATCCCTAAATTAATGCTCCCTGCCAGGTCCCCGAGGCCTTCTGCGCGTATCAAATCGGTGGAGATTTTGGGGACTACAGCCATCAAGGCCGTTTCACAAGCTTAGAGAACCTTCCACATTCAGGGTTGAGACATGCAGGCGACGTAGCCCTGAACCAAACCTTCCACATTCAGGGTGGAGACACACAGGCGACGTAGAGCATGATGGTATTGCGTGCATTCAGACCGGAAAGGCGGGTTGTTCTCTGAAGGATCATGTATGTTCGGGATCCTTCTTACAAGACTCGCCCTTGATCCTAAGTGTTCAGTGAGAGCCTGAACCCTAAACGTAGAAGCCTTCGGGGAGCCCCCAGAAGAGGAACCCCTAAAGCAAACCAGGCACCTGGTTCGAGGAAGCAGACCTCGAAAAGCTGGGAGGTGTCCTCTCCCTGCAGCTGTCGCTCTTGGACAGCATAACACTTCGTTCCGGGACAGCTATATTAGCAAGAATAGTACGTCAATAATAACAGCAGCAAGAATAATGAGAACAATGATTACAACACTGCGAACAGCAAGACTGACAAGTTCTACTACTACCATTGCTATTATTATTGCTATTAGTATTATTAGTATTATTATTAATGGTTATTATGATAGACATTAATTTTGTCACTCTTACGGGTGTTATTGTTCGGATTTTTATCATTCGCCGTATTATGACTAGCATCATGGGCATTTCTCTGATTCTTCTTCGCCTTGGCCTTGCTATTCTGTATTAAGCGTATCCATTACATTTGTTTCTATCGTTGTTATTGATAGTGATACTGTTATTGTTATTGTGATTGTCATTATGATTGGTATGGTTTCTGTTATTGCTATTGCCGTTTGTATTGGTATTGTCACTTGCTATTGTTATTGTTATTGCTACTATGATCAAGTCTTTTCTGTCATCATTGTTACTCTTACATATATGCTAGCCCTATCACCGTGCTTACCTCTGGAGGGGCTCCCAACCTCTTGTGTACGCAATGTAGGCTTTACCACTCAGCGCCTAGAAGGCAGAGTTCGCGGTTCTTGGGTTTCGGCTTTGCAGTTGTAGGCGTAGGTTTTCTCCCCAGCACCACGCGGCTGTCTAAGCATCAGGACGGGCCTCTTCGGGAACCCTGATATGCTGGGCAACTTTGTGGACAATCACGACGAGTATGGGCGGCTTGATCACTACTGCCGCCCCCGGGCTAAGATATTGGGGTTTCAGGCTGCTAGTTTGGACTTGGATCTCAGCTTTGATGATGCTTGTCAGGCTGTGTTTCTTATGAGTTCAGAGCAATCTTTTTCTTTCGGCTGGATGGCTGAGTTTGAGACGCCAAGCTTGGCCGAGAGATGTGATGCAGACGCCAGAGAAGTTTCTGAAACATGTCTTTTGTAGCTGTGGGCACCTTCTCCGCCATCCGCTGATGAATCCTCAAGCGTAAAAACCCAACACTTGAACACCTTGAACAGAACCAGTCTGGTACCAAGCTTACAGACCCAGGTCACGACACGCTCCGGATCCGGCATGCCCTTGCCTTCGCCATGCTCTGGCGAGGCCCCGGCAAGGAACAACAACTCACAGATCCGGTGGTTCGGGGGTCAATGCTTCAGACTTCATGGCTTCGGCTCAGGGAATTAAGGTCGACCTTGAGCCTTGTCCACTTTCGAGACTCCGGGCATCCGTTTCAAAACCCTACGCACACCCGACAGCCCAGACTCTCAACCCCAAGCCCTAAGCCGTAAACCCTAAAACCATAAACCCCTAAACCCTAAACCCTTTTAAACCTCTCTACCAGGTATCCCCATCATCTACTATGGGACGGAGCAGGGCCTCTCTGGCCATCAGAGCCCGGACCACAACCTTGGCCAGGCGGCAAGCCGTGAGAGTTGGAGCTTAAGGAGGGTATGGAAAGCTGTACATACCTTCACATGTATGTATATATATATATATATAGATTTGATAGTGTAGCTCCTCAGTATACAAGTGTGTGTATATATATATATATATATATATATGTGCAGACAGAAGCCAGCATGAGGAAACAAGTAACCCACTTCTCTACGAGCTAGCTAGCCATGCTGTTGTGCCGTTCCTGTTGTTTTTCCTGAAGCTTGATTGGTTCAGACACACTGAGATGCTACGCTCTGCTGCTGATGCTCGGATTTCTGTAACGTAACATCAGAGCTATCACTTGAGCAGCTGCTAGTCTGGTTTCTTCTTCTGATGCTGCTGGTGCTCCGTTTGACTACGCTCCTCCTCTTACTACTGCTGCTGCTACTATACTACTACTACTACTACTACTACTACTACTACTACTACTACTACTACTACTACTACTGCTACTACTACTACTACTACGACGACGACGACTACTACTACTACTACTACTACTACTCCTGCTGCTGCTGCTACTACTACTACGACGACAACGACATTGGCAGTAATGATAGTGCTGCCACTGTCGCCACCGTCTTCCCCCAAATCCTGCGCAGGATGCTCTCCGTGAGTCGTTGTGGCTCGGACTTTTGTGCGCTTGCAGCGCGGGTCGCCCGAGTTGAGGTTCCAGACTTGCGGAGTGAGGCCTCGCAGTTTGGAGTGGTGCGGCTTTGAGATTCGGGGTCTGTCCATCTCGGTGGGGCTTTGGAGTTCGATCCTGCTGGTGAGATGCCGGAGTCGTGATCTGTTCTTGAAAGGAAAAGTTTGTAATAACATTACCTTGTAGTCCCTGTACAATCATGTGAGGATGTACGCCCAAACCCCAGCCCTATTCTAGCCATATGAAGCCACTCTATAAAACGCTCTAAGACCTTGCAAAACCTGGACTTAGCATCTTCACCTGGGACGATGGCCGAGGTGGCAGACGCGGTACTCAACCGATCCCTGGCAGTATCGCTTCCTCGCTCAGCTGCGCTTCGGCAGGGAATTCAGGAAAGGCGCGGCGCACAACGCTGCCTTTTTCGCAAGGTACTTTTTTTTTTTAGGTAGTGGGCTGGATGATATGTGCATAGTGCAAAAGCCTTGGCAGTCTCATAAGTAGGTTGCTCATGACAGAAGGTCGACCGGGATCGTGGCTTCAGGCCAGTGCTTCGGTTCAGGACTTAAGCAACCGTACACCCTACGCCCTAAACTCCCAAAGGCGCAAGCCCTAACCCCGTAAAGAGGCTCGGGATGAAGACTCCAGAGCCCGGAAGAGGCCCAAGGAAGAATCTATCTGAGACAGGGCGACGCCTCCCCTGAACCCTTTAGCCCGAGGCCCTGAAGTCCCACCCCTAAACCGTGATAGAACCTCTTAAATCCCTAAACCCTAAACTCAAGGCATAGGCCGCCCACGTATGTGGGCGGGCAGCGCTTAAGCCCCTCGACCTCGGGGGGGGTAGCCCTATGGCCTGGCCTGCCCTGCCTTGTTGAAGAAATGGAGAAAACCATGGCATGAGTTTAGGTGCTAAGCCCTACAAGGAATAGGTTTGGGTGGTTTGGCCGCCTTGGACGGCGTGGGGTGGGAGAATTATCAGAAAAGAGCCATCCACAATCGGGTTCCAACGACCAGTCGCCATTTGGCGACGCACTCGACATGACACTGTGGCAGGATATCTCCGCTTATGCGCCACTCTGCGGCACACCCTGAACCTCAACCCTAAACCTTAAACCCTGAACCCTAAGCCTTGTCTTCAGCAGAGGAATGGGATCCGGAAGAGTTTCGGAATTTCGGTGGGCGATGCGCAGATCCGGAATGCCACGAAGACTTCCTTGGTCTTCACGCGGCCCTGGTCTCAGTCTGATCGGCAGAAGGTTTGGGGCTTTAGGGTTTGAAGTTTCGGGTTTAGAGGTTTAGAGGTTGAGGGCTTAGGATGTATGCAAGATGTGTGCAAGATGTCACTCGGACGATCTAGGATCAGCTTGACTGTGGGTGGGTACACAATCACAAACTCAGCCAATAAACAAGCACAAACTATCTCAGCGAAGCCTGGACGCCGACCATTGCTCTCTTTGCAAAGAAGCCTGTATTACTTCAAGAAGAGCTTTTCAGTGGACTTTTCTGTCCCGCACATTCTGGCTGTGCGGACCTCCATACTCGGGACGTCTATCTTTAAGAAAGCTCCATGTATACATATATTATATATATATATGTATCTATCTATCATATATATATATATATATAGAGTGTTAAAAATCCCCAAACCCCCTAAATCTGAAAGCCCGAAGCCTTCCTCCGCGTCACAAAACGGAGCCAGGGCCGCGAGCGACGGCGCGGCCTGGGTGTTCCTGAACAACGCGGCCAACGCCAGCGCGCGGAGCCCGCAGCGCTACTGCCCGGGCCCGGATGCCTCGCAAGGTGGTTCGAGGGCTGAAGTTAAGGTTGAGATTTCAGGTTTTGCTGTTTGAGGCCTAGGGTTTAGGGTTTAGGGGCTTAGGCTTTAGGGTCGAGGGGTCTAAGCTTTAGGGTCCAGGGGTCCGTGCCGCACGTAGGTTCAGGGCTGGCGAGGATCGGACTTCTTGGGATCGGGCCTGTCGGCCCGGCGGATGGGCTGGTATGGTACCTTACAGTAAAATTTCTTAGCGAGAGCCCGGGATCTATAAGGGTTCGATAATAAGAGGGCCTTAATAATTTGAATAGGGTTTTTGGGCCCATCGTATTATGATCAGTGGGCTTTCAGGCCCGAATCCCTCAAGAGGTGAAACTTGGTACGATGCCCTCTCGGAACTGCCGATGAACCCTTACCTCGTCGACGGCTGCTTCCTGGCGCCGGACAAGTTCCCGAAGGCGAGAAGTTCCAGATCCGGAAGCGTATGGCTTTCTTGCTGTAATCCACCCGCGTCTGCCTGTGCCTGGCTTCCTGTCCCTCTTTCTTTGCTCAGAAGGTGCTGGTGCTGAAAACTCTCCGGCTGCTTCTGTGATGATGTGCAGCCGTCGTGCCACTTTGCGTCCGTTTGCAAAATGTGCAATTCTGCAGAGATCTGCGACTGGTCGGGTTCCCCACACCGCACAGGGGAGTTTCAGAACATTTTGGACCAATATAGACTCTGAAGAGTGGCATCCTACATAAACTAAATAGACGGATTCCTGAGAAGGGCTCCGAGTCTTTCTAAATCTCCCAGATCATGAGCTGGTAGTTGAATTTGATTGTGGCGGAAAGCCGCAAGAGGCATCGTAAAGAGATGCTTTGCAAGAAATTATACACTGCAAGTTTTAGAGCTGCAGCCTTCACATGGTGACATGTAGACTCTGAAATGCTGCCGGCTTGACCTTGGTGGACCCCTGCCTATTGCCTTGTTTTGGGCGATGGCGGTGAAAGTTTGAGGTCGCAGTTTCAATGTCTGCTTTGGCAAGCAGTCAAATTTTGAAGCGAGAAAGACGACGGGCAGAAGGCCGCGTCATCCAGTATCCTGAGGCAACGTCATATGACGATGCGAGGATGCATGTTTGCGCAGGAAGACGCAAGACTTTTAGTAGGAGGTCCGTTCCGCATGTGTCTCGAAACCTGGCCACGGCAAAGAGTGTGGGTTTACTTATGTTTGAAGTCGGTATTCCCGGGCTTTCGTCTCGATTCGCCTTGAGCGCACATGTTGCTTGAAACCTAAAGCTCGGACTCCATGCCGACCCCCGAACGCGGAGCTCAACACGCTTCAAAGCTGTCTACCCTTGAGTCATACTGCGAGAGATCAAGGTCTGCTGCAGGTTTGGCTCAATGTGCAGCAGGGGAGCTGCTTCTATGGGGTGTACCTGAACAGCGAAGGGTTCAAACTTCAGGAGTTGTTGCACCCATCATCCTCCATGCTAGGTTCCTATATCTGCTGGGAGAGGCCGATCGAAATTCACGGCCTCGGAAGCTTTCTATATTGGTTTTCCCCAAGCAATCACGAGGAGATGTAGAGGCTGGGATCAAAAACGTGGTCGACAATCAACAAGATCCCTTGGAAAGCATAATGCAGCAAAGGCAGCCTCAGGTGCAGCTTAGAATGCAAGATATTCTGGAAGCCTCGTTGACCATTCTTCCGGCTCGGGAGTGTCCCTTCCCTCGCCCATGGCCTACGAGGATGCGGGTGGCTGGGTGGATGCCCGCCGCAGTACCCTGGATCAATCCTCGCAGGCTTTGGGAGCGAGTTGTGGAAGCACTCATCTCGCGTGAATGCCGGAGTCCACATTTCTCTGGAACCCGAGGCTTCAAGGGCACCTACAGCGCCTGGCTCACAAAGGTAAAAGGTGGGGACCTGCTGTTCCAGTTGTTGGCTCGGTTGGATCTGATCCAAACGGTTGCTGTTATGGGAGAAAACCTACTGTAGTCGTTGCTGGCATCGGTTTTGTTCAGCTAGTTGTTGTTCGGCATTTTCTCTGCGAATGGGTAGGTTCATTGGGAGGTGCTGGCTATGATTGAGAAGGGCAGCAATCATCCCACCACCAAAACTCGCACTTCACGGTGGGCCTAGAATGCCAACACTGGCGTGCCAGGTGATGGGGCAAAGGCGCGTTGGTTCTCGAGCACGACAAAGAGATATTTCACCATCGACTTCAATGCGCAGCTTTTTTTCTATGCGCATTCGGAAAGTGACAAGACTGTCTCTCATCCAATTCGCTTCAAGGACAGTTCTGCTCAGCGTTTCGGGGCTGCGGGCTTTAGGTGTCGGATCTGCATGCAATGTAGAGGGTCGGAAGACATAGAAAAAGTACCCCCTGACATATTTGCCCTAAACGCCGTATTTGTAGTGGAACAAATAATGAAGGCCCGTATATGAAAAGCCCGATGTCGGGACTCCTAAGAGAGCTTGAAACTACTGGATTTCTTTGTAGATTTAGCAAGGTTGACTATCCATTTAGGGGGAGCCCTTAAAAGGAGCCCTTAAAGGGACCAGAAAGGGACCCTTAGGGGAAGCCCGGCGTATCTTCGAGACGAGAGGCGGCATGTGCGGCCTGACCTGTCCGATTCGAAACTGCCCTTGCCCGTGCATCGCCTGCCTACCCTATTTGACGCCGTAGCTTCCCAAAATTCTATCCTGAACCCTAGGCCCGAGACCTTCAATATGGTACCCGTAGCGATCCTTATTCCTGATGCCTGTGAAGCACACGAGCCTAGGCAGTCCTTTAGACTGTCTGCTCATTTTTTGGGTGCAGTTTCCTATCAGAAAGGGAGCGAAGATGACAACTCTCGAGTAGGTCCCAAGCCTTGCCCGGCCCGCAGTGGAGCTCAGACTATGAGGACATCGTGGCAGCGGACCAGCTGCCGATCGCCGATTCGAAAAGCCCGGGCCCTTAGTGGCAGGCTTGCGATACTATGCACTCATTACTATTCTTCTTCTTGCGACGACAGTGACGACGACGCCGTGACGAGAACGACGATAACCACGACGATGTCTGCCACTGCGGAGGCAGGGGTGTGGCAAGGACGACGACTGCCATTGCCACTTGCTACTACTACGACGATAACGACAGCAGGCAGCTACACTCAGCCGTAGTTTTGGCTATGATATTTCTTGGCCGTCGCAATAGTAGTAGCGGCAGGTGCAGTGACGTTTTACGCGCAATGCTAGTGACCGCAATGTCACATGAGTTTAGGCATTGGTCCGAGGGAACTGGCTTGACTAGGAGTCCGTCACATTGACCTCTCTAGTGAGACACATCCGAGAAGTCCCATCGTTTCGGAACCCTGTTGAAGATGTATAGGCCTCTCTATGATCCAGGGCAGGGCAAGAATGTTGCTATAAGGGTTTAGATAACTGATACCAATACTATTTGGGGGGTTCCTTACTATAATTAACATGAAATGGGCACCAAAACCCTATTCCAAATGTTTAAGGTCCCCATAGTATGTTATGCGCGTGCCTCCTTTCCATCGGCCAGTGCAGGGGGCAGCTCCGCTAGCTGCACTATACGAGGCTGAATCATTAGAGTAAGGTTTGGGGTATATAGACTGCTGCAGCTACACATGTGGACAAGGTGGGAATGGCATTTCTGAATGTCAGACCCGCTCTATTGCACCCACATCATCACGCTGAGTTCATGTTAGGATTTTGGGGCCCCCAGCGAAATTGGTCAGAGTCGACTTTGGTAGCCTGCGGGCGAAACGAATGTAGCATTCTTGACCAGCGCACCGTTGACCTCCAGCTTCTCTCCGGCTCTGGCTTAGAGCGCAGGGTGTAGGGTTTGGGGCGGAAGGTCTCGGATTTTGCCATGCGCTGCGATGCGAGGTGATCACATCTTTGGCTTCTCTGTGCTCACTGCAGAGAGGACCTACGAGCTCTTCACAAGCTCCTACCAGGCCAGGTTGATTCGGTTTAGAATTCTATCTGGGGTTCATGACATAGGGCCTCTATAGATCCAGAGTGTAAGGGTTTAGGGCGAGGGAAGGGTTTTTGGGGTGGGGCAAGAGAAGCTGTCGAAGACCCTACTTTTACATCTGTGGGATGTTCCATGAGACGCAGAAATCTGAACATCTGCACGCATGTGCTGCTGGTTTCCTAAATCCTAGCATGGTCAAGCCCCAAACCCTGAACCCCCAAACTCTAAAGCCTAAACCCCCAAACTCTCAAATGCAACAGCAAAAACACAACATGACCCCAGTAGGAAGGGAGCATACAAAACACTAGCAAACACCCTCGACCCTAAAACCCTAAGGCCCTGAAGCCCTAAAGCCACAAAAACCCTAAAAAGATTAAACCCAAAAAGCCGAAAGCCCTCAACACCGCAAAGCTCCGAACACCCTGGAGACGCCAAAATACCCTACAGCCTTTAAATGCTCGCAAAAGACTCTGAAACTCTTCGAACGCCCTGAAACCTTATTAAAGAACCCCAAAACCCTGAAAGAACCCTACAGAACGCTAAAGCCCTCAAAGAATGCCTTCAGGATGCAGAATCCTGGGTTTTCGGCCTCAATAATGCTCGAGACATCGCCGCTGGGAGAGCGCCTGATGGGCAGGCGACGCGGGTTTCGAAGGGGAGGGTTTGGTGAGATGTAGGGCTCAGAGGTTAGGGTTTTTGTGCTTTGGGGGTTTTTGTGCTTTGGGGGTCAGGGCTTTGAGGCGTAAGAGTTTAGCGTTTTAGGGGTTTTAGGGTTCGGGGGTTTGCATTCAAAGTTTGCAGCTTTCGAGAGCCGTTACCTTGGGTTACCAGGGCGAACCTTTTTTTCCGTCACAGCCCGTGCCGACTGGAGTCTTCCCTTGGCTGCGGTGCTCTTAAACCCAAGCCCCGACATCCCAAAGCACTCTAACCCCAAAAGACCCGAAAGCGCTGAACCCAAAAATTTTGAATCCTATTCCCCAAGGCCATGGCCCTATATGCAGACTTATAATAGAGCCCTTAGCCCCTGATATGTAGACTTTATACTGCAGCCCTTCTCAAAACCCTCATAAAAAGCCGTGTAGACTCATGGAGCCCTTATCCATGCACCTCTATATGTAGACTTTCCCTAGGGGTGGTTGTCAAAGTTAGGGTCCCTCTTTGGGTCCCGAATATAGCACGGCACCTAAAATTTAGGGGTACCCAAAAAGGGACCCTATTTTTGACAACCACCCAGATAGAGCCCTTATAGAAACTTTCATGGCCCTTATCAAGACCCTCATGAAAAGCAGCGAAGCTCCTAAGCCGAAACCCAAAACCCTAAACCCATAACCCAAAACCCTCAAAACCCTTAACCCACAACTCTAAACCCAAAACCCAAAACCCTCAAACCCCCTAAACCCTAAACCCATAACCCAAAACCCTAAACCCATAACCCAAAACCCTAAACCCATAACCTTAAAGCCCGAAGAGGCCGGCTCTCTCGCGGCGCCTGCTGCGGGTCAGGAGTTCACTCGGCTCCTCGGCGGAAAGCCGAGGTTTCGGTCTCTGTAAAGTCTTCAAAAGAAGGAGATCTCTATAAGTCTCTAAATTCTCTATAAATTAGAGGGCAGCGCAATTTCATTATAATGAAGTATCGTGTATATTTTGTTGCAATACGCTTTTCGGAGTCAGGCAGTGTTCTGCTCGGCTGCTTGACAGAGCGTTCTGGGGCAGCTGCTGCAGGATTTGGGAAGGGTGTTTGTGGGTGGTCAATGAGGGTTTACAGGGATTTTGCTAGCTGTCTGCCGTTTTTTTGGAAAGCAAGTTAGAATGAAGGTGTCGTAACAGTCTGGTAGGATGCGAGGCGCCCGGGTCAAACCAAGACAGAACCTGGTACCCTCAACCCTAGAGGCCCTGCCCAAACCGCGGAAGTTCTAAACCCCGAAGCCCTAATCAGGTATTCCAACTCCACTTCAGCCTCAGACCAGAATGGCGATCCAGGCAGCGGGCTCGGGCGATCACTAAGCATTCCTGTTCGCCTATCCACCTGCCTGCGATCAATCTATGTATTTATCTAGCTCTCTGTCTGTCTGTCTGTCTGTCTTGTTGTCTGTCAACAGAGCTACCAACCACGACCAAATCTGTCTGTCTGTCCGTCCGACTGTCTGTCTGTTTGTCCATCTGTGTATACGTGCATGCGTGCATACATGCCTACATACATACAGACATGCACACATACACACACACATATATATATATATATATATATAGACATGCATACATACATACATACATACATACATACATACGCTTACACATATCACGCATACGTGCTTGTTGGCACGCCCCACTCCGGCATTGTTCCTATCGTTCCGATGTCTCGTAAGGGTGTGGCAGAGATGCTTTTAAAACTTGATTCTCAAAGCCGAAGTCTTCGCCCACATTTTCGATTGAAGCCCCGGTTTGTTGCTTCTTCTTGCAAGATTTGCTGCTGATGCTCGGGCTGCTGCTTAGGAGTTACTGCGTGGCCCCCAGGTTTTCGAGCAACCCAAACCCCCCCAAAACTTCGAGCGATGAGCCCCGAAACTCCAGATCCCCTAAACCCCTAAACCCCTAATTAAGCCCTAAACCCCTAAACCCCTAAACCCCGCAAAACCCTCAGGCGGAGACGGTGAGAAGCGACGTCCATGGGAGCCCCCGCCTGTGGCGCCGAAGAGGTTTTTGTTTTGAGCTGGTTACTTAAGAGCGGGTTCAGGGGTCGGCAGTAAGGGTTGGAGTTGTAGGTTCAGGGCTTCGGCTTCAGGATTTCGGATTTTTGATCTTCTGTGAGCTGTCCTCTGCTTTGCTGGATGGTGACGGTATTTTTGGATGGGGTCTTTTGGAGGAAGGCTTCCGGGTTTTGGGCTTCTGCGGTCTAGGACCCCAATCGCTGCCATCCTGGAGACCAAAAGCTTAGACCCCAAGTGGGTGGTTGTCAAAATTATGGTCCCTTTTTGGGTACCCTAAATATTAGGTGCCGTATTACAATAAGGACCCCAAAAGGGGCCCTAATATCGACAACCAGCCAAGTAGGAGAGGTGCAAGCCGCAAGCCCGCAAGCTAAAGCGGAGCTGATGGTTGCAGGTTTCCAGCTCCTGCAAAAGAGGCCCGCATTCTTGCTTTGTCTTCCTGTGCCTGGTGAGGGCTTCAGGGTTTGCAGTTTAGGATGTCAATGGTCAGGGGCTTAGGATTTCGGAATAAATTGGCTTGGATTCAGGATTAGGGAAGATGGGTTCAGAGGTTGGGAGGTTGTAGGATTCATCGTCTCCGTTTGATTTCCGGGAATTTGCACATCTAGTGCCATTCTGCCATTCATCCGGGTGCGCACCCGAAGCATGGCAACCAAAAAGCGTAATTGCAAATCTTAACGCCCTGCCTAAATGGGAGTTTCCGAAAATAGTCGACCCTGATATAGTCCCCTAAATAGTAGGATCCTTTTTTTAAGGACCCCAACATAAGGTACCCCTAATTTTCGGAAACTCCCAAATCCTGAAGCCCCAACCCTATATCCCAAGCCCAGACCTAGAGTCCTGAACTCAAACGTTAAATCGGCTGCAGAAGCCTTCAAGCCCTGCACCCTAAACCCTCAACCTCAAACCCTCAACCCCGAAGCACAGAAAGAAGCCATTGCACTTTCAAAAAATCCCGAATCCTAAACTATCTTAAACTCTAACCTTAGAAGTTTCGATTTCCGAGGATGTCCTCATGTCCTCCCGTTTCTTTTGCCCAGGTACAGCAGGAGATCCGGGCTCCGCCCCCTCCACCACCCGCCGTCGAGCAGGTGATTGTGGGAGCATGCTGGGCCCGTGACTTTTGAGTTCAAGGTTTAGGGTTTACGAGGGTTTAGGGTTGGGGATGACCTTAGGGTATATTGGGGTCTAGGGTTTGTGGATCTGGATTCAGGGGTTCAAGGGTTTGGGGTTTAGGGTATGTCCACAAGTTTCCGTAGATGCCACGCACCCGACTTACCCGGGTTACGCTACCATAGCCACGCAGGGATGTATGGGGACCAGAGACAATAGCTGGGTGGCTGAGCTTCCAGGGTTCATTCCACGGCCGTGACGCGAGGCAGAAGCTTTTGACTGTACGGAAGTCTTTGGAGGGTTCTTCTTTGGTGGAAGCAGCTGTGTTGTAGAACGGTCGAGACGTTGGCCGCGGCAAGCTTAACCATCCGTTGAGTCATGGGCTTTGGGTAAACCCGAGGCAAAAGACACACCGTGAGCCCATGACTGAATGGTGCGTAGTATAATTCATATTCAGGCGAAGACCTCGAGAACACTAGTGCTTTCAAGTTTTCACCAAGAACACGCACCCGCCACGGTGCACCAGTCTGAAACCCAACATCTCGTGACAGCGCTCCTCTGTGATCAGGACCCCTTTGCCGCCTTAGATGCCCTGGAGGACAGCTGCGTGCTGTGTGAATGCCTGCCTTGGCGGGTCCTATGTCTAGTATTAAACGGACGGGTCAAAGATCACAGCAGAGAAGTTTACAAGCTCTCAAGTGTTGGTGGGCCTCACGACGTCAGTCGTACACTCTTGAGCTTACAGCGATTCATGCTGAGATCCCGGGCACAACCGAGGTCAGCTCACATAAGTATGCAGCATGCATGCAATGTCTGTACATATGTATGTACGTATGTATGTATGTCTGTATGTATGTATGTATGCATGTAATATCCAAAACCCTAAACCACTAAGGCCCTAAGCGGTTCCTGAAGCCTTATAGAGCAGAAAGAGACAAAACTCTACTAGGCTATACCCCCGAATCCTATTAAGATTATTGAGGCACCTGGAATCCTTATCAACTTTTCGACACCCTATTAACCCCTATCAACACCCCGCAGTCTGCGGGTTCCACCCTTTGCAAAGACTAGCCTCGCAATGTACGAGGCCCCAGTAACCCAAATTAAACTCTTCCCAAAGCACCCTAACACGAACCCCAAATCCTAAAGCCCAAAAACCCTGAAAGAGGCTGTCAAAGGATCCTTGAAGCGAACCCTAAGGTTTAGGGACCCTAAACCCCACACCCTAAACCCTAAACCCTAAACCCTAAAAGCACAACGAAAATCTCCAGGAGCTGGCTGGGCCTGCCCCAGATTCCGCACCGGCACCTGCGCCGCCGGGGCTCCAGGCGAGGGACGACTGGGACTGTCCTGAAGCTTCAGCAAGGGTGTAAGGTTTAGGGTTTGGGGTTTAGGATTTCGGGTTTCGGGTTTAGGGTTTCGGGTTTAGGGTTTAGGCTTCAAGGGTCTACGGTTTAGGGTTCAAAGCTTTCGAAGAGTGTAAGCCGAAAGCCATAAGCGGTCCCTTACACCCTAAACCCCAGCCGAAAACACTTTAAGACACAACTGCTTTGAATCTCAAACCCCAGCCACCAAAATTGGAACTGCGGCCACCTTACACCTCCGGCAGAAAATCCATACAAACCACCTGCAAAGCCGTTTCAGACCCTGATCAAGCTGTCATAGAAATACCTCATGAGACTCATGAAGCCCAAACCGTAAACCCCCAAAGGCCCAAAGCCCCTAAAGCCCCTAAAGTCCCTAAAGCCCCTAAAGCCCCTAAAGCCCTAAGCCCCTAAACCTAAACCCCCAACCCCAAGCCCCCGAGTCTCCCGCGAGGGCGAGCTGCTGAAGGAGGCCAGAGCTCGGGTGACGGGCGCGGCCGCCGCAAAGCGAACGCCGCAGGTGCGGGGCAGAAGAAAGAGCCAGGGGAAGTGTTAGGGCTTGGCGGTTTAGGGGTTCAGGGCATGCATCGTGTGATCCCATCTCATGTCTCATTTTATGTTACTGCGGCTGTGGTCCAAAGAAAGGATAGCCGTTGTAGATTCTAGACGCCAGGCGCTAGTCGATTGTGCCCAGACCAAGACCCCCCAATTTGCACGAGCCGCGAAGCTCTACCGAGCCACAGATCTCGCATGGCTAGCTGCTACCTAGGTTTGAGATGCGGGTTGAAGGCCAAAATGTGATGGGTGCAGCTACTCGCTGCTAGTAGAAGTTATAGTACCAGCACTGCCTTGTGGCCGAGCAGGGTTGAAAGTATTAACTTTCGAAAAATGCTTGCACCCTTGCCAGGAAATTGCGCAGTCGTCGATGCCAGTGGCCCCTTCGGCTAAGCAATCTAGGGTTTACGGCTTACCGGCTCTTTCATTATCTCAGGGTTGGGTCATACATTTTTTCGTATCTATACCATAAGGTACCCCCCCAAACTCTATTCTAGTCATTTCTAGTCTTTAAGGCCCCTACATTTTCTGCCCAACGGTCCAGCTGTCTACCTTGCCTATCCATCTATCTACCTATCTACCTAGCTACCAACCAATCTATCCATCAATCTATCCATCCATCTACAGACAAGACTACCTAGGTTAGACTTGGTGAGATGAGGTTAGGTTAGTTTAGGTTAGATTAGATGAAGGTAAACACATAAACTGTTCGATAGTTTGATATAGCTAGATAGTTAGATAGATAGGCAGACAGACAGGTAGATCGATGGATGAATGATGGATGGATGATTCGACAGACTAGCAGACAGATAGGTAGGTGGGCAGACCAGACTTGTACGCGCGCACATACAGACCCTGACTCTGTCGAGGCACCGCCACCACAGCCGGAGCACTCCGAGCCCATCACCGCCGAGGCCGCTGCGCCCTCCGCACCTTTAAGTGGGCCGCGACCTCAAGAGCGCGTACTTGCTATAGATGTATACACAGCTATAGGAAGGCATGAATAAATCTGTGCTGATGTTTCTTCTGAACTACTTTATGAGATACTTGTATTGCTTTTGTTGGCTTGTTTGGGGAGTTCGGGGTGAATTTCGTGAGGTATTGGAGATGAAGGGTTTTTAAACTGCTCGAAGCATTTCGGTTTTGATGGCTGCTATGTAGACCTCGGATCGATGTGGGAGTTTCCGAAAATTAGGGGTACCTTATTTGGGGGTCCTTATAATAAGGATCATACTAGTTAGGGTACTATATTAGGGTCCCCTATTTTTCGGAAACTCCCATGTATATACCTTTTGGAGTGCCTTACGATCGGGGTCCCGATTACAATCCCAATGAAAGGAAGGCGCCTAAGAATCAGGGGTTTGCAGTACTCAAGAGTCAAGGTACTTCACAATAACTTAAACCCTAAAGCACCTGGAACCAGAGCCTCAAGATGTTTCAACACCCCAAACTACCCCTTAACAACCAGCTTCAGAAAATGTGGATAACTTGTTAAGGCGTCCTTACAAGGACAAATGAGGTTCTCACTATTTTGAGTTGGTCTCAGGGTCCTTTAGTTTGTGAAACTTGCATATCCGTTTAGGGCTGAGAAATCAGGATTTGCCGCTGATGAGGGGGTTCCCAAATCATCTGCTTGCAGCGAATCCTTGGGAGAAGGTCTACCGGATTGTAACTGGCTTCCCGAAAGTCCTCGACGGAAGTTCCCAAACCCTTAAGCCCGAACGAAAGCCCTGAAGCCGAAACCCTATATGGGAGTTTCCGAAAATTAGGGGTACCTTATTTGGGGGTCCTTATAATAAGGATCCTACTATTTCGGGTACCATATTAGGGTCCCCTATTTTCGGAAACCCCCATATCCTGAACTCCCAAGATTCCCAGGCACTTTCTGAGTGCACCGTCAAATCCCCTGATCTTTGCTGAGGATCGCGCCGCCTGCAGGTATCGCTCCCCCAGCAGGCCTTCCTGGGAGCACATGTGCCGTACTCGAAACTCCAATATATGTGACACATATATATACACCCTTGAAGGATCATCTAACTTGGTTGCTCGATTTGGATCAGGAAATCAGAATTCCAACTCAGGTGACTGTATTCATGACTTTGCTTTTGGATTACTTCGCGTCCCATGATCCTTCAGGTAAAGTCCTGTCCGTATGAACCCCTGAATCTGCGACCCTAAACCCTCAACCTTAAATCCTTCAGTCCTAAGCATGAGTCCCCAAACCAGGACACACAGAAATCTTGACAGCAGATCCGAAAAGGTCAGAAATCCGCGCAGGAAACCGAAAACGAACCGTAAACTGCAAACCCTAAGCCCCAATAGAAGCCCGCATGGAAGGCTTTTGCGGAACCCTCAACCCTAAACGCCTTTTAACAGCCTTACCAAGCCCAAGTGCAAATCTCACATATGGTTCTTAAAATCCCCAGTTAGCCCTTATAGAACCTTTGACTGTTCTAAAATCCTCATGAAGTCCCTAGCCCTTCATAGACACTCTAAACCCCAAACCCTAAACCCTAAACCTCAATCGCTCAACCCGAAACCGCAGAGGCTTAGGCATGCCCACAGCTGGCATCGCGCCCCCCGCGGGCTTTTCCAGTGCTCCCTCCTTCGGCTCTTTGCCCACGGCTTCCATGGAGCTGGGCCGGCGGGAGGAGGCGAGAGTTTGGGGGTTTGAGGGCGTTCTGGCTTAGGGTTTTGGGGCCTTGGGATTAGGGGCCTGAGTTTAGGGTCCAGCACGGACTGTTTTTGGGGTTTAGAGTTGTTTTGGGGGGTCCTTTCAAGCAGGATCTTGCCCTGCAGGTGTCGAGGAGTGGGAATCAACCTGTATGTGCTTTACTGTGTTAGTGTGTATGTGCAGTGTGCATGTAAGTGTATGTATGCATGTACCACCCTGGAGCCGCATACCCCGTGCCCGTCAAGCTTTCCTCTTCAGGCACAACTTCCCGAAGAGGCACCGCTGCCCGAGGTGGGCGCTGGTGACTTGTTTTTGTTGTGCTCTAAGCTCATTGTAAGGTCTGTTGTTTCTTCAACCCTGGGCCTGCGGTTCTTTCTTTCGCAGTGGTGGCTCGAACAAGGGCATAGCACAAATGCATATCTTGAGGAGGGCTGATACCGGGCTTGACAGCGGTCCGATTCTTGTGCAAACGCGCCGTTTGGTGGGACTCCGTAAAGCCTACCTAGACCTGCTAAAGCCTACTTTCTTGTAGGTTCTTATTATAAACCCCAATATGGGATATATAGGGACCCTACAAAAAAGTAGGTTCTGGTAGGTGAAGGTACACCTTAAGCCCGAGCCCGCAGCGGACTGCGTGCTAAAGCCATGGTTTCAGGAGATCTCTTGACCAAGTCGGTGCTTAGAGCGCTTGACTTGTCTGGGAGCGTCCGAAAATTAGGGGTATACCTTATGTTGGGGGTCCTTATAATGAGATCCGACTATTTAGGTACCATATTGGGGTCCACTATGTTCGGAAACTCCTGTCTCGCCGATTTCACAGACGTAGGCTCCGCACGCTCCGGACCTTCAGAGCCAACCCGGGGCCTCAAAACCCAAAGAAGTGCCGTCGTCCCGCCGCCCCGGAATAACGAAGCCTAAAGACCTGAAGCCCCCTCTGAACTCCCGAACCCGAAACTGAGAAAGCCCACAGACCTCAACATGAATACTATGCTACACCATATTGTGCGATACAATGCGTGTCATACTGTTTTATACAGAATTTGCTGTAGTATAGCATGCCGGATTAGACTACACATTACCATAGTGTGCTTTACCGGGCTATACTGTACTATGCGATACTGTATTTCACTGTACTACAGCATACGATACTTCGCTACACTACACAGCACAAGACCACACTAGTCTTGGCTAGACTAGGATACACCACACCACACAACGCCCAAAAAACATCACACCACACAACGCCACACCACGCTGCACTACGCGATGCGATGGTAATACGATACCATACCATACCATACGACCATGCTATCCTATACTATGCACTTCTATATTGCACTATACTGTACCTTGTCTATACTATGTTATACTATACTATACTCCATTGCAATACTGCTATATATCACAGTTTTCTATACTATACTATACTATACCATACTATACTGATGCTACATGTTACCATGTTATCGCACGGAAGGTTTCTGCCACGGACGAGAACTGGGACGCACCGGCCCCTTGGGTGCAGGGAAAACCCTCATCGTCGTGCAGTTGCTGGGAAGGCTGAACTTACCTTTGGTTATAAAGGGGTCTATAAGGATTACTATAAGGGATCTATAAGGGTACTATAAAAAAGGGGGCTTAATAATAAGTTAAGAAGTACCCAGAGGCCCCATAGAAGTTCCTTTTTGGGATTGCCTCATAAGATTCTATTTATGAACCCCCAAAAGGAACTGCTTTGGGGCCTTAGGGTAGATACTAAGGAGGGTTTTAGGTATTGGGCCTTTATAGGGTTTCGGGTTGAAGCTTAGGCTTTAGGGTTCAGGGTCTAGGGTCTATGGTTCAGGGCTTCGGGTCTAGGGTTTAGGGTTTAGGGTTTGGGGTTTAGGGTTTAGGGTTTTAGGGTTTTGGGTTTAGGGGGTAACATGAAGACTACGAGGCCCCTGCTCCGCCGACGGCCGAGGCACAGGCAGGGCCGCAGAGTGCTTGAGGGCCTCTGAGGGTTTTTGGGGGTTTTAGGGTTTTCGGGTTTAGGGTTTAGCGTTTAGGGTTTTGGGGTTTTAGGGTTTTAGTGCTTTTAGGAGTTTCTAGGGTTTCTAGGGTTTGATTTAGGATTTTTTTTTGTTGGGGTTGTGGGTGCTAGTGCCCACGCTTTGCCCCCGCTCCTTTTTCTTCCCTGTTTCAGCTTCCGAGCAAAGATTGCGTACATAACTAGGATGCCCAGTAGTACCCTTATTCCCTTTTTGTAGTCCTAGGTTCCTTATAAAGTTACCCAATACCAAAAAGAGAGGCCTTTTTATCCTTAGGTTACTGGGTATCCTAGATAAAGTTGGGTCCAAAGGCTACGAAGCAGAGTGATCCTGCCATATTTCAGGGTAGCGATGTTTGGTGGTGGTTTCTGGCCAGTATGGTATTTGCATTCCCGGTCCGTGTCCTTGTGTATAGATACAGCCTCGATACGCTGAGCAAAACACGACGTCATGTACCGACCGGTCATGTGGCTAACTGTAAACCCGATGCAGCGTGCTCAGCTGTGAGGTCTTTAGGTTTAGTGTTGTTCAGGAGCATAGTCTGACATATTCCACAACCCTGTTCGAATTACTAGGGTCCCTATAGTGCCAAAATGATTTCTCCTCATATGCGTTGAGGGTTTAGGATTTGGATTTAGGGTTGCCCTCGCTCCTGGTGGGACGGGCAAAACTCCGATATCAATGGCAACGAGGACCAGCAAGTCAAAGCCGTACGCACCAGAGCAAGATCAGGTTGGAGATTTACCCGAAAGCTTAACCCGCCAGCACTTCAAGAACCTGCAAGCCCTTACACCCCCCCGCCCTCCACAAACCCCTTATGCAAAAGGGCCGCCCTTGATTGTAATTGCCAGGAACCCTAAACCCACGAAGGAAAGCGGCTGGGATGATGACGATCCTGCGGAGGGCCAGGACCATCCCTGTAGGGCTTCGTGGCTCCAGGTTACTTTTGTAATGTGGCCACAGGGCTTTGTGGATTAGGGCTTCAGGGTTTGGGGTTTGGGGCTTTAGCGCTTTGCGGGTTATGGTTTTAGGGGTCGTCCGAACTAGCTGTTCTGCGTGGTAGTCGTCACGCTTCTCTTTATCTTACCGTTAAGCCTTAATGGCAGCTTAAAATGTTATTTGCAACATGTTGATGCTGGGCCCAAGGGAGCTAAAGTTAGGAGTGGTCCTGGCTTCTGGCTTTGTTTCAGTGTGACATACATGGGACATCTTGGCACAACGGTGCCGCCGTGTGGACTTTGAACACAAGAGAAACCAGTTCCGTCTTCACAGAACCCTCCCAAACTAGGAGCTTGCGTTGGTCAATAGTCGAGCTTGAACTCGACATCAGACTACCATGAACTCTACTGCTGCTTGAGCATGCTCTGGCCTGGCAGGACAGCGCGCCAATGCCGCCCCAGGCAAGAGAGCTGGGCGCAGAGGGATGGGAGCGGGGTGCACGGGTAATCTAGGGGCCTTCCTAATTACCAATACTATTTTGGGGGGTTTCCTTACCATTTTGGAGGTTTCCTTGCCATTTTGGGGGTTTCCTTACTAGAGTTATAGTATAAACCCCGTATTGTATGCATTCCGGCCCCTTTTTTTAGGATAATTCCCTTCATGTGCCGTTTTGATGTCCTCGAGGAGATGCTTGAAGCAGTTTCGACGAGCGTTTCGTTTAGGATTTCCTGGAGGGAGGGGGAGGGAATGGTAAGAAAAACTGCACTGACAAGATCCGAGTCCTAAACCCTTTAGGACTTAGCACTAAAAGCCTTAATTGGGTTTAGGGTTTAGGGTAACCCTTAAACCCAAACCTTAACCCTCTTACGGTCCCATCATCTCCTGTTCCCTACCTCGCCCCCCATGCGAAGGCGCCAATGCCGCCTTCTGTGCAGAGTCCCGGGGACGACCTCGAGCCTAGCCATTGTCTTGTTTTTCAGTTTGGGTCCAGGGTTCTTTTATGAGCTTTTGATGGTTTTGGGGGTCTTCAAGGTCTTTTTGGGTTTAGGGGCTACATACAGTAGGTTCAATGGCGCAGAATTCAGAGCGCAGGTGCCCCGAACCCAAACCCAGAGAGCCCAATACCCCTTAATTAAGGAATATACCTTAAACTATAAGGAGATTCATATTATGATTTAAGCTATATCTCTTAATTAAGGGGTATTGGGCTCTCTCGGAAGGCTTCAAACTCAGCAGAGCTCCTACACGTTGGCCGGCTCTGGTTGCTCCGCACACGGAGTCTCGTGCCTCGAAGGTACCGTCCTTTTGCGCAGAAGTTAGAAGCAGAGAGCCACAGCTAGAGTTCTCCTGATATGACCGTACTTGCGAAGAATATCTCAAGTGCCATAGGGGCCTTGATAATTAATCGCCTGTACTATTTTGGGGGGTCCTTACAATAGTTAATGTGCAATATACCTGAAAACCCTGTTCTAATAGTTGAGGCCCCTAATGTACTTTTGAGGACGATTTGGTTGGCGAAATGATGGCCACCGATGCGACGGTCATTGGTCACGGGCCCCTCGCACCCACTTCCAAAGCTAGGGTTTCGGGCCTACGATTCTTTGGGGGTTGGGGTGTAGGGTTCCGGGATCCCCACCGCCTTGCTGCCTCGTGCATGATCCGGCCAGCTGGTGTACCTGTTTCGGACTCGTAGTCTTTGGCCGGAGGACTCAGTTGTCGTGCCTTGCGATAGCCGTGTTCATAAGACTATAAAACAAAGCCTCCAAAGTCGCCTCCAACGTCAGCAATACCAAACAACGCCTGAACATGGTGGCAGGGGCCGCAGTGCTTGACAAACTTAAGCCTTGTACCGCAGATCCCGAACTGCAGAATTGACTGAGTGTTCTGGGCACGGCTTTCTGAACCTCTGCTTGCCGCTGAGGCTGCTCGAGAATTTTCATTGCATGGGCTGCGATTTTCAGGCGCAGCGAGCTATGTTTCCGCACCGAAGATGAATTTGGCACTTTGTGATAGGAGGTGCTTTGGCTGCTCAAGGGGTTAGCAACACCCGCCTTCCTAGAGTGGTGCGACAGAATTGGCGATTGCCGAGGTTCCGACTGCTGGTAGTTCTGCCGAATAGTTTTGCAATGCTACAACTCGCTGACTTCGTGACAAACAAGTTGGGAACCTTTGGTAGGTCTTGGTGTGCGACGACTACGTGTGGAATACAGACGTTGACTACATGCTGATGCCCCGGCATTTTTACAGTCCATGTGCTCCAGCGGATTTTGTCTGTATGTGAGTATGCATTCGGGTGGGATGCTGGCAGTAGCAGGGTGAGGACAGCAAGCTTCAGTTTCGGGCCGAAGTGTCGAGTAAGGCCTACGGAGCTAAACCCTGAACCCCAAGCCGAAAAGTTGCTGCCGAGGCCCTAACCCTAAACCCTAAACCCTGAGGTTCTTCAGGAACAACTACCCCAGCTTCGAGAAGCTCAGGACTGCCTTAGAGAACGTGGATGTTCGGGGTTCAGAGTTTAGGGCTTGGTGCTCAGGGTATACTAAAGGGTCCTCAATAAATACTTAACACGAGCCTGGGGGTTCCTTAGTATAATTATAGTATAATGGGCCCCAATCCCTATTCTAATTACTCAGGCCCCTATAGTAGAGAGCTTCGCATGTACGGCTTCGGGTTTAGAGGATCATCCAGGCCTTCGTTCGGGCTTGCTCGGATGACGGCTACTGGAGACCCGGAGAGCAGCAAACCCAAGTCCCTGATTCGTCAACTCAAGCGCCAAACTCCTACACCATACTTGCTCCCAAACCTAAATACCCTAAACCCTAAATCGTAAATCCCAAACCCTAAACTCCTACACCCCTACACTGTAGGTCTGTAAACAATACATCCCAAACCGTACGCCCGAAGTTCAGAACCCTTCACTCACTTTTCTCTGTCTCTCCCTCCCTCGCTCTCTCTGTCTCTCTCTCTCTCTCTCTCTCTCTCTCTCTCTCTCTGTCTCTCTCACTCTCTCTCCCTCTCCCTCCCTCTCTCCCTCCCTCTGCCCCTCCCTCTCCCCCTCCCCCTCTCTCTTGTGTTTTTCGCACTTACCATCGGAGCCCTTCGGCTCCTCCAGGCGGTGCCTGGTGCGGCAGCAAGGCTCGCGTGCCTACTGCTGCCGGCTCCCCAGTTAGAATGCCCCCCCAAAAACTACCCATACAGGTTTTGGGGCTCCTGTTTTCCTTTAGTATTATTTAACCCAAAACAATTTTTGGGGCTCCTTTTTTCTATAGTATGATTTATTCAAAACCTTATTCGAGTTGCTAAGGCCCCTATATTACTCCAATATCCGGTAGTGAAGGACAGCTCCTGCAAGTACGGTACTGGTAGGTAGGCCAGCATCCTGAATCAGGGGTCGAGCAGTATACCGCATGCATACAAGTTTACGGTAGCGATCTTGAGTGATGGAGGGATGTTGGAGTCTCTGGGGACCTTGCAGCTGTCTTCAAGCTTGCTGCCGTCGTCATGTGCCGCCGTGGCACCGGCTGCCACCATTGCCACCACTGCCATCACCACGCCGCCACGCCGCCACTTCGAACCTGAGCCCAAGTGCCAACTTAGCCAGGGAACCCGAAGCCCATCAGCGCAGTGCATTCATCGCAGCTTCCCCCGGCCAGATGTGGTGTACGTTCTAACTCGAAGCCCTTAAAAACCCTAAACCCTAAACCCCTAAACCCTAAACCCTAAACCCCTAAATCCTAAACCCTAAACCCCTAAACCCTAAACCCGAAATCCTAAACCCTAAACCCTTAAACCCTGAACGAAACTTGACCGCATCCCCAGGCCAATGCTCCTGGAAATCCGTTCATTCCTCCGCTGGCTTAGAGGCTCCTGACATGTTGAGAGCTTGTCTTGCAGCGGGAAGTGCACCTTCTCGCTTGAAGCTTTCTAACATACGTAGCTCACTGCTACGGCTTTTGTTGTGCTTCGCAGCCTCCGGCAGAAGTTGGCCCGGAAAATTTGCAGTGTGCAGGGAGGAGGGAGAGCGACAGAACGAGAGGGAGAGACAGAGAGAGAGAGAGAGCCAGAGGGATGCCGACGCTACGTCCTTTTAGGACGTTTAGGGTTTAGAGTTTACGGGTTTAGGGTTTAGGCTCAAGTGAGCTTCTGAAGTTAGTGAACTGTGTTTGTTGTGTCGTAGAGCACTGCCGGTAGATCCCTCGAGGACGTCGCGGACGGCTTGCGCTGGAGAAGGTTGTCCTGAGCCGATGGTTTTGCACAATCGGGGGGCGCCCTAAACCCCAAACCTCAGAAAAGCAAACCTTAAATCCTCTCTGAAGGCTTCGAGCTAGTAAACGTATCCCTCAGAACCAAAACTTAGTGAGAGAAGGCATCTTGAACCTTCCGCTGAACCCTAGAAACCTGTTTAAGCCCTTACAAAAGCCGATAGAAGGACCCTTACAAGACATCTCATTTCAAGAAACCTTATTTAAAGCACCCCTCACTGCCCTACACCTCCAGACTCTCGTAGATCCGGCACCTTGCATCGTTCATGTTGCAGGGAGTGGGTCGACTCCGAAGGAGGTCGGCTCCCTTCGAGCATCGCCAGTCCATAAATGCTGGACCGAAGAAAGGGAGGGGGGGGGTTCTTCGAAGTATGGGCACCCTGTTTGGGGCCCTTATAACAAGGTCCTCCTTTTCACGGGTCACAATTGGGGTGACTTATCTTGAAAGTCTCAACGGGAATGCGACCGCCCGGGGATAGGCAGGGTGTGGTGGGGATAGCTTCGGATATCGAAGCTTGTGCCAGTCTTGGAACAACCGCTGCCTCGTTAGGTCTCGAACTTTTTCCTTCACTCCTACCGCTGCTACGTTTTGCATCCATGATTTATCGTCTTCCGCTCGTGTGCCTCTGTGTTTTCGGCGGCATCAGCCCCGCCGTAGCAGAATCCGAGCTTTGCAAAACCTCGGCGCTGGTACAGACGGCCCGGCATCGGGTGCATCGCGAAGCGGATCGTCTCTCTGTGCAGGACGCCGGATTCGGAACATGGCTTCAGCTTTGTGCATGTCAACATCCCCGACAAACTTGAAGCTAAGCTAGCGCCAGAAGACCCTATGAACCCACTAGCCCGTCTGTCGTACTATGTCTGGCCCACGCAGACTGCCCGGGAAGGAGTGTCCACCGGTTGTGCAGACCGAGGGTGCTTGCACAGCAGCAGCAGAAGGCATCGGTTTCATCAATGCCACAGAGTCCGGCGCTCCCGGCGCCTGCATCCTGTGGCAGGAGTCGGGGAACCTCACCTTGGAAGACATGGACGAGGCATTCTCCTCGATGGTGATGGACTCCTTGGCCACAAGATGCAAGAGCTGCCTTGATCCGTCTACTTCCTGTGAGCATCATGTGCCGGGCATCTCTTGCTACCAAGGCGTGACTTCCACGGAGGTCTCGTTTTATGCTCAATGCCACCAAAACTGCCCTGAGGTCGATTCATGGGCTTGTAACATCTTCTGGGACACGCCGGACTCAGAGCTCCCGGAGAACAGCACGGAAGCTCTTCTAGCCCTCCGCCGGAAGGTCACAGTCCCAGAGTCGGCTGGAGGCAGCTTGAGCCCCACACCTGACGAAGAAGAAGGAAGAGATGCCCTTCGAGGTGTGCTTTCGCAAGTTTCCTCCGCTCAGAATCGGTCTCTTCTAAATTTCCGCGACGGTCGGGCTCGCCGCTCCTCACGCTGCTGGGGCAGTGTCGTGGATTCAGCCATTTGTGGTTTCAATACCATCACGGACGGCGCGATCTGTGGCTGGAATCAAGGCAAGAAGTGCAAGTATGGTCGGCGCAGGAGGTGGAGCGGCTTCAAGGGATGTGACTTCTGGAAAACTGCCAAGAACTGCAAGGTCGCAGCCAGCTGCGATGTCTCGCTGGACGTGCCAAGCTGTTTGGGGGATTTGTTTCAGGAGGTAAGTAACCCCTACAGGGAGTATGCCGAGTACATCTCCAACACGGGGTGCAACAGCGTGTCCTCCTGCAACCAGGTTCCTATGATAGTACAACTAATTCGATGGGTTCCTGTTTTATCATAGCTGTTTTGCTTTCGTGCTCCTGATGTAGCTACCATAACTATTTAGAGTCATCATAAAGCGACATATAGGCTCCTATTCTTAGCTCAAAAAACCTCATGGTCTTCTTCCTACAGTAGTGGGTTGCGGAACCGCCTAGGCAAAAGCCAAGTGGAGGATGGCCTCGCAGACGTCTGGGAGCTCGTGTACAGTTCCACACAGTCCGGCATCTGGGTCATGAGAGATGGCATAATCATGCAAGTTACTAATGAAGTATTACATCGTATAACGTAGAATAAATATGCATAACACGGTGTGATAAAGTACACCATAGTATACCATAGCATATATGAAATAGTGAAACTCAGTAAAGCACAATACAGCACAGCATAATATGCAGCACAATAAAGTGCAATATAGCAGAAGTCCAATGTTTGGCTGCACCTGCTCAAGCCAAGTTAGTACTAGTGGCTGGTAGCTGTGATAGAAAGCTTTACTGTTTTGTTGTTCCGACCAATATTCCAATTTCTTCGACCGCTTGGACTGTTGCCCAACCAGCTGCTATGCTCTGGTATCATGAGTTCCGTTGTGCAGCTGGCTCGCACTCTTTCTGTGACTGTCTTACGGGATGCGGCTGCGCTTGCTGTCACCATCTGCCATCGCTGTGCTGTTGCTACTAATACTCGTACTTTTAGTACTAGTAGTAGTACTACTAGTAGTACTACTAGTACTACCAGTAGTACTACTAGTACTACTAGTAGTACTACTAGTACTACTAGTACTACTACTAGTACTACTACTAGTACTACTACTAGTACTACTACTAGTACTACTACTAGTACTACTAGTACTACTAGTACTACTAGTACTACTAGTACTACTAGTACTACTAGTACTACTACTACTACTGCTACTACTACTACTACTACTACTACTACTATTTCTATTACTTGGTAGTAGTAGTAGTGGTACTACTACTACAACGACTACTACTACTACTACTACTACTACTACTACTACTACTACCACTACTGCTACGACTACGAATGCGACGACCAGCGCAGTCGTAGTAGTCGTAGTAGTAGTAGTAGTAGCAGTCGTGGTGGTAGTAGTAGTTGTTGTGGTGGTGGTAGTAGTAGTGGTGGTAGTGGTAGTGGCAGTGGCAGTGGCCGTGGCCGTGGCAGTGGCAGTGGCAGTGGCAGTAGTGGTAGTGGTAGTAGTAGTGGTAGTGGTAGTGGTGGTAGTAGTAGTAGTAGTAGTAGCAGTAGTTGTAGCAGTAGCAGTAGCAGTAGCAGTAGCAGTAGTAGTAGTAGTAGTAGCAGCAGTAGTAGCAGTAGTAGCAGTAGTCGTAGGAGTAGTAGTAGTAGTAGTAGTAGTAGTAGTAGTAGTAGTAGTAGTAGTAGTAGTAGTAGTAGTAGTAGTAGTAGTAGTAGTAGTAGTAGTAAGCCCGCGCAGAGGGCGCCGCGCTAAATTTTGCGTTTCTGCCGTTCTTCAGCGATCTTTCCAGGTTTTTGCTGATTTTCATTGCAAGGGTGGAGGGGCACGGGGTGGGGCTTAATGGCGTCTTCCTGTCACATCTTCTTTCGAGTTCGCCTTACTTCAGTGTTCCACCGGAACAACTAACTGCACCTGAATTTCTGGAACCGTGTGTGCGAAAATGAATGACCACGACGATGGCGATGATGATGGTTAGCATTGTGATGTTTGTGACGACGACGATGCTGGTTCCAATGACGATCATGACTTAGTGACTAAGATGATGCCAGAATAAACGTAACGACCAACGGCAAACGACCAGCAACCAACAGTCAAGAACAAAGTCACAATAAGCAACAACCAACAAGAACAGCAACCAACAACCGACAACCAACAATCACAACAGCAACAACAACAGCGACAGCTGCAGCAACAACAACAACAACAACAAGAACACCAACAACAACAGGAACAAGAACAACAAGAACAAGAGCAAAAACCATAACAATACAACCAGCAGCAGCAGCAGCACCACCACCGCCATCGCCGCCGCCAACGCCACCGCCACCGCCACCGCCAACGCCACCGCCACCGCCACCGCCACCGCCACCGCCACCGCCACCGCCACCGCCACCGCCACCGCCACCGCCACCGCCACCGCCACCGCCACCGCCACGGCCGCCGTGAGCGCCAGCGCCACCGCCACCACCACCCCGCCACCACCACCACCACCACCAGCAAGAGCAACAGCAAGAGCAACAACAACAAGAACAAAAACAACGAGATCAACAACAGCAAGAACAGCAAGAACGATAATGACAAGAACAAGAACAACAAGAACCATACTAATATCAAGAACGATAACGACCCCAGCAGCAACAGCAACAACCACCACCACCACCACCACAACAACAACAACAACAACAACAACCTTACTAGCAACAGCCGCAGCAACAGCCGCAGCAACAACCGAGCAACAGCCGCAGCAACAGCAGCAGCAACAGCAGCAGCAGCAGCAGCACCAACAGCAAGAACAACAGAAACAATAACAATAACAATAACAATAAGAACAACAAGAGCACTGAGAACAATGAAGAACAATAAGAACAGTAAGAACAATCAAATAATAAAAAGCCATTGGCGCAACAACAAGAACAACAATCTGCCCCTGCACCGCCGCTGCCGCTGCCCTTCTTCTTCTTCTTCTTCCACCTCGTCCTGCTGCGCCCCCACCGCAACCACCAGCACCACTGCCCTACCACGACCGGCACTACCACCGACGACAACGACGGTAGATGACGAGAACGACCCACAACGACATATACTAGTAACTAGTACTTCGACCACTGCTGTGGCACCAGCCTGACATCGTGACAATCCAGGCAACTCAGCATGTGAAGTGACTGACCTCTTTCAAGGTATTCTCAACCTGATGAGAAGTGGCACGGAGCAATTTGGTGACGTGGCGCCTACTCTTGTCGCAACTTGGCTGCCCACGTTCAGGCGAAGGGAGACTTGGGAGTTCCCAAATCCTAAGCCTCAAAACCTAAGCCCTAAAACCCATGAACCTAATGTTACACCCTAGGCCTTACTCTTTAGCCCTCATCCCTGTCCTAGACCCGAAACCCAAAGCTTCCGCAGTGAACGGAGGCCAGGGCCAAGCAGACTTCCGGCACCATCTTGGACGGCTTGACCACAGCTACCTCGGAGGTTCGGGGTGTCTCGGCGGCGCTTGTGGAACCCTAGGCTCTACACCGTGCTGCTTTGCCAATAGTTTCCGATTAAGGGTTTCCGTCGAATGTAGTTCTGAAATAGAGAACACCAAGCGCCTAAACCCTAAACCTTAAACCGAACCCTACAGTAAACCCTAAGCCCTAAACTGCACTGCATTCTTCGCCCAGAATTCCTCAACGGCGTCTTCGGCAGCTTTCAGAAGCATGACCTCGGGCGGGTCTGCACGCCGACAGGCGCCCCTGGGGAGTTCAGGAAGTACTGTAGGGGCCTTAATGTTTAGAACAGGGCTCCTCTACAAAAGGGTCCATAAGGGCTACTATAAGGGCTATGAAAAGATGTAATGTAGAGGCCTCAATAATTACAGTAGGGTTTGGGGGCTTCCTTATTCTAACTATTATAATGTTGGATCCCGATTAACAAACCCCCCCCCCTCCCCCCGCTGTCAAGGTTAGCCCGCTTAAACTTGTTCATGGGTTCAAGTTTTTCCCGGCCCCCCCCCCCGATTATGTGGGGATGGGGTTACTTATTAAGTATAGTAGTAAGTAGATAGAGAGTACTTAGTAAAGTATTGCAGTCGTACAATAGGAGTAGAGTAATATAGTAGTAGTACAGTAGTATAGTAGTAGTACAGTAGTATAGTAGTATTACAGTAGTATAGTAGTAGTACAGTAGTACAGTAGTACAGTAGTACAGTAGTAGTACAGTAGTATAGTAGTATTACAGTAGTATAATAGTAGAACAGTAGTATAGTAGTACAGTAGTTGAGTAGTAGTATTGAAGTCTAGTAATAGAAGCAGTACAGTAGTATAGTATTATTACAATAGGGGGTTGGGGGTTTGAAGGGGTTCAAGGACTTGAGGGGGTTGAGGGGGTTGGGGGTTTGAAGGGGTTCAAGGACTTGAGGGGGTTGAGGGGGTTGAGGGGGTTGGGGGTTTGAAGGGGTTCAAGGACTTGAGGGTGTTGAGGGGGTTGAGGGGGTTGGGGGTTCAAATGTGGCTGGCCATGAGCTTGCCATCAGCTCAAGTGCCCGCATAAGCGCCGCATCCCCACCCATTGACCGTTAGGTCATTTTCAAGGGCCTGCAAATCCCTGGTCCCGGGCCGGACCCTGTTAATCGGGGGGGGGTTTCCTGCTATTCTGGGGGGGTCGGGGCCTGCAAAGGGGTAGCCTTGGAAAACTTGACAAACCTACTCTTTTTATATACGGTTTAATTAGGGAACCACCTGTTTCTGGCAGCAGAAGATATCACCGAAATCCCAGGGATCCCAAGGCCAGGGATCTCTGACCCTTCCATCTCAAAGCTTCGGGCTTTCTAGGTCAAAGCAAAGGGCCTGCAAATCCCTGGTTCCGGGCCGGACCCTGTTAATCGGGGGGGGTTTCCTGCTATTCTGGGGGGGTCGGGGCCTGCAAAGGGGTAGCCTTGGAAAACTTGACAAACCTACTCTTTTTATATACGGTTTAATTAGGCAACCACCTGTTTCTGGCAGCAGAAGATATCACCGAAATCCCAGGGATCCCAAGGCCAGGGATCTCTGACCCTTCCATCTCAAAGCTTCGGGCTTTCTAGGTCAAAGCAAAGGGCCTGCAAATCCCTGGTTCCGGGCCGGACCCTGTTAATCGGGGGGGGTTTCCTGCTATTCTGGGGGGGTCGGGGCCTGCAAAGGGGTAGCCTTGGAAAACTTGACAAACCTACTCTTTTTATATACGGTTTAATTAGGGAACCACCTGTTTCTGGCAGCAGAAGATATCACCGAAATCCCAGGGATCCCAAGGCCAGGGATCCCTGACCCTTCCATCCCAAAGCTTCGAGCTTTCTAGGTGAAAGCCAAGGGCCTGCAAATCCCTGGTCCCGGGCCGGACCCTGTTAATCGGGGGGGGTTTCCTGCTATTCGGGGGGTGTCGGGGCCTGCAAAGGGGTAGCCTTGGAAAACTTGACAAACCTACTCTTTTTATATACGGTTTAATTAGGGAACCACCTGTTTCTGGCAGCAGAATATATCACCGATGAGGGTAAGCTCCTCGCATACTGGATGAGGAAGGAAGCCCGCAGATTGGGCAGGAACATTGCCCCTAAGTACAAGCTCAGCTCTGCTGGACATGCGCTGGTCTAATGAGGAAAAGTCTGCCATCATGAGTTCTTTACGGTTTAGGGCCCTAAATCCTTACTTCGGGGATTTTCGGGGATGGCCCCGTCTAATCGGGGGGGGTTTAGGCGAGCTCCGGTACTATAGGGGTGGGGTCTAATTTAAGCCCATGACATGCCCGGGACGGCCCCGTCTAATCCGGGGGGGTATCTTAATCGGTAAACGACATTATTATAAATATTAAGGCCCCTATATAGTCGGGGACCCGACTTTGCCGTAATCCGTAGGAACCGGATCATTTGACAAGACCCTGTAAAATTCAAGAATATTTCCTTGGTGGTCCTCTGCACTCAAGCGATGTCAAAATAATCCCGAAGCAATAGATCCTAAGCAGCAAAATCCGTACAGACCCTTAACCCCGAAGCTCTAAACCCCAAAAGCGCGAAACGCTTGCGCCTCCCTCAGATGTGGGGTTTTGGTATTATGTCCCAACGGACTGTGGCTTCTTCGAGAAGTTCGGGAACATCTTCTCAAGCCCATCTGCTGCAGACTCCAACTGGGGTGATGCTGTGGACCGGCTCCGTGAGTGTACGATGAAGACTCATGGTCCCGCAATAATGCAGGAACCTGATTAAGAAACCCTGGGCCTATACCCCCAAAATCGTAGGATTCATATAAGGAGCCCGAATAAAGGCCCAAGGTTTCGTAATCAGGTCCCGCAACATCCGCGGCTGTTTTGAGGGGCTGCCGGAAGTGCCATTTAGCATTTGTATGGTTTTCTTCTAGAGATATAAGGTTGAGTTTCAAACGTCCAGCTTTTCGACTTCTTCGAAGCCTTAAAAGTTATACGTTAGTACTATTTCTGATTGGTGAAACTTTTGCTTCCCTTGTGTCGCATTGGGGTCGCCAGGACTGGCGCCTTCAACTTTCCGACCCCCTTTCTCGACTTCCGAGTTCAGGAGTTCTGTCTTCCCACGGAGGTGCAGACCCCCATTGAGTACATCCTTGGGGTCTTCAAGTTTGGTGCTAACGGCGCGACGAGTCTCGTCAGCCACTTCGAAACCATCGCGGCGAAGGCCAGGTTTAAAATACCACACGGCCTTCATAATTGGAATAGGGTTTGAGCGGTATATTGTACTACAATGAAAACATAATCATAACAAGGAAGGGCGACCCTGTAGACCCCTGGTAAAGCGTTGTAAACCCCGGAAAGCCCCCAGCCTTCACAACACTTTGTGACTCCAACCCTAAAAAGTCCCCGACCGTACTAAAGCTGCATACTCGTTCATAAAGCAACGCAGAATTCTGCGAAACCCGGTAAAGCCCTCATAACATAGCCCTAAACCCCAAACGCTAAGCCCGAAGCTCTGCAGAACCCGACGCTGCAGGTGCAAAGCTTGGTGAGCTCTTCGGGGTTGGACCTGATGCAGACACTTGGCACAGAAAGCCCGGGGCTCAAAACAATAGGGGCCTTAGTGGTTTCAATAGGGCTTGGTGGCATGTTGTAGTATGAGCCTGAAGTGACTAAAAGGGCATACCTATAGTAGGACGTTGTGTGAAGCAGATGGAGCAGAATGAGGAATTCTCAAGAATGGGGGTTTGATAGGGGTGCTATAGTTGTCTGAAGGGTTGTACAACCGTTTCAGGGGGTTAACATGGAGTTTCTCGCGATTAGGCGTGCCTTGATTAAGTTAGCATAGGGCACGCTTATTGCGAAGATGGTCTTGAAACCCGTACCCCCCCTACGTTTTTACACCTTTACTCCATAAGCCTGAACAAATAGGCTATTTCAAAAGACCATCTTCCCAATGGGCATGCCCGGGTTGATCGAATTTACGGTGCTTTTGGGGTTTCGGGGCTTGGGTCGTATAGTGACTCTTTTCGTCCATCGCAGTCTCCCAGAAACCCTAGTAAGTTTGCAATATAGGCGAGCCCAGGACTTGGACTCTACTGCGGCAAGCCTTTCAAGTCCTTAGACTTTCATTTTCCTAGCGCGCTATTGCTTAATCTAGTCCATCTGTTGTCGTCTGGATTATTGATTGTTACTTGTTGCGCTCCTGCGTCGCCAATGTGGGCTATTTCTAAATTACCTAATAAATACACTTTTCCGTCCGTTAATTGAATTTCACCAACAATATTCCCAATACCATTAAAAGCAAAGATATTTGTAACTGCTCTATTTATAGTATTTCCGTTAGTGCCGCTTAATTGTAATGCTATTGCTCCTGTAGTTGGATCGGTTGCTCTGTCTGATTGTAGTGAAACATTAGCTTCTTCTGTTGATATTGCATTCAGGGAATTATTCACGTCTGCTCTTTGAAATATTCTTCCGTCATTGCCTAATAACTGTTGTCATAAAAATGTTGCATTTCTACTTTAGCTTCGTTAAAATTACTTAGATATGAAAAATTATATTGCCTTCCTATTCCTACTGTTGCTGTTGTCGGGCTCCCTATTCTTAAACGATAGTCGCCTCCTGCGTCGTGAAATATCATCTCTGTGCCATTTGCTGGATTACTCGGGTTCATACATCTACAATTTCTGTTTCTGAATTCAAAAACACCGTGAGTATCTCCAACTCTTAAATCATAATTAGCATCGCCCGGTTTTCCGAACATGTCTATCCCTGCTGTTGGTAATTGAATATCCCCATGTTGAATTTGTTAAATCAATATTATCAGGATGTTTCCCTCGAAACACCGAATAACTGACATGTGTGTTCCTGTGCTGATGCGATGCAGCACCGAGGCTGACAACACCCTTCAGCGGTTAGATGCTACACCAACAGGCGTTGATGTATATGCTGTAATAGCCACAACAGGCAACGCAGATATTAATGGGAATGTAACCTGTGTCGCTTTAACAGAAACATCAGACTCTGAACTGAAAGAGAACATTAAGGAGGTTAAATACCAAAGAGTGTTATAAGGTATTTGAATATACTAAGCCGAAAACATATAATTGTACAAATGATGAAAACAAAAAGGGTAACATTGGATTTGTAGCAGACGAGATAAAAAATGCGAAGATGCCGACAGAATGGGACAACATAATGTATTACAATGACGATGGTATGAAACTACTAGCATATAACAAAGTGGCTGTTGTTTTATGGGGTTGTGTGCAAGAATTACAAAGAGAAGTTGAAGATTTAAAGGAGGAGGTTAGACAGTTACAAGCAAAGGCAAAAGCAAAAGCAAAGAATTAATTTCTAAATCAACATATAATGCCTTCAATGGACGAAGCAATTGAGAAGAAACTAGACGAACAACTGCAAAAGATAAAGTCGGATTCGATTATATTTAACACCATCCAAGATGTAACAGATAAGATACACAAGTTAGATGAGGAGATAGAGAAGCTAAACAGCAAAAACAAATGCAACAGCAGTGGCAGGTGTATGCCGCGTAATTTATGTAGTTTCTCACTATTCTGATGAATAGATATACATTGTTAACATCAGTTTGCAATAGTTTGCATCTATTAATCAACAGCTATTTTAGCATCAAGTCTTTTGTAAAGCATATGATTTACAGTAGGTTTCGTTAAGTTAATAAGCCAGAACCTATATGGTTCTTCCGTTTCCATGTTCTACACTTCTAATAATCATTTCTCTGCTTCTGCGAGGCTTTTAGTATCAGCCACTGTTGAGTTCTTTGTTAATACTGCACTTAGTTCCTCTACCGTTGTTTCAATTTCACGATAGTTCCTTAATCTGAAAGGAATACTTGCGTACTATTGACACGAATAGTTGGACTTAACGCGTTATACTTCTGCGTTGACGTTATTTCGCAAATACTATTATGTCGGGCACGTAGAACTGGTTTAATAACGGACTATTGCGTGAGAAATTTTGTGAGTCAGCAATATCTACTTTTCTCAGTATTGAGAGTAATGTCTCATGGTCGTTCTTTTTCTGGTATTCAATTACTTTATGTTGCCTTTTTGGAACTGCTTCTAATTCTTCTGGTATGTTCATCGAACAGACATTTTTCTTTCTCTAAATTTATCTTGAATGTATTTTTTCACTGGCAACCACTTACTATCAACAGAAATTGAAGGAGACCAAACATATATATATATATATATATGTGGCAGGAACCTTTACGTATAATGTGACATGTCCCTTGTGCTATATTACAGGAAGGTCTTACGTGAGAGCATACAGTACGCACCAACACACACACACACACACACGCGCTGGCAAATATCCTCGCATGATAGCCCACATACCATGTTCAAGGAGAACATGTACTGGTTGTGGCGCTCAGTCAGTGGCTGGAAAGCCTTCCATGAGGACGACAGCATTTTGCACGCTTGATTCGGAACACATTGTTTGGGATCAGCATTTGCGCATGCCCTAACATGTAACACATAGAACTTCATAGAACCATGTTACGCACAGCAGACCGGGCGAGAACTGTGCGGAGACTATGTGCTTCCTGTGATGTGCAGCCAGGGGCTACAAAACGTTCAACAAGGAGGAAAACCAACCCTGATTATGGTATCTCGCTGCGCATCACCGTGCTTGCGCTTAGAATAAGCCGGATGTATCCGCATTATTCGTGGACTGTGATGTTCAGTCGGTGGCTACACAATGACAGAGCTCCCCTAGCTTCCAAGAAGGCAAGTCCTTTACCTCATCCTCGACAAAAAGACGTCCACGTTCATGAGACAGAAGAGAGCTCCATTTCACAAAAGCAGACAGGCCCTGTCAAACTATCGAGAAAGAAGAGAGCTTTTTGACAGGCCCTGCCAAACTATCGAGAAAGAAGAGAGCTGAGCTCCGCTTGCCGCTCAGTCGGCAAGAAAAGACCTCCTTTCTGTCTAGATAAGGGAGAGATCGAGATCCTGACTATCCCGTTTACTTATTCAAAAGGAAAAACGGAAGAGAGCATACGTTCAAGACAGGGTGGAATGGCCCCCAAGCTCAAAAAGAGACATCTGGTTACCTGGTTCTCCCCCCAGCCTTCAAAACCCAAATCAAGTCCCCTCCCTCATGTTCCAAAGCAAGAAAAGATTTCCCTCCAACCTACCTTGTAAGACAGTTGCTGTCTACAAGAACTCTTTGACCTCTTGGTAAATCTCCGTCTCCTCTGAAGCGAACTGAAGGGAGCTCGCTCCTAGCAAAACAAGTCAAAGCCCCTCCAGTCTCAAACACGAACCTAGCTCCTCTACCTCGTCATGGGCAAAGTTTTCTCTATGCGTAAAAGAAGAGATCTGCCGGAAGGTCTTCCACCGCAGCATCTCAACGAAGCAGAGAGCCCAACGAAGCAGAGAGCCCATTCCAACTTCACGAGAAAGAAAAGAGCTCCAGCTGCCTTTTAATCGACAATAAGAGAGAGAAGAGCTCCTTGACGTCCCATGTTCCTTCCTTCAAGAGATAGAAGAAAGTTAATTTTCAAAAAGTGAGCACAGAGCTCCCTTGACCTTTGTAAGAAGAGTCCGGTCCTCCTCTCAATCTTCAACACAAAACGAACAGCCCTCTACCTCGTCCTCTGGAACAAGGAACGAGCCCAGCTGGTCTTGGCAACAGAAGATTTTTTTCTAGAATAGACTTCCTGAACCCGTTGCTAAGTTTTCATTTTATCTGAAGAGGAATGAACGGCTCCCACTCCTAGCACGAGAGGACAGAGCTCCCCAAGCCTACAAAAAGAAGAAGAGAGCCTCCTCCAAGTTCGTGAGAAAGAAGAGAGCTCCATCTCACAAAAGCAGACAGGCCCTGCCAAACTATCTAGAGAGAAGAGAGCTCTGTTTACCCCTCAGTCGGCAAGAAAACCCCCTCCTTTCTCTCTAGCAAAGGGAAAGATCGAGATCCTGATTACTCCGCGGACTTTTCAAACGAAAGACGGAAGAGAACATACGCTCAAGAAAGGGTGGAGCTCTCCCCAGGCTTCAATGGCTTCAAAAAAAAGAAATCTCGTCCTCCCCCCAGCCTTCGAAAAGGAAAGGTAAGTCTCCCCACCTCATGCTCCAAAGCAAGAAGAGAGTTTTCGATTCAAGAAGATTGAAAAGATTTCGCTCCTAGCGCGAGAGGACAGAGCTGCCCTAGCTTCCAACAAGAAAAGTCCTCACCTCATCCTCGACAAGAGGTCACTGCGAGCTTCCTCCAATTTGTTGAGACATAAGGGAGCTCCATCGTAAAAAGACAGACAGGCCCCTCCAAACCATCGAGAAAGAAGACAGCTGCGTTTACCCCTCAGCCGCCAAGAAGAGACCTCCGCTCTTGGTAAGGGAGAAGGATCTTGATTGCCCACTTTGTTTCTTCAAAAGATGGAGGAGGGCATGCACTCAAGAAGAGAGGGTGGAGTTCCCTTCAACCTGCAAACAAGGTAGCTAGGTCCGCCCCTCAATCTTCAAAAAGAAAGAGAGAACTCCTCCACCTCATGCATTGAAACAGGAAGAGCGACCCCGACAAGTTATGCGTGG